ATCATAAATTCAACGACGCGCCATCGGCGCAAAACTTACTGACCGATTATGGTTCGCAAGTGTTTTAGGAATTGTTTCGTTTGCGAAATTATTCAGCGGTTTACATTCCGCTAATTGATACGGCAATACGGGCAATTGACGCCGTGTCAATTGTGCTAATATTCGCAAAGATGTACGTAGTACATACGGCAACGGTATTTTAAAATACCTAAATATCTCACTCAAATGACGCTGTTTCTCCTCCAAAGCGAGATATTCCGATTTGTACTGTTTGGCTAAATTACGAACGATCTCTTCTGCCTTTGCAGAATCAATCCCTGGTACGGGTGTTTCATCATCCATGAATAGGTACATGACGTTCATACCGTCTTCCTTTGCTTTGATTAAATCCTGGATTTCTTTAACCAGCACCCGATACTCGCCCCAAAGGCGGCGAAACGTAGTCTTCGCTGGCAATCGTATTTTCCCGGTTTTTTAGTACCGATTTACGGTTGGGGATTCCTTTTGGCTGTGTTGCACTATTTATTGTAGCATTTGCCACGGTTATCGGGAAGACTTTGCTCCCATTCGATGCGGTAACTTCCTCTGACTGTAACTTTTCTACAGTATCATCAATCCCTTCTGTTGCCACGGGTATCGGGAAGATTACACTATCTTCCGGTTTGGAAACATCACCATTAAACAGTAAAGTTTCTACGGTATTTTCGCTCTCTGACGTATCCGCTTTTGCGGATCCTGTGAGATCAATTACTTCTATGGTTTTCGTTGCCTGAATTACAGGTGACGTTGGTCTGTTAATTATAACAGTTCCATGTTTATTACTCGGCTGATATTCCAAGTAACGCAGTTTATTATTTCGAACTGCGTAAAAGGTTTCTTGCAGGAAATCCTGCCCCAATAAAACCTTGATATCGTCGGTTGTAGGTTTAATGTACACTGAGTGTACTACTTCGAAATCTCGAATTTTAACAATAATACGGCAATAGTGAGTAACTAAAAACCCACGCACTCCGCCGATTCCGCGGATATGCAAGGCTTTAATTAACGGTACTTTAGCTGCGCTAATTTCACTAGCAAATTCGTTAGAAATCAGAGATGTTTCAGCTCCAGTATCAATCATTATCGGCGCTTCGCGCCCATTTATAAATGCATTTAGCATTAGCGGGTGTGCGCGTTTAGGTTCAGTGTGACTTATGACGGCCGTACAGAAGTTAATAGTAGCATTGCTACTATCCGATGATTCATCAGGTTCGACTATTCGCAATCCGTTGATTGTAATTATTTCGATTTTGTCCGGCGGTTTGGGCGGAATCGGGTCGGTAAAGCCGGAATTTACCGCCCTTCCTCGTTTTCCTGATCCGCCAAACCAGAAAACGGATTATTATCCGGTAGCGGTGATCCTGACGTCGGACGTATCCGCTCCTCTACTGAGCCGGTACTTTGCCGGGAATTACTTCTCTGCCTCACCGGCGAATTAGGTTCGCTTCCTGACTGACTACCACTACGGCGCTGGTAGAAATCAGCGGCATATCGCCGATTTCCAGTTTCTGGATCATGGTAGGCTAGGTATGTCGGGTTTTCACTTCGCGGTTTATCGCGAAACTGACAATCTCGGAAATAATGTCCGCACAAATCACAGTGCTGGCAGTACTTCACTACTCGGTTGCCACGCAGAGTTTTCTGCAAGGCCGGTGACCGATCGGTCGCTTCCTGAATTCTACTAATATTATTCGCCCACTGCTCTTTACGAGACGGTGCGCGGTTATCCTCTCAATATTTCGGATATCACTACTTTCAGCTTTGCTGATATTACTGCGGATATTATTATTATTACGATTACCGTAATTCGGTTTCCCACTGTTTGGCTTGCTGCTTGGCCGCGGCGGGCTGGCCGCCGCCGCCGCATAAGTCTTCGGTTGTACTTGTACAGTTCGTACAGTCACCACTTCGCTATCGCGATCCTGCTTACGTCGGGTATTGCCGATAGGAATCACGTATTTCTCTGGATTATTCGACGATAGATAACGGATAATCTCCAGAAATTGTTCCGGAGTTACTGGCCTCATGATTTCTATTTTATCATGTAATTTCTCGTGGGATTTTAACCCTTTTACGAGGAAGTTCACAACTTGCTCCGGTGATCCGTTAAATCCTGCGCGATCGCGCAATGTCATCATCGACTGATAATAAGTTTCCAAAGTTTCCTGTCCCGGCTTATACATGCGATTCGCCAGTTCTGCAAGTGCATTTACTGCTCTTTTCGAATCGCCAAAACGGGCGATTAATTGTTTTTTCCACTCTTTATAAGTTGTCGGCGGCGTCGTCGACGTTATTAGTCCATTATACCAAATAATGGCATCATCTTTAAGGCAATACGCCAGTTCGGTAATCTTCCTCTCGTCGGTTACCCAACGGTTTGCGATTGCCGCATGTTCGAATTTTATGATAAAACTGTCGATGTCCTCTTTACTACCATTGTAGTTAGGACGTGGTACAGGCTGTCGCATCACTTCAGCCAAATCTGATTTCCTTACAGGGCTTACTGTCCTGCTTTGTCCGATGCCTGCTCGCTGGATTTCTTCCCGCAAAATACTGCGGATAAACTGCTGTTTGTCTGCACTCGGCATTTCCCGGGAACCACTCTCGTTCATTGCCGAGGGTGTATGCTGTGCCCGAGACACCTGCGACTCTTCAGTATTTGCGGCATATGCCCTACTGAGCGGTCGCTCGCCGTATTCTACGGCTTCCGGATTCATCTGCCGATCATATAACGTTCGGTAATCTTTAGCTAAAGAGTTAAATTTCCCAATTAGGGATTTATGTTCCATTTGGCTCTCGTGCAGCATAGACTGCACGTTTTCAGATCGGTAATATGATTAAAGTTGTTAGTCTTTAATCGTTGATTTTCTTGCCACACTTGATCAAGCATGGTGTCCTTCTCAGCGATTTGCTGATTTAAATCGGAATTCTTAGCGCGTGCTTCATCTACTTTTCCTCTTAGTTCGGCCATTGCCGCATCCTTTTCGCCTATTAAGGCCCGCAGACCCAATACGATTTTTTCCATATTTTTAAAAGAACTGTGTGCATGTTGGTACTGGTTCTTATGATGTTGGACTTCGTCCTCAGCTACTTCCAATTTCCTCTGCAGATCTTTAATCAATACCTGATTTGCCGAAATAGTTTCGGTTGCCTGTTTTAATTCCACGATACTGGAACCTGTTGCCGGCTTTGCCGCTGAATTCAATAATTCATTCAGATTTGCTGTATATGATTGCGTTTTACGCAAGGTGGTCGGTATCACTGTCACAGGTTCTTCTTCTTCTTCCGTCGTTGCGGATTTATTCAGCTCGCTTTCGCTCACTTGAGAAAACGACCCTGTTGTGGCCGTTGATTCGGTAGTGCTATCGGATCGCTCTGGCACAGGTGCCTGTACTTCTTCCCGATTATCGGGATTAACCTGTCGGCTTTTCTCGGAGTTAGCGGCCGGAAAAACAACTGTTCCGGTGGCTGCATTAATGGTGTATCAAGGAGATTATCTCCTTGATCCATTACGGTTGCTTTCCTCGGTTTACGAGGTTTATCTTCGAGGACTTTGTGGGTAACTTCCACGCCTGTCCCTTTCAACTGATTCGTTTTACTACGGGTGACTTTGTCTTGTTGTGTAGCGTCACTCGTGCCAGCCTTTGCTGGATCATCGGTTATTCCTTTCAATGCCTTACTGGCTGATTTTAGGACGTCTTCGACGCCCTGCTTCAGTCTATCGATAGCTGGTTGTTTTCTTGGCGGTGAACGATTTACAGGCATTATGCCGTCAAAACTAAGCGATAGAATTCAGAATTAAATTCTAGACTTATTTCGAAATAGGTCTTTTCACTGTATACACTATGCACTGCATTGTAGGTCAATGCGTTTCAATGTATCGCTGCTTTGCAGTCTGTAACTAGTCTTGGCCTGGGCGGCTATAAATAGCCTGCTCGGCTATCTCCTATTGTTTCGCTTTGCGATTTGCTGCCACTGATAAAATCAGCTAGTTCGTCAGCACTAGCACCACAAGGAAACTCTTGCCAGAACGATCGTCCTGTTAAATGTCGTCTGCATTTCTTCAAATTAATAACTTATCAATTCGGAACAATCGTTCCACTACAAAAGAATATCGTCTAGATAGACGGTTTGAATTTCTGTCACGATTATTTTGACGGTTTTACCGTCGACCACAATAACCAAAACGTTCTTCATTTCAGTACCAGATCACAAACAACTTCCTCCTCCGACAACTCTAATATGTTAGAGGCAATCGTCTCGATATCTTCCTTAAACCCGTAAAAGGAAAATTAAAATAAGTCAGGGAAATAATCCCACTTCGGTATTATCTGCTAGGAATTAATCCCGTAGAGTATGCGCAACAACCACTGGTTTATTGCCTACCACTGTTTGTACGCAATCCGCGGTTCTTCTCCGTGCTGGCGGCCGCGTGCCTTCCGAACCAGCGACGCTCCTTGCTTCTGTACGGGTTCTTCTGCTGCTGGTTGTTGTGGGCTATCGCTGGTGACCCGGGGTCTCCACTGAAGAAGAGGAAACTTCCGTGTTACAGCGTTTGTGAGTGAACGCTGTTGAGTGCAAACTAGAGGGAATGACGAGGATCTTAAGGCATCTCCACCATCTCGGAGAAGCGTCTACGCTGTACGGGAAAACGACAACGGGAGCAACATCTCCTCGAAACAATCGCTTTATTTCAATGAAATAAATGCTAATCAGCATCAAAACAAATCTCTAAAGGTGAGAAAAAGGGCATGAAACCAAGGAAAGCTAGGAAACGATGTTAACGGTTCCGATGCTGGCATCCGAATGGCAAACACGTTCCGTCGTGTTTGAGAAAGCTGGCATATGGCGAGCCGATCCAATGATGGTGAGGCATATGTGCCACTACCCTGTGCTATATGCACGGCACTCTGACACTAGTCTCCTGGCTGCCCCGAGGCCTGTTGGCGATTTTGCCGTGACTGCCCTGCTTGAAGTTCCTCTATGGGTCTTGAAGAATGATGATGGCGTTCGGCAAGTGAATTTTGCTCTGTCAGTTTTTAGATTTTACGCTTTTAATTTTAGCAGACATTTTTTCTTTTATTTACTAGTATCTCTACTTATAATTAATGATTAAATAACTGACTGTGTCGAAACCAGAATTGCTGTTTGTCTTCCTCTTTTTGCTGTTCAAATACTTATACTCGTAGATGTAGACCGCATTGTTTGTTTGTACAGAGTAGGTAGTAAGGTACACTACTTTCGTTAATCTTGTAAGTTTAATACTGATCTCGATTTGTAATATGGCCGAACGGGAAGATTCGCCGGAAATTCCTACCGCTTTCACAAACTATACACGCATTCGAAACAATGACCGTCCAACTGAACATAGTCGTTCAGGCTCGGCTAACGGAAGTGGACATGAGAGATGTGGAAGAAAAAGGTAACTTCACTATCCACTCTACCGCGTCTCTACGACAAAACTCTTCTCAAAGGGCGCAATAGTTTGTTTGTCTGTTCACGATGAAAAGTTATTTAGTGGTCTGTTTGTTAAGTCACTTAATTTCAAATTAATTTTACATGTGGCGTTGCAGCGCAGTGGCGCACAAAATAAAAATGTTTATGTACTGTACTTCTGAAACCTTTAAATAAGCCGCCAGTAACACTGGCCGCCACCAGGAAACGCGGTTACGTTGATGGTCGACAGGCGCCGATCTCCGCATTTCCAAAGAATCGCCTAAATATTTAATAGTTGAATACCTGAATTTTCCTCAGAATAGTTCACCTTTTTCTTTTTGAATAACCTTATAGATACTTATTTTCTGGAGTAAAGTTATCGATCGTTATCATTTCTGTACACCCCGTTACCCCCTTATTAAACCTTTTTGTGTGCGCACTGAGTGCTTCACTGGTTTCTTGCCATCAGTGTGGAATCCTCGGAATCCGGGCACACAGATCACTCGGCCATGGAATCTCAGAAGGAGGAAGAGAGTGAAAAGAAGGAGCCGGACGAGAGTAGCGAGGAGGAAGAACAGTTAGAAGATGCCGAAGGACAGACACTCTTCTGTGTAGAAGCAGTAAAGGCTGTTCGCGGAAAGAGAGGAGAACGAGAGTTTTTCATCAAATGGCATGGTTATCCCGAGTACGTAAGAATTAGGAATTCACCATTTTTCGATTTGCGGTTGATAAAGGATTAAGACGACTTCAAAACCGTAAGATTTTTGTTTTTATTTACATTGCTCGGTGCCCCGTGCTGTTGATTGGTTCTTTAAAGATTCGATGAAAGAAGAAAGAATTCAGCTGTTTTTTGCAAGCAACCGTAAGAATCAAGACGTCGTTAACTAAATTCGATTTTTGAAAGCGGGCATAGCCGCATAGGACTACTGTTACAACATTATTTCATTAGCAGTGATTCCAATGAATGCTGGTGTTTTTTTTAAACAATAATTTCTTGTAAATATTTATTTTTTTAAAGACTGCCATTCACAGTTCTTTGAAATCGTCATTAATGTGGATAAATCATGAACTATAAATTATTGATTTTAGCATGTATTGCTGTGGTGAAGTTTTTTGGAAAATTTATGGAAAATGTGATAGGTGAATTGCGATAATACCAGTGAATATATTTGTGAATAATATCAGCGATTGCTGCTACAACTGATCTTTCAAAATTCCGAATTATTACCAATATAGAGCGGCTTTGATGCGGTCGCGGTCAAGATGGAAAGTATACTATGTTGTGCATTCAGAAAGTGTCGTATTTTCGGTCGTTAACTCATTTGCTATTAAAGATTTTCGTTTATCCGCTTTGATTTTGCAGTTCAGATAACACCTGGGAACCGGAAGAAGGAGTCGGTCACCTTGAAATTGTTCAAGACTTTTTAAAAGAGTTGGATCAAAAAGCCGCTCGGATAGCCAAGCGTAAAAAAGAGGAGGCTGATCGTCTTCGCGCCCAGCAGAAAGCTGCACGTAAACAGGCTAAGGAAGCTGCAAGGAAGAAAGAGGAGCGTCGGCATGAAACGGAAAAAAAGAAAAATTTCTTGTCCTCCAGTGATGATGAAACATCCGACACGAAAGAAACGGAACACAAAGCAGAAAAGAAGGCTAAATCCGAAAGCGACTCCGAAAAAGAGCGAGAGGAAAAGGAAAAACTAGCCAGGAAGAAAGCCAAGCGAGAAGCACGAGAGCGTGAGAGATTGGAAGAAGAGGAGAAACGGAAGGCCGAAAAGAAACAGGCGAAGGAAAAAGCCATGGAGCAAGTGAAAGATAGCGATAGCCGAACTACGGAAACGGAATCTCCTAGGAAGGAAAAACCGGCGTACGATGACGAAGCTGCGAAAGCCGCTCGGAAGAAGGCCAAACGGGAAAGGCAAGAAAGAGAAGCAGAGGAGATTCGGCAACGGTTAAAAGCCGAAAAGGAGAAGGATCGCGAGAGAAAAGCGGCTGAAGAGAGAAAGGCGATTAAAGAAATTGAATTGGAGAAGGCCGCAAGTTATAAACAACATGAAAAGAAAGTTCCGAAGCAGAAAGATCCTGAACCACCCGAAAAGCATGTCGCCGTTCCGGAGGCGAAGAAGTTTGCGGAAACGATCAAAGTTGCGGAAAAGAAGGCTAAGGAGGAAAGTCACCAAATCAATAAAAGTGATAAAGAGAAGGAGAAGCCTGTCAAGAAGAAAAATGATGCTGCATCTCTCTTCTTCGGTGCGAAATCCGACAAACCTTCCAGTAGCGGATTGGAAATGCGTAAAAATAACGATTCGAAAGAGAAGGAACGGCATGAGAAAGTTAAAGCGGGACAGAGATCTCGATCCAATAGCGTCGAGTCTGTTCAAAAAGCACAGGACCAAAAGTTTGATCCGAAGAAAAATACGAAATCTTCCATGGAGGCCGAAACCAGGAAAACTGAGAAACAACGAGATAAAAAGCCGAAGGAGAGTATTCACGAAAGAAGATCACGATCAACCAGCATTGAGCTTCAGGAGAAAAAATTTAATAAGAACCTCGAATCTCAAAAAAGTAGTATTGAACCCAGTAATGAGCAAAGTTGGCAGCCTGAAAAGAAAAGCATGGAAGTAGCGAAAAGGGCAAGGTCATCGAGTATCGAATTTGGTGAGAATGCTGGCGACACATGCACAAGTGTCCTTTCTCCCAAGAACACCGAATCTCTACTATGTTCGGCCCATTCTGAAGATCAACAGCCCCCTGAAATCATAGCACTGGAAAAGAAAGCAGAGCAAAGGTCTAGATCGAACAGTATGGAAATTGACGAAAGAAGTGTATCGACCAGCGTTGCTAGCCACACCACTCCAACTGTGGTCCAGGCGGCTTCCACCAGCCGCGAAATGGATCGCGAAGTATCGCCTGAAATGTATGTGGATTTGTTGTTGGGTCTTGTTTCTTTGGTTTGAATGTTTCCTGTCAATAGAGCGTATCCGATGCGTTATGGAACTTTACCCGTATCGGCTCCGCAGCCATACGAAGCATCGGATGATGAGTCGGGCGACGAAGACGACGAGGACGGTGAACCACAGTTCGAAGTGCGAAAAATTGTCGAGGACAAATGGTCAGAAGATGAGGGGTGTCAGATGTACTTTGTGCAGTGGCTGGGATATGACTCGTAAGTGATTGGCGTTTTTAAAGGCGATTTTTGTGTCTTTTTCTGGATTATGTGGTTGAGTGTTTTAAAAAATTTTTAGGGATGATGATACTTGGGAGCCCGAGGAAAATTTGAAGCACCTGGATGTTTTTAAAGAGTATTTGCAACAGAAAGCCGAAAAAGCCAAGAAGAAAGAGGAAAAGAAGAAGGAGAAAGAACGCGTTAAGAGTCTGGCAACGACATCTGCCGCTTCAAAAGTCAGTACTTCTTCTTCCGATGAGGAAGAAGAGAGGGAAAGAAAGAAAAAAGCGGAGAAGAAGGCGAAAAAGCTGGAGCGTGAAAATAAATTGTCTACTCTTTCTTCTGCAAGGCCAGCCCAGCCCTCGCGTAAAATGACGCATATGGACAAGGTTTTTGGAATGCAGGAAGAGGTACGGTCAGCCACACAAACACACCTCGAATGTGCCTGGTTTAAAATATATTATATTTTTTCGGCCCGCTACGACTTAAATCAGATAGTAGTGTTTTAATTAAACTACAACTTACTTGCTTATATAAGTTGATTAAATTCCAGTGATATAATGACGATAAAGAAACGTGTTAAATGGGTCGTGGGTGCATGTCCCTTTATACCATGCGAAAAGTTGAAATTTCCTACTAAAAGAAACACATTGGATACAAAATTCATGACAATCTCATTTGCAGGACTCGGCAGATGCGGAAGTACAAGTACGCAAGGATGCCGTGATGAATAAGAGTTACAGAATCAACCAGCTTCAGAGACCACTGGATGGTTAGTGAACCTTTATTGTGGAAGTTTTATATTTAAATCATTAGAAAACGGCTTGATTTGTCGCAGACGCTCCCAGACAACTGAACGTTGCTCCTGTGAAGAATAATTATGAAGTAAGTTGTTTAGGTTCTTTTATACTTCTCACTGCTTTAAATGGCTCTTTCACAACAATTGTAGGCTCTTAAGGAGTGGGATTATAAGATGAAAATACCGAAAACTTCCGACGCAAAAGCTCCATCTGCACCTGCGGGACCGGTTCGGAAGCCACTTGAAGTCGTGCCCCCAGTCCAGTATGTTACGGAAGCCGGTAAGAAATAAGAACGGCATATGCTACGAAATGAACATGCACCCTGATTATGCATATTTACCGAAGGCAAAATATGTTCCGTTATTGTAGATGGAATTTTCAAGGATGTTGTGCCGCAAGACATGAAATACCTCAAGCTGGTTTTTGACAGTAAGCGCTCAAACTTCGTAGAGGCGCAACGTATAGAGGCTTCGGTGTAAAATACGACAAGAGATATTTGAGTTTTTGTGCTACAAGTAGATTGCCAAAATATGTGTCTTGAGAAAAGATAAAAAAACATTCTCATGCAGATGCATGTTCAATTTTTCTAAGGTTTCTTTTGTATTTCTTTATTTCAGCATCCACCCCACTTCCCGAACCCCGGGATCCTAAACCGTTCATGACCTATGCCGCAACGAATTTTAAGCTACCTTATATGACCAACGAAAAGCGCTTTGATGGATTGTTCAATCGTGTCCAGCATTTAAAGCGTCCTGACCCCTCGGATCCTCCGTTGGTCACGGATCCCAAATCCATGTTCGAGCTCTCGTCGGTCAATCGGTTCGTGGCACAGCATTCTCGATCGAATGCTCCTGTCCTTGTCAATTATTGCGACCACTTCCGGAAAACGTTATGGCCGCGGCAGGCGGATGAAGAGAAAAATAACGAAAATTTTATTTTGAGAGAAATGGAGCTGTTCCTAAAGTTTCAAGCTAAAAATCGAGCGGTGGAAGAATATCTGGAGAAACGCGACGGTGTTACGGTGCGTCGTAAGGCGGTCAAACGTATCCAGCGTGTGGAGAGACGACGACACTAACTAAGGATTTTGTGTTGATATTAACCTTGGATTTTGGTTCGTTGTTTATTTGCGATGGAAATCAGGGTATATTGCCATTGGAAGTTTTTGTCGTTCGTAGCGTTGACTGCATTCGGTTTTTCTTTCCGCAGTTCCTCAACTTCTATGTGCATCCCGTATGCTTTTGTACAAACCAGGTCTGATTGGAACGAAAGTCTTTTGTTATTACTATGCAGCTCAGGCTTGAACGCTGCAGCCCGATGATAAGGGAACTCTATAGTAGGCTTTTATGGGAACCGAAAAATAAGCTGTCGTTGTTGAAAGATTGGTTCGTACTTTGAGTTCCTTTCTTAAACGCCCAAAACCTACAAATGCCATCCTTTGCCTACTTCGCTTGTTTAATTTCATTGGTTAATTTCTTTGCATTAGTTGGCTATTAGTCCGAGAATTTAAAAAAACTAAGCACATATCGGTCATACGAGATTTTGTTTATTCGAGGTGGACAATTTTAAGGAGACGCGGTTTTCTCTTGCCGGAACCGGCTCGAAAACGTTAGACTGACTATTTCGATAGTATGTGGTAATACGAGTACATGGTAAATTTACACTTGAATTGATCAGCATGAAAAACAAATACTTTCTGTTTAGCAGTGAATCTATCATGTGGAGCGCTGCAAGATCATCAAGATGTACTCGTATCTTGTCACGAGACAAATATTTCAACGTTAAAAACCACGGTATTATGTAAGCATTGTGTTTACTCTCGTATGTATACGAGTCGTATACATAGGCAGCGCACGTTTTTTACGATACGAATGACACAGGTCGGACGGGATAGTGTATCGGATCCACTACTTCGTTGGAAAGCGTTGTTCGGTACAAAACTACCGCTTCCGCAAATGGTTTTCTATTTTGAAAGTATAGGAAAGCGTTGTTCGGTACAAAACTACCGCTTCCGCAAATGGTTTTCTATTTTGAGCGCGCTGATGTTTGCCGACTCGTCAAATGGTTCATTTTCCTTGTTGTCAGTCGAAGTGGGATGAGAGCCTGTTTAATAATGGATCATAGCCTGCCAGCCCTGACCTGTTGTACTGTGCAGTACTTATTTTGTAATTATGTACATTAACGACGCCAATTTACCACGTACATTGCTAGCACTACCGCCTATGTTAAATCAAATCGGTACTGCTCAAAAACAACATTTATAATATTTACCCTTAGGTGAAAACCTTTATACCCAAAGGTCTTCATCTATAAAGTATACAAAATCTCGGAGTATAAATACAAAATGGAGAATAAATATAAAATGGAGTTTGTCTACTGTAGTTGCAATAATAATAATAGTAATTAGTAATAAAGGTGACTTATTAAAAATCTCATGGCTTCATTGTCGAATAATACTATCAAGATAATTTACTAATTCTACTGCGCAGCGGATAGATCGCATCTAAATAGCTATACTTCGTATAACACTTATTGGCGAAAAGTTTCCACAGTACGGGTGGTTAATAAGCTCGTAAATAAGGTATCCCGTGCAACGGCATGAGACAAACAACGTCCAACGGCTTACTTCCGATTATCCAAATGATAATTTCGAGCTGTAGATACTAGCCTATTTATACTTTTTAGAATATTCGAGCTAAAAATGAAATATCTCTATAGTGCATAGATAACCGACATTCATAAAATATATAGCACGCTTATTATCGAAGCACAGAATTTTCTGTACGTAGGCAGCTGCGTAATTGTAAACATCCCAAAGGGACATTTTGCAGCATAATAACACCATTTAGCACCAATTCACTGCATCACAATAACAGGCCGGCTTATACGCCGGTGCGCAACACTGACACCGGCGAACATGCATGGTATATAACCGGCATATGTTGTTAACCAAAAATAACCTAATTTCCGCTTTGATTTTCAATGCACCTTTTGAAAGTTAAAATGTAAAGTGCAGAATTGCCTCTGTTGTGGGGCATTTTAAAATGTCACACAAGCCGAAGCGGTATGGATTATCGTGGATAGCACTCGGATCCCCGAATGGGAGTTGCCGGTGAATTTCCCGGGCAGCCGGAATGTTATTGGGCTAGCATATGCAGTGTGTCGGTATACACTTGAAGGGTGCAATTCGGCATTATTATGCGCCTGTCACACAATAGTCGGTATACCGTATAGGTATTCTATCGTTTGGCGCGGAGGAAAGTGTTTCACACGTGAGAGTGCGTGGTGAATCGATTTCAGTCATTTTACTTTAACCTGGGCTATCCGGTTGTTTCGAATATTACGGAAAAGAGCAAATTTCCGGTAAATGCATGTGAAATAAGGCCCTTCATCGCCGGCAAGTATCGACAGTTGGGTGCCGGTAAAGGCCTAAAGGGGAACACGCTTCCTATGAGCGCCGGTTGTACTTGCCCCGCGTCTGGTCTGGCCAGCTTGAGCCTTGAACTTGCAGCGTGTGTGGATGTGCAAGTGCATATATGGCCAGTCATTAATGTTCTTTCCGGGATTGAGTGGAATAAAGATGTGTCAAGGTTGGGCATTTTTATCCCGGTTTATTGCCATGCCAGCTAGCCGTGTATTGCACCTGCAAGATACAATCAAACGGTTTTTCCATCAGGACAATCTAACCAGATGACTGCATTACGATGTATACGTGTGATGATGAACTACTATTCCGCATGGTATCCCGACGTCGATATCGATGATGACTTTTTTGCTGTGTCTTATCATTGCGTGTTCAGTATGTGCTGGAGCAATTATCCGATGTTTAACACAATGCTCCGGTACCTGTGTCGACAGTTGACGAGGATCACGGCTGATTCCCTTATGCACGGGACACTTATTCAAAATATAATAATCTGCATATTACTCCAGGCACACAGCCGGACTAATGATAGGGTGGCGACTATCACCTTAGCACCGCTGCATGGATCCGGACAGCAGTTGATCACGTACTCGTAGCATTTGATGGAACTTTGCCGAGACTCGAGTAAATGCATAATCGAGCTACGCCTGTTTCCTAAATGGCGGTTTGTCCTTCTAGTAATCTGCATTATGTTAACTCCTGTGCATTCCTTGGAGGTATTTGTTTTTAACTGAAGTTTGTTAATTTAAGTTTCCAATTTTGATGCCAAGATGTGATCAGATGCCGATGTGACCTTGCACAATATGAATACTTATATCTATATGTTAGATGAGATAAAAAATTATATATGGGCGTAATTAGCTCTACCCTTAGTCGGAATCTGACTTGATTGTCGTAACAATTTCAGCCCGATGTATTATTATACACAGTATGTAGTTGTGAAATGATCGATTATATGCGCCGTTTGAATAGCATTATGCAGTTGCAAATAGCAAATGGTGTTTACACAAATGCTTCATGATCAGCATAACAATTCTGCAACAGAGTTCATTCCAGCCGAATTTTTTTATCCAAAGAATTTTTGATTATATAAGTATACGACAGATTAAAATACAGCAAAAGTTTAATTTCGATCTACAGCTTAATCAACGAAGTGCTCTGTGCCTTCATTGTTAACCCTATATTCTTCCCGTCAATTACTTTTTCAATGCAAACGATCGCAATAATACATTAATTTGTAGCCCTATAATACTTGACGTATGCGTGCAGTGCAGTAATAATGTTGTACAACTTGTTGTCACAATAAAAACAAAAGTGACAAAAGCAAAACTTCCGTATTAAAGCTTTATCGAACACAAATTCACATTAATAACTGTGATTGTTTTTCAAACCACATCAAAATTACCGGCGCGGTGAAAGAGCCAAATGTAAATTACATCAATATCTTCCGGTACCTTTTCTAAACCTTTGGTTTTGATTGGCTTATTAATTTTGTTTAAATTAGCTCTGAGACAGTTAAAGTAATAAATCTTGCCAGAATAATACTGTAGTTATAGCGTTTATCTGCAGCATCCCGTGCGGCTGCATGAATGCTTGAACGTACGGTTGCGCACGTTATATGTTTTCCAAAACTTTATTTTTGTTTTGTTTGATAGGTCGAAAAAGAATAACTTTTCGGTTAAAGTAGATAGAAACGGTTCTCTTAACACCAAAAAACTGACTGCCAATAAACACCCTTGAACAAACATCCAATTGAGGCAAAAAAGCTTCCCATGCGGGGAATCGAACCCCGGCCGCCGCGGTGAAAGCGCGGAATCCTAGCCACTAGACCACATGGGATTTTCAGTTGTAATCATTGGTAGGTGCACCGATCAGACTTACCATAAACTCTGCGGTTTCGTATCTATCAATTAGATCTTTTGTGCAAGAGTCGCGCATTATGACTTTCTGATTTGCAATCTTATTATGGTCGGATTTAATCAACCATATTTTTGTGCGCTGATCCATGTGTTCATAACTTCGGAGCTCACATCCTGTGTGGGTTGAGATTTGAGAGCATGTAATGGCATTCGAACAATTTTAACTTCAATCGCCTACATATCTGCACAACCGGGGATCATTGAATTTTGACGAGTTTCGGTCAGTTGCGAAATTCTGCATGCAACCTATCAGAAGGCGTAATTTTCATGGTCACACAGTGCGTGTAGGAAACAGATGCCATTCGATACTCCCGCTACAACATTGAGCATACTATCAAGTATTCACCTTATGAAACGAATCATAACGAGTGTATTATACAGATACTCTTTAACAAATAATGCGGCTCAATAAATTTTATTATTGTAGTACAGTAGCGTTTTGCTGAAACCAGAACCAATCAGTCTTGAAATAAAACTCTTCATGATTACTTTATCCCATTCAACGCACCGCAATTTATGAATTCGCTTCCGCTTGCTTAACAAGTTTTGCATGGATGTTCTTCAGGGCATCACACATATTAATCCGCTTATGCCGTCGCCGTCCTTTACTCTTGCCGACCTTCATCTCCACTTGTAAGGATTTGACTAATTTATCTTTCTTGGATTTTTTACACGACAAAGGATTGGGCTGCTTCGGTCCTTTGCGTTTCCTTTTCGGTGGAAGGCTGGCCGATGTTTCGCCCAATTCCCTCTTTTTCATTTCGCCTATCACATCCTTCTGATAGCCGCTCGGTTCCAGTTTCTCATTCTGTCGCGTTCGCGCCACTTCGAGAGATTTTTCCGATGGCTTTTCCAGAGTTAGAGAATGGTGATGGAGATAGAGAATGGGCACCCCTGCTTTCTTTCGCAGTTTGTCTTGGAGATCAAGATCCTACCAACAGAAAATTCGGATACTTACTTACTCAAAGCTGTAATTTATATTTTTGAATGCAATCTTTTCGGATCCATGACAGCCATTTCGATCAATATTTTTCTATGCAAAACGTTAAGTATTATTAACAATGTTTTTTAGTGTTAAAAAACCTATGCCAGCTTTAGCTTTTTTTCATAACCCGATCTATATGGTAGGGGATCTAGTAAATTTGTAGCGAAATAAAGTATCAGCAATTATCGTTATCGGGTATCTGCTAACAGAATTCGTAAGGCTACCTGGCTGGCAATAAGGAACTTCTCGGTATTGCCGCCTCTTGTTAGTGTTTCCAAGCAGGCACTGGCTGGCAAAGGCTTCTCTTGGTGATTACAGGGTGCAAGGCTGAACTGCTTCAATACACACAGTGCACCATGAAGCTCTGGACCTACAAAAATTACAGCCGATCGACACATGTACGAGTAGTCACTTAACAATAAGAAATGCAGCGATAAGAATTCAATGCAAAGGGACCGTAGACTGTACGGACGTACCCAGGTTCGTGGTTTCATGCAGGCAGCATGTAGTGGTCAACAACTGGCATTCTGCTCCCAGATATTTCGGTAACTGTTCCCGCAGGTTGATTTTCATTTTCAAAGCGAGAAAACAAAATGTTCCATCGATTAGCACAGGAAAAGGCGATCGGAAATCAAAACTGGTTTCGTAGAATGAGAGAAACTTTTGGGCTTTCTTGTAGCGTTTTCCTCGCATTTTAGGTCCGCAACTCAAGACCTGCCAAACGGGACCAATTCAATTGCATACTACTACTAGAGCAGTGAAGAAGTCCTTAGGCAGTCCTTTAACTTTTCAAACCAACTCATTTAAAATTTTTAATTTAGTTCCGATGCCACAATGCCACTCAGGATGAACGATACTAAATCTAAATCTGATAAGTACATATTAAATCGGTTTTTTTTCGTCGCACTTCGCACGGGCTAGTGATACAGACAACCGACCTCGGGTGACAGTTGCTGGGAAGCATGACTGTCAGCTTTCTCTACCGGGCGCCGGTAACCGGTGGTATAACGCACAACTGTTTCGCTTGCGGGAAGTTATTGTACTTATTGATAATCATTATTGTTATTAATTAATAGAGGTCAATGGTCATCATGACCCTTTTCCTAATAAATCCACAAAGGGTTAGGCATCAAAAATCTTAAATGGGTTACATTTGTTCGTTACAACACGACCTGTAGCACTAATTGATAACACAGTGCTGACTCCGTGCGTGCTGCCATTCGATTTCGATCCTCGTTAAAAATCATTTCTTGTAAGTTATTATCATGTGATATCGGAGATGTAAATTACGGCGGCTAACAAAATAAGAGAAGACGTTTAGCTAATGCTGTGATCAATATACTCTATGGCCTATGCAGATCTCTTGTGAAGTGGAGCGACAGCGGAAAACTTGCCAGACATACCGAAGGAAAACAAATAGTAGCGACTATCTGTACTATCGGTAGGAATTTTCCCAGGCTCACCGCCGCGTTAAAAGTCTTGCAGCTGTTGTTATGTATCTGTATGCCACACTACAACCTCGCGCTAACGTAAACAGCCTGAGACAGTACTTACTTACAAGTTAGTGCTGCAAATCGACGTTTATTAAATCAATAATTAGCAGTTCAATAATTTCTGTTGTTTCATCGAGCGGTGAGTTGCTTATATCTTTTAAATCAGGAAGTTGGTTTGCACTGGGAAACGCGTACGGCTGAACGCTCGCGGAAAGCATGGCTCCGTTACGTTGGGGAATGGTGGGATGCGGTGAAATTAGCAATGATTTTGCCTCTTGTCTGCAGAGTCTGCCAAGGGAAGAACATCAGGTATTTATGGTTAACACCATAACGTTTGCGCTTATTGACCAATAAAATTGAGTCTTGTCATTATGGCAGAATTTTACACCACTAATAATTATTTCTGTGTGAAGACTCTGTACTGATTACTGTTCGGCGCATGCGGAAGTGGCTGCAGTGTAGTGGTATTCCTCACAATCGGTGTTAACGTTTGCAATTTTTAGCTCGTAGCAGCAGCTGCTAGTGATAAAGAGAAAGCGAAAGCGTTCGCCAATGATTTCGGATTCCAGAAGCATTATGGATCTTACGCCGAACTTGCGGCAGACCCCGATGTCGGTATGGACACCTAAAAAGTTTACCCTGTGTACAGTTCCTACATTACTAGTATCGTACAAGTATTTATTGTAATTATGTACCTACTTTGTATTGTACTTACACGTTTAGTTTGTATGTTGATTCAGAGTTTAAACTTTACGGCTTTACATTTCTTTTCATGATTACAGTATTTTTAAGGTTAATATGATTTATCCTAACTGCGTTTTACGTATTAACTCAGTAAAATGTCATTGCTACCCACGTGGCTGAATAAAGCAGACTTCTGCAACCACTATCACAAAGTCAAGTGTATTACTGTAATACTTTTTATGGCTTGGATTGTCTACTTACAAGCTGAGCACGGATGAATATTGGCTTGCGACTGGGCAAATAAATTAGTTTAAAAATTAATAGGTTGCAGCGTATTCGAGCAAGTTGTAGCAGTTATTATTTTGTTTTTTAACACAATTAGTTTTTTGTATAAGACAACAGATCGCGTTCAGTTAATCAGATTTAGTGGATGACAGTGAATGCTCTGCGGTCAACTTGCGGTTGGATCAGCTGTAATTAGTTTTTGCGATCATGAATGTTGCAAATTGCAGCTCATTGTGAGTGCATTGATTAATCGGCCCAGTTTACAGATACGGTGTATATCGGGACCATCAATCCGAATCACTACGAAATCTGCAAGATGTTCTTGAATCATAACAAAAGAATTCTGTGCGAAAAGCCGTTGACGCTGAAGTTGGAGCATACAAAAGAACTAATCGCTTTAGCGGAACAGAAAAAAATATTTTTTCAAGAGGTCAGTTCTGTACTACAATCAGGAAATTACACAACGGTAATTGAAATGGATAACTAGCATATGAGTAGATTTGGTTTTGTGACTTCGTGTCTTCCTTCTGGACAGTAATACTAACCATTGTGGCCTTTTAGGCATTCTGGAGCCGGTTTTTTCCGCTGTACAAGCAACTGCGCGAAGATATCAAGGCGAAATCCGTTGGGGAAGTGAAGCTGGTCACGGCGATTTTTGGCATTAAGATGGACGAGAATCCGTCTGCCCAGCGGTTGGTGAAGAAAGAACTAGGCGGAGGAAGTCTCATGGACATCGGTGGATACTGCACGCAGGCGATTTTATTAGCTTATGGACCGGAAATGCCGGAAAATGTACAAGCCTGTGCGATAATGAACAAAGAAGGTCGGTCATGAATCTCATGAAGCCACTGCATGTGCAGTTGTTAGATTAGACGTACCGGCTGTTTTGGACATAAACTGCATTTTGCAAATAAATAATTGTTATTGATGGGGTTAGGTGTGGATCAGTCCGTTACGGTCACATTACAATGGAAGGATGGAAGAATGGCACAATTTGCGACGACGTTTTTTGCCAAAGTCCCATCTGAGCTGAAACTTTACGGCGAAAAAGGATACATCACGGTATACAACTAAAAACTCATAATTGAGTCGTAATACTAATCAGTTTATGCACATGGTACTGTTTAGTGTAGCGTAGCTAGGGCCAGGAAATTCATACCGTTCTAGTTGTACATCAGTTTCATAAAATTCTATTTGCAGGTGAAACATCCCTTTTGGAGCCCAACCGATATGGTTGTGACAGAAGTTAAAGAAATTGACAAGGATGAACGACAGCAGAAATACAATTTCCCTCTGCCCAAAGTGGAGCATAAACTGGAGTATCCCCACGGCGAAGGTATGACGTACGAAGCCCAGGAAGTCTACCAGTGCATTCAGAAAGGATTGCTGGAAAGCCCGTTGTTTACCCACCAAGAAAGCATCGTCTTGGCTACGATTGAGGATCGCATCAAAAAAGCCATTGGTCTCAGTTACGATGAATTGTATGTTGGGCAAGGTGCACCTACTACTCATCCCCAGTAAATCGTTTGACATAAATATTGCTTATACTTGATTTTTTTATCGATCTTGTACCGCGACTCTTCGAGCTGCATGCTTTTCGAATTATGATGTTCATTCACCCATTTAGTGTAAACTGTCTTAACAATCTGTGTTCACTTTTGAACCGTTCATAAAAAATTAACCAGTAAAACAATAAAAGAACAGGAACAGATCACATTAGCAGCAGAGCAAAATCAATCTTAAGAAATGCGCTACGCAAGGAACAACATAAAAGATCAAAATAGCAGTCATGTTAGCCCAAACACCACGTTAATACATCTCTTCTGGTTCGTAACCATCCGGTTCCAATTCACACGGTCTATGCCATTCCTGTCCGTACTCATGAATCCATTTATTGGAAACCCATTTCACACCGGACAATACGGGGCACGCCGCATGTCGCGTTCTGACATCGCCCTCACCGTTTTTGTGGAGATTATACCAGAATGCAGCGGACCCCTTCTTCGGCCACAACGCCAAATTAAGTTTGGGGAATACCGTAGCTCCACCGGCTTCCACATCTGACATATAGAACAGCATTGTGGCCACGCGATTACCCATGCCAAGGCTAGTGAAAACTTTTGTTTCCGCTTTGCGGGCGAAATCAAAATGCGGCTCATAATGTCCACCGATGCCGTAGTTAGCGATTTGCAGCTCCTCTGCGTAATCAGTGTCCAGTCCAGTGATGGCAGCAATGCGCTTATTAACACGATCTATCACTGGATCGTCTGTGCTTTTCAACCAAGCGCTATAATGGACAAAGTCACAAAGCTATTTATTAGCAGGCACACTGTTATTTACATTTTTAATCGTAACCGATAAAATTTTGCTGACCCTCACCTTTTGCTTATTCTGTAATGTGCGGTTTCCAGTTCGCCAGTCACAGCATTCTGCACAGTGGCCCTCTGTAATCTCGGCACGGCAAGAGATTTGATAACTCCAATTTCCCGATCTGATATGACATCATGGTAAATAATAACATCTGGATCTTTGTGCACCAATTCGCTTTTCACCGGCTGCACGAATAAATAAGGGTCGTTCGCTGTGAAAAAGCAATTCAAATGCTTGTCAACTGAAGGTTTCTGCAACAAAAACCACAAAAATGTTAAAGAAAATTAATTTTTTAGTAAGCGTTTCCCTGAGCCAATCAAACATGTTGATGTTGATGTTGATTTGCAAACAACATAAAGTATTATTATCAAACAACCACTCGTACAAAGTAGGTAAACCGGTAACCCAAACAAATTTCTCCAACTCATCACGGTCTTATTCTTTAATATCGATTTGTTCGTTAAACGCTATAGATTCACACTTACAAACTGCTTTTCTCCACGACACAAAATCTCATACGTCCGCCTTTCATCCGCCCATTTATCAGACTTCTTTTCGATTAACTGTTTTTTTGTCGCGACGGTATTCCCATCGTCTCCTTTCTTTCTTCCGGAATTCAACAGCGCCATCTCTTGATTATAGTGCCACAAATTATTCTGAGCTCGTTCGTGTGAAGGCTGGACATCTAGAATGTCTCTAGTGAAGCGTACTGCATCGTTCAGTTCTCCCTTCAAATAGCTACTAAACGCCAAATACTCCAAAACATCCGCTCTGCTGAAAGTTTCATTTATCATGAAGTATTCATTCATTCGGTGCAACGCTGTTCGCATCCATTCCATCGAGTGATCATAGTCTTTGAAATTGTAGAAAACTTTTCCCAATTCGAAGCACTCCAAGGCCGTTAAACTCGGGGATTTAGCGACACCTTTAATTCGCCCTTCCGCAATAGCTTCAGAGTCTATGCGGTAAGTATCTTGCAGTCGAGATAAAGCCACAGCCACTCCGTTCAGATCTTCATCGGTGGGGATGGGATAATTTGAATCACTTCGGATACCATATATGTCCTCAAGGTAAACTGTAAAATACCACGCTGTATTCTGCACTGCAAATTGTAAATATAGAGTAACAGATTTTTTGCCTTTATTGAAAAATGCGTCCCAGTTCAGTCACCGTTTATATTTAAACATTTCCGTATTGTATAAACACTGTACAGCTGTACAATACATTACAGTACTAGCCGCAATATGAGTGGGATCGTAAGACTGACTGGTGAAAATTAAGAATTTTCGTTTTTTTTTGTGTGGCTATACGTACAGAATAACTTTTTATGTTAGAAGTTAAAACTTCAAAGTATCATCCCTTTTAAGTTAAAATGTTATGTTAATGTTACGTTAATCCGTTACTGTTATGTTAATTTTTTTTAATGTTATGTTAATGCCATCTTAATGTTTTGTTAATTTTTTATGTTAAACTTGAAAGCGTCCTATTTCTAGCAAACTGGTAAGTTTTGCCCACCTCGGCCCAAAGCCTGGTTTAACAAATCCTCTGCTTGCTTCCAGTCCAGAGTGAGTTTTTTGACGAAAAGGTACACATTCACAGGATGAGCAATGAACTTTTCCAGATTATCATTGGCGGTGGCATAGATGTTCTTCAATTCTGTCGTGTATCTGGAAGTCACAAACCATTTGGCTTCACCAAAAGGATACCGTACAGTAAATAGTTTTTTTCCAAGTCATTACTTTCGTATCTGGTCCATACGTTGTTCTTCTTCATCCAAGAATCTCTCCAGAGTGTCCACCACCAGACGCTCATTTTCCAGCAGTTTCTCCAAATCTGCGATGGCCGTAAATACTTCGGCCGAACCCCTTCTCAGGGATGAATACAAAATACATAAGACAATCAAAACCTGATTGGCATGCATCGTGATTCAAGGTTAATAAGCGACCGCAGGAGCAGAAACCTTTCCAAAGGTTTTCAAGCTGATCGGATGATCAGGCAGCAGTTCTGCAGTTCCTTCGCTCACGCATGTACATCCTAGACGACGAGGAAAGGAGAATCTCCAATTCTGCATCTTTCCGTTTATTACAGCAGTGTCTAGGCTGCTCTAGATTTGTGGGTAGATATTTTAAGTACACAGGGAAATGAAGCGATACTGTAGCTGGACTCGTTCCAAACAGTTAAAAATAAAGTCAAATAATATTTGCACTGCACATATGCCGGAACGGATATGGCTGAAACGTCACTCGGTCAGTGATGTTAGGATACGCCTTTAGGCGGGCAAGGCGGCCAGTGATTACAATTCTGGCACTGTTGAATCTCGCTCGCTCGCAGTATCATCTTGCATTTCCATCAAAAAATTTAATTATGATGTTGCCCGGTTTTTTTCACCTGTCGTTTTTGGGTTCGAGTACAAAACTCCTGCAATACCGCTTTCAAAACATTAGTGAAAATTAAAATAAGGCTAACATTAGACATACAAGATAATTAACAAGCTAACAGTAACAGCTAACCATAACGTCTGCATAAGCACGAGTACTAGTATTGTGCAGTAGATACTTCGTTTATTTAAAGGATGTAAAAAGATCACTCTTATTTAATGAGATATAATGGTAAGAGGCCATCGATTCTGCTGAGAAGTTGTTATTTCCCCTTTCCTGAATTTTAAGAAACGGTACTAACATTTAGATCTAGCAGTTTACTGTTAGCCCGTTTAGATGTCTGAGAAAGGTTTACACAATATTTACATCGATCAGTTTGCAAAGTTCAATAGCTAGGAAAGCAATACAGCTTTTAAAAACCAATGTAGAATAACAAGAAGCATTTAATTCAACGCGCGCATTTTATTATTTAAACGACATTCTTAATTTCTTTTTAATGGTTAACAGACCACGGCTACAGATACAGTACAAATTGTACAATAAGTACTTATGGCAAGTAGTACAATTATGTATATACGAGTACTTATCATGCAGCCGCCAGGCTTTTGCAAAACAATTGCCGTTAGCGCGGTTACTCATCGATTTGAACCCAAAAAACAAATTACTGAAATTCGTTTTGCCAAGATTAAGACCATATTTGTCATGACTTAATAACAGTTCGCGTGACCATCATCTTTTAAACATAATACATCATAAGATTCATAACTGAAATGTGGATATCACAAGATTTTAATTCCTATTCTTTACTGTAACGTGGGACCGATGAGTCAGTCAGTCGTAAAACATCCTGCGGCAGCGGCATGTATAACAATTTTTAATATAATATGTAGATATTAATAAAACGTCGGCGCACAAGTATAATACATGGATTTTTTACAATAATATTATTATGGTCAAAGAAAACAGAAGCACTTTAAAGCACAGTACCTGTACAAGTACTTTTCGAGTACTTATATTAGCACGTAAGTACTGTACTCATATCATGCTGGTGCTACGGTACTAGTATTTCACGATGATCAGAAGTCAAGACCATAATTTTAGCATTGAGATTAAAGTACTTAATCTGATTTTAGTAAGTAGTATTCGTAGGGCGCAGGTATTGGTAATAATATATCATGCAAACAAAATTATTATGGATTTGCTGCTACGTATTTCATTCGCGCAAAACTTAGAATTTATATATACAGTCCAGATGAGCACTTGCAGAGAGAACATTTGATAAGAACATTATGAACATACAGTACTGATGCCAAAACTATAATAATTATAATTGCTATAATATTATCGTAATTCAGTTCACTGAGCAATAACAATAAATTTATTGTAAGTTGAACAATAGCAGAGCAAAGACTAATCTGCAAAAAAAAATCTAAATTTAACCGAACAAATCAAATCCTCATGGTGCGCAATACGAGTAGCGCGGTACTGAAAATGATTTTCCCGTTTATTCTTGATTGTCCTCTGCTTCACTGTCGTCCTGCTGCTTTCGGCCACTTTCCTCATCCGTATCCCCTGCATAACTGTAATCTTCCGAGAAGTCGCTGTCATCCACTCCTTCGGCATCCGCTTCCCCGGTGTAAAATAGCAACGCCCGGGGCACAACACGCAGCCGCAACCCGGTAGCGATCTCATAATCCACACCTGCCTGCTCCGCCTTCTCCATCAAATCCTCGCTGTCCTCCTCCGCCAGCATCTGCCCAATCTTACTCAGATCGGTGATGCCCGGCGTGAAGAAATCGAAAAACGAATCCACCTTCTTGGACCCCTTCATACCATCCCCGCTGGCGGATTTCTTGGTCACATCCTTTCCTTCCTTCCAGGTGATCTTGCAGCCGGCCGTTGATGTCGGCATCAGTCCATTGGATGTGTACAGCTGTGTCGGTGTCAGGTTCGTATCGTACTCGTACGAACGGGTCAACACCGTATTGCCGAAGAACGGATTGGGCGCAAACTCGAAGGCAATACCAAATCCCAACGGCTTATCTTTGTATTCAATGCGGACATCCTTGAGAAACTCCAGCACCGCGATATCATGCGGCTGCAATATCATGTCAATATCATCACATGGGCAAAAACAGTATCCAGTCAAGCCAACATCATCGTATGGGCAGTATAAAAAGTGCGCTATGAGCCTATGACCTTACAAAATGGAAGATTTCTGCGCGTCAGATGTCTTAATTTTTCTTCTTTGATCGATTTCATATATCATTCTGGTTTCTGACTTTTTGTTTCTTCTTTTATGTATTGTTTTTCTTCGCTTTGAGAGTATGAGTACCTGGATCATGTCGGCGGTATGGGCGGCATAATTCAGCACAACCATCCAGAATTTCGGAATGCCTTTCTGTCCATCGTCCGGTGAAGTATCCGGTTTGATATCCTTATCTGTTAAGGAGAATTTGGATTCTTGCTCCGTCGGGACCGCTTTGCCGGCGATGAATTCCGCGCGCTTCTTCCACACTTTATCCAGACTGCGGTACGTGTCAGCCTCCAGACGGAAGGCGGCTACCTGGCTCTCCACTTCCTTACGACGCGCTTCCATGTGCAGATTGCGCAGTGCGTTAATGCATTTGTGGATGTTTTCGGGATATTTTTCGTTTTCAGCGATACTGCCTCCCGGGTTGCCGGAGGTGATGCTGCTGGTTTTTTCGGATGTGTCCGATACATCGCCGGCGTCATGACGGAGCTTGGATTCCATGATTGGCTTACTGGTCGATGGGCCAGCAACGTGCAAATTTGCTGTGGAAGCGGTTGCCGTGCGGGGCATTGTGGATTGTATCTGTAACGATTAACAATCGTCGATTATCAGTGCTGCAAAAGTTTGACAGTTACAGTAGCTCGCCACCTGTTTCAATGCAGTTTTGTTTTTTAAAATTTTATTTGCTGTTCGCTGTGCCTCTATATTGCCTATTCCAGTCTAGACGGAAAGACCGAAGTCGATATCGTCAGCTAACCTTTGTGATTTACGGGAAGCTAGGAGTTACTCGTACGATATACACACCGTGACACACGTTAAGTACAGTACTTAGTATCATATATATATCTATAAAATTAAATAAAAACTCATATGAAGGTTGAAATTCGTAATTTTTGCGCTACGAAAGTCGCCTTCAACATTTTAAAACTGACCATTATAAATTGTTTCCGTTTCAGTACTACTGTATGTTAGCAGAAATTAATTATGACGCAGGCTGCAGACTGGTGAGCAAGAGGTCATCGTCTAATTTACTGTACGTACCAGCTTTCCTCGGAACTTCCAAATAGGTAATTACCTATTTACCACACCCACGAATTCGAATTCTCTGAAACCGGAAGTGTTTTAAATAAACGTTTAGATGGTTAATAGTGACCATACCAGTTTGGATTACTTCCTGACGTATCACCCTCGATTGTGTCTCCAAAAACTGAAAAAAAGTGATAATCCAGTGCAAAGTGAAAACGCTAAGATCTCCGTTATCGAGACCAAAATAATTGTAATATTTCGACTTTCAAGAGGCACGTTGCACTCGGTAGAGACAAATCCCGTCTGGAAATAATGGTGAGCACTGTTAGTCTGTTACGAAGAGCTTACGGATAATGAATAACGGGCACGCCGCGTACAGACAAATTTTTGCAAAACATGCAACACGAAAGCAAAGTTCTATGGTATTTCTGCGATGCGATGCAAGGGTGCTCAAATGTTGCTAGGCGCTTGTCCCGTAAGGCACTTTGCAGCCGTGATAGCGTGCCGGTTTAACACCTTTTCGTTAATGGTTAAAATACGAGTACAGTACTTACACTAGGTTTTAAGTTTTAACTTATCATAATAATACTTTTTTAAATTTTTAGCAGTCTAACTTGTGCCATTACATTATCAATATAAATTCCTGCGCTCGTTTCCTGATTAGCCCTTTGTATCGGATGTTACTTTTGTGGTATATTATACGAGAATGATTGTGTTATTAAACTGTTTAAACAGATAAAAGAATTCAATTGCATGGTAGCATGAAGCATCCACGAAAAAAATTTTTACTATACGCGTGCTTACTCACAACAGAAACTTTAATATAAGAAACTTTTTTTCCGTAAAATTAACAAATCGATTAAAGAAGAACGCTAAAATGATTGACGCCCTGTGCATCATAGGTAGAATGCGGCAAGAATGGGCAGTGATGGTGCACAAAGCAGCTACCCTAAGCGCGGGCTGTCTGTGTTGATTTTTTGTGAATGAACATTTTACTGGTTTACGCACGTTTTATTATTTTACGTAGTTTGTTTAGTTAGCACACCTCCAAACGATCAAACGCAACACGTTCAGCAATAATTCATTATGGTTTACCGGCCGTTGTCGCGCACACACAATGACTAACGCTGCGAAAAGGTCGTATGGACAGCTGATGTGAGGACGCCATTTTAACGCATTTCTGCATTAGTTTGAGCGATGCTATATCCGGAAAGCGCAACCTGACAAGGTTCTCTGACGAAACATGCCCGCCGGATGTATCCATCAAGTTGTTTTATTGGTATTTGTAATCGTTTGTCTGGTTAACAAAATTTTGTCCATTGTAACGTCGTATCCTGCGGGCACATAGTAATACGCTAGACAGTGATTGACCCGCCATATTTCACACATTTGTGGACGGAATGCCGGCCATGTGACGATGCGTAATGTGTAACAGTTTGACTAATCGACAGAATTTTGGAAGATTTATAGCTTTACAAATTTGCCGGAAGGTTCGGCTTCCGCAAAATAATTTTGGTTTTAACCAAAGCTTCTGGCACATATATACGGACAGTCGACTACAATGCATCTCACAATACTCTGATCGTACAGTTGACTTGACCTTTTGAAAGCCTGATTGTGCTAATATTTGTGTTTATATCGCAGCGGGTAAACGGCGGCATTATTGTCACTTATCTGCGTGATCATTTGTTACTGACTAGCTAAATCAACGCTGCATTTCGGCAAAGGACGAAACATGACCGGACAACGCACTACAGACGGAAATTCGCAAACCGCTCCTTCTGGTCGCATCGCTGGCGGACCTCTGGTTAACTCCAGAGATGGCATCTACACTACTGATTATTACACCGTTTACAACAAGTAACGCTGTCGACAATGTGTCCAGCTTGACCATTCTGCTGCTGCATGCGATGTAGAAAGGGAAAAGGGTTCTCTGTTTTGTTTGCCGTTTGTAAATTTGAAGTACAAAATACGCGTTTGTCTTTTTTGTGTGATGGCGACAAAATTGTTTTTTTCGACATTCGAAATGTTGTACGTATTTTGCGTCGCACGCAAATGCTGTATACTAATTAACAGCATGTAAAATCAAATTTGTTTTATATTTGTGTGGGCTTTGGAGGCTGGAGCTGTGATACCGATAACTGTACTCAAGTTTATATTTCGTAACTGTCGATTTGATCTCAACTGGCCATGACAAATAAAATTTTGAATAACGAAAACACTACTGAACGAATAGGATATCTATACTTATAGTAAACTTTAGTAAAAACTTCAATTTAAGCGAAAACCTCTGGTAAAAAGAGTGTGGGTTTTTGTTATAATTTTGCATATTAACTAATTGTAAGATTTTCATGCGTACGAAGTATGCGTTAACAACTGGTAAGAAGCGTATACATTTTCCAGAACTCCGTTTTCGTTGCGTACGGTTGCAGTTTTTGCCGCCGCCGGTTGCAGTTTTTGCCGCCGTTTTTTCCTGCGATTCCTGCGACACTGTTCGTACATACAATATAATGCCTCTGTAATTTTGCCGGCAGTTCTACTACCGTAGTATATAAAGTATCTGTATTTCAACAATTTATAAAAAAAGGGCGATTACTCAATTAATGGTGATACAATTATATACTGTAAATTTCGAGCTTTCGAATTCATGTGTTTACATATGTTAACAACTCACAAGTCGCGGTTTTTCCCATGAGAACTACACTAAATGTTGTTTAATGTTTGTTGTTGTCCCAAATGTTGTGGAATTAATTGACGGAACAGAGTCCAGACCATTTCCTGATTGATCTGCTGAATTCGAAAGTTGGACCCGCTCTAGTGATTTTGCAATTGCCGTGTGTAATGGACATGATGAGAGCATATTTAGCCAAACTACTCCCACCAACCTTCCTGACACATCCTGCTGTGCAGCCGAAAATTTCAGCCACTTCCATTAGGATCCCGGCCCTCTTACATTAACTTTCTTCGTAAGTCTCTGTGATTCAGCGGTCTCAGAATCTGCCGGCTAATGCAGGTCGAATGAATGTGACAAGTCGTAAAGTAAGTTCAAGCTGCATTTCCGGTCGTTGCAAGCGAAAACGGTTAATGCAAGTGCACAAGGTTGACTTTTCCTGTGTGTCTTGTAAGGTTTCCATTAATATTTTACCCAGGCATGATAGTGTCATCGTTTCAGCGGAAAAGCCCTATCGTGTGATACAGTCTGCGTTTTCTTATTGTGATGCATTTGGACTGGACTATATATTGTGCCGAACCCATTCAGCAGGATGTTTTCCTCATATTTGACTAATATGTATTGATATGATTATTGTCGGCATTGGAAGTCATGTTCATCTGGATATTCTATGAGGAACCATATATGGATCAAATTAATCTGATTAGTTCTATTATGTTGTGCGGAAGCCCCTAGATCACGTCCAGCGCTGACGTGTTCCTAGCATTGTGCTGATATTGCTGGATACAACTTGGTTTGGTGCCGGATAAAAGCATCCATCCGGTGAGCGGAATCGTTCGTGGGACGTGTGCGTCGAACGTGGGCATACGGTACTTAATAACCTTTTTCATACAATCAGATAACTGTTGCACATGATATTTTTAACAGCATCCCCATTTGCGGAGTGCTTATAAGCGTCGTATATATAAGCTTCTAATATGCCGCCGAGCGTTCTTTATGGCGGCAATATTCCTGTATGATACGGTATTTGGATCAACACTTTAAGCGATCCAATCGAGCGTAACAAATCGCTGCGCTCTATTTTTGATTTGCGCTAGTTTTTGTAATTTTTTCTTGTTTACTTACTGCAGTATGTCTATATCTGCGAAAAGAATGGCATTGTTGACACTACGAGTAAGATTAGTATTACACAAATTTGCAAATCCTTTGATTTAATAATCAAAAATATTTAAAAACAACTTAATGCCACATAAATCATGTTTAGCAAATAAATAAGTAAGACATGAGTTCTGATTCGCTTGTGCAGAGCATCTTAAGTCAATCAAAGCTTTTGGTTGTAGATGCAATGTCGACACTTTTAAGGATGAATAATTCTTCACCCATTATTTTGTCTTCTTGTGGATGGCCTCTGGAAGTCATCCCAAAGACAAATACTGGACGGCATGTTATTCGCTATTTGGATTTATACACGTATCCCATTTTGTTAATGGCAGCAACGATCGGAAACTTGATGAACATGATCATTCTCAAGCGGGAACGGCCTAATGGAACAAAGAATGTATATTTGATAACAATCGCTGCATCGGATATGATCTTCATGTAAGTACCTGAGTTTAGACAGCGTTCGAAGTTTACTTTGTTTAAAAATGCTAGAATTTCTTGAGAATATTCGATAACGAGCGATAACAATAATGCGATAACAATAATGCGAATATAAGCTCGAAATGGTTGCACATTACTTTACATTTCTGGGCGCTGCAAGCCTGATGGCCTTCCTTTAATAAGTTACAATACCGATATCTGTCGATGGATGACCTTTAAAATATTGAAATGCACTACAATTACCAGCGCCTCGACAACGAGACAACACTGGATTCATCACATATTTATAGCTCTCTGGTAGATTCTAAATACTGTATCTATTTGCCTTTAGCTAGTGATAGTGCTCATTTATGCTGTTCATATTAAATTACGCTGTGGGCTATATTACATAAATAAGTTAAACTGAATTTTTTTCTAACCTACTATGTAGGTGGAGTGGGCTGTTTTCCTATATTTCAAATTTTGATGGCGAAATTCACGGACATCCGCGACCGGAAATACAAACCATGCTCGGACGAGTGCGCGGAGTTGGCTATTTCTTTCAGGAGTCGGCGGCAATTGTTTCATCCTGGTAGGCCTCCACTTCCTTTTTCTACAGCTGTTTCTTTTGCAGAGTACGAAATGTTGGAGAATTTTTCCATATAAGCCATTCAATTAATATCCTTGTACTAATACCCATATCGTATTGTTTCTATCACATTAGGCCTATATACATAATTCGATAGTACAAACGAAAATACGCAAATACTCGTATTTAGAAGGATGTTTCTGTCATTGAATGGCAAATGCTGCTATAAAAGTATACTCGTATTTGAAGAACTGTGCCTAATTGTTGCGGTTATCAATACGCTGACCCGATTCGTTTATTTTTTGTCTGCCAGTGTTAAAATGTTAAATGAAACATTACCCTATGTCACATCGTTATGTTATTTTACATCTTTTTCATCGTTATGTAACATATCTTTGTCAACCGTAACAAATATTTCCAAGTGGACCGATCTTTTTTACAAGAACTTAACTAACTTCTTCTGGTGCATCATTAAAGTTTCTGCATTGCAGTTTTTTTTGAATAGTGTAGTGTTTAATAGTGTCTTTGTGGTGTAACAATTCGTAGAAGTTATCCCATTCATGTAGAATAAGGTACCCGGGTAACAAATAAAAATAACTGCGGAGACTATGGCCGTTGTCCGTTGCAGACTTGCAGTGTATCCAAACTCAAAGCAAGATATGCAACCACTGCCACCGATACATTGATGCCACTTTGTGCATTTATACGAGATCTTTGCTTGCTTGTTGCATGTAACCCAAGATTTCTTTCCTCTCAAATGAATCCATAAAATTCTGTTTGTTGCAACATTCATGCGCAGTATTTCGTGGTAAACTTGATAGTGCGCCCATAAATTTTGCTTCCAAGAAATTTAAGATGTGGACGACTTGATTTTTTATCGTCATAAATTACTACAAACTTAAAATGCATATCCCCCACCACTATTTACTTGTCATTTTATTTGATACAAATGTAACATTAACGTCAGTGTTGCAGTTCTTATTCTGTTTTTATTACCGCCTGCTGGAATTATAATTTTACTCTGCGTAGAACACGATTTCCCATCAGAGTTTTAAATCACCCCCCAAATTCTAATTTCCGTTGACGTCGACGCGGCTATGCAATTATGTCTCACATATAGGGACTTTAAATTGTCCTTTTTGCAGGCTGATAATTGCTTTCAGTGCGGAACGATTCTTGGCGATAAAATATCCATTGCAGCATAAGGTTAATGATCATCTTCGCCAGTGCCGCATCAGCATATCCGGTACAATAATGGCCGCCATTTTGTTAGCCACCCACCGTTTAGTGGATTACTATTGGTTTTATATCAACTACCGCGGTACCGGCTCAGCGCCGAATCGGCCAGATTTCCTCTCGTACTGGAACAAAGTGTACACCTGGGGCATTGTACGTGTGCGCAACAGCAAAATGTCGTTAGTTATTAATTATTGATATGCCACAAATAAGAAAATTGCTAGAATAGTATTAAAGGCAATTATATTATTCACTATTGCTGCTCCTTTCAGGCGTTACTCCAGATGATTACTTTCCTCATTATTCTGATCCTCAATGCCATGTTGTTGCGTGAAATCTTGAAGATGCGACGATTTCAACAGAAAGAACTGTTAGCATACGCTGACCGTAGTGAAATTCCCACGAGACCGGAAAACAATGCGCTAATTTTACTTGGTGGAGTTGTTATACTCTTTCTCATCACACAAATGCCCGTGTTTGCCTATAACATTATCCATTTGCTGGAAAAATCCTGCGTCCGACCAGTGCCGGTTTCCGTGAAACGCCTAGCAGCTCCTGTGCTCAATTTTCTCCTTAATGTGAATTATTCATGCAATTTCCTTGTCTACTGCAGTGTGGACCGGAGATTTCGTCAAAGTGTTTACTACATTTGCCGTATGCAGCAGCGTAACGGCATGAAGACCGGCCAGCCGCTCGATCCCGATGGATCACGTCGACATTCCCGCTTGTCGGATAAGTCAACAGCGCCGTTATTCTTAACGCCGCGCGCCGACATCTATGGAGCTTTTGAGCACGAGCCGGATGAGGCGTAACCGTACACTGGAACGGCATTGTCGCCGCGGAGAGTAGATACATGTACGCACATACCAGGCGCCGACGCAATCCCAGCAATCAAATTGTAAATTTTATAGCCATCGGATTGACTTATAAATATGCCGAGGGTAATTCCGGCTAATCTCAAGGATCATGTCGTCAGAATCTACTGCATCGCAGCTAGTCCATAAGTCCCGATCTTGTGATCACTGCTCTTTTATTGACCTTTCATACCTTTCTGATTTCTATGCGCGTACCGTAATAAAAATGCTTCTAATTATCCTGCCGCATGATTTAACCCACTTTCTAGTTTTTTCTCTGCACCTAGAACAAAATCTGATGTGAGAATATCTTATATGTTCAATAAAAATACGAATAGAACTTAAGCTTACTAAGTAAAGGGGGTTAAAAACTTTATTTCGGAGTGCTGACCTTTAATATTAGAAAAGAGGTGTTTGGTCACAGCTGCTACGTACCTATCTTTATGACTCTGAATGCAGTAAATACAAATATTTGAAGTAATACAAGGCTTTAGAAAAATATTAGTTGCACGAGTACTTATGCTGAGTTATACAGTAAACTGGTGCTTTGCAATAAGAAGTTGTAGCTCTGAACTAGTATTGCCGTATGCTCACAAGCTAAATGACATTGTAAGTATTTCGGGTTTAATCATCAATGTTTCCCGGGATTCGATACAGGAAATCAGGATATTATTACACTTCCTATAACAACCGCATGCTTCAGCCTCAAAACCTTTATTCCGATTTCCGAATTGCTGATTGTAAACTAGAAGATCACTCTTTTCCGATAACTGGAAATCGAAAAAGCCATCCTAAACATATTTCGTATAAAACAAGAAAAGCGTCGTTACTACAAAAAAGAACAAATGAAAGACGATGACAGAGGCACTTTAACGAGAAAATTACAAAATCTGGCTCAATATTTACCTTAACATATAACGAACACGTACGGACGGTACTGCTAACAGAACATAAATACTCCATCACGTTGTCCATAAATCGACTCAAGGCTTTTTTAAAATCGGAACACGGGAACACCATGGAAGCCAAAATCACTGAAATCACCTGGACCACACATTTTCCGTTCAAGACAGAGCAGTGCGATGGATTATAAAGCTCTTGACTTTCATCGGAGTTTGTGGCACATTACCCATAGTATAGCGCCGTCGAGGACGAGCCGCCACAACGGCCCGGATGGGACTGTGTAATGTCAACGGCGTCACAAGCGAATCCGCGCGCTTAATAGGCGAAAAGGTGTCATCCTCCATATCATGCAGTCCGGATTCATCTGAACTGCTCTTGATGTTCTCCGGTTGCGGACTTTCTTGACGCGATGCATCTGAAGAGATGATGCTGTCGTCCTGGCCCTGACTGCTCTCCTCCTTATCCACACAATCCATTTTGCCTGTTTCAACAATAAGACGTATTTCAAATGTAAAAATCACTATACTTAGAATAATTTTTAGAAATAATTTACTGCTTACTATAGTATAAGTAACTGTATCCCGTGTTTTCGACTTCTGAATTTTCAACATTGCTACTAATAATTTAATTTCTGAAAATTTCAAAACATGCTGATCTCCACTTTCCGACTTTCGTACTTATCAGTCCTGAACACTGTTCAAGACTAATGTCCTAATCCTACAGTAAATAAGTGTATATAATGTATTGGTTACGAGTAGCTGCGTAGCACTTACCAAAATCTTCGCGCAAACCACTCAAGTCCAAGGAGGCGCACTTTTCCGGGGATACCTGCAACACTGCAGTGTCACTTTCCTCGAAACAAAGGCGCTTTGAAGTTGTTGGGTCTTCATCGATGGAAGCAGCGCGCTTTGGTCGCGGATCCACAGGTGCGAGTTTAATGAAGTTCCTCTGGTGCTTGAAAGCTGCACTCGTAGCCATTATGTATACTGACTTTGTTCTGCAATGACAGCACTTTAAGTTCTTTGATTTTTTGGAACGGCTCGACTGAAAATCAGTAAAATCTATATGGCAAAACTAAAAACCCAAGGCCTAGCAGTTCAGCTTATCGTCGGATGAGGTCAGCAATGGCTGTAAAGTGTAAAGCAATCAAAGTTATCAAACGCAAGTAAATCAACAATTCAAAATGGAAAAAATGCGTCGAAACATGAACGAACAAACTCGGCCGCCAAGGCGCCACGCGCCAAGGATATCTATCTATACAGGGAATTTGTGGATTTTGCCATGTTAGCAATCGTCATATACTATGGGTAGCTTTCGCTGTCTTATTAATTTTGTTGTCTGCCATACTGTAAGGCGCGATTCAAGTATTACGTAACGCGATTTTTCGTGATTTCCGACCACCCCCCACCCCTTGTAACACCATATAACAAAATTTTTAATCCCCCATATGAATACGTAACGCAGAGTCCGACCACACCCCTACAAAAATTCAATTAAATTATATTAATTTTTTTCGTTTTTTTATGGGGTGTCGGCCCGCACGTAACAAAAATTTTTTGGACCCCCTACCCCAGTAATACGGCGTAACAAAAGCCAAGAATACCCCCCCACCCCTTCGCGTTACGTAATATTTGAATCGCGCCTAAACTCGTTTCGGTCGATCGTATCGACAAAATAATCCTATATAACCTACAAGTATCGGTCGCGCTAGCGCGCGACCAGTTGTGTTTAAGGTATGGAAGTATGAAAGAAATACAAAATATACTTCGTACAGCAATAAAAAAAATTTTGAGAAATATTTCAAATATAAAACCCAGCGAGGCCAGCTGCGAAAACATTTTAAACATGAAGGAATGCGGAATTTTTTCAAGCTTTCCGGTTAAATTCGACCATTTTCTGAAACTGTGAAAAAGCCCCCGTAAGTTTCCATTTTTTCATGGTTCTTTATGGCGTTTTTAATGTAACTTTATATTACCGATCTAACGAACTGAAAACTTGAATTTTTTGGTTCCACAGATAATATTTTAACGGTGATAAAAGGATTGAGTGGGGTCACATACAGGTCGATCACACCAAGTGTGGGCAGGTGCAAAAAATAAATTAAAAATATTTCTGTAAGTCGTTTTATTGCTTTTTCGGCATATTTCTAATAAAATTTTTTTTGCGAATCCAGCACCATCAAAACTAATATCTTTTAATGTGCTAGTAGGGAGCCGAGCGGTGTTTTTGGGGAAGGGGCACCTGTCAGTTTTTTTTATGCTTATAACTACCCTTGGGAAAATCTCAGCGTTAAGATTGCTGCCTGGAGTTTTCTGGAAGTTATTGTACAGCCCAAGATGTTCGTTGGCGTTATTAGCAAAATCTTGCGTGATCAGTGGTCGAGGGGATCTCGAAGCAAAGGGCATCTCCCATAGACTTGTATGGTAGAAAGCACCTACCAAGAAATGTGGTTGCCTAGCGCAAGGAACGGGGAATCTCAAACTAATAATTTCCATGAATTAGACATGGACTACCTTAACCTGAGTTAATTTTGGGGTGTCGACAAATATCTACAACACAGGAAAGAAGATATAAGTCCTGGACGAATGGAGAAAAAAATTAATGAAGCGATGACTAAAAAAAGTCATGACTGCTGGAAAAAGTGGGCGGATTGGAACGTCTCGAGCCTTTTGTTTTGATGAAAAGTTTTAAGCGAACAGTGAATACTTTCTCCACGTGATTTTGTCAAGAATGCACATTTGAGAAACTCCATGGCTGCACTGAGACGGCGGAAGTGGGGTTGCCCACCCTTTCAACGGTGCCCGCACTGACTCTGCAAAGGTCAGGCGGGTTTGGTGAAACTCGGTTCATGGCAGGCATGTTTCGCAAGAGTACTGGTTGGGCAACAGCCCAAACTTATCACTTTTGCGATAAGACGTCAACGAAAGCTCTAAACAAATTTAAAGGCGGAAGACTGCAACCACGGCCGATGGGTCAAGCCCCATTTGCAAGACGGTCGGAAACAATTTTGATATCACTGGGATTCGAAACACGTTCTCAACAGGGCGGTTCAAGTGAAAAACATGTTAGACACATGCTGCAACCATGTTAAAATGAAATAATTATTTATTTGTTGACGGCTGACATTTTATAATTTTTTTAAAAAAACTGCAAACACTTGGCGCGATCGACCTGTATCTGTACACGATGCCCATTAAATACCATTTTTTCAGCGCAGAATTAATGGAAACTTGCGGGGAACAGTTAACGGTCGCCCAAGGTGTCCTTGCAGGCTGCACCTTTAGATACTAATTGTAAGATTTTTTCAGCCATCAGTCAAGCTCTTCAGTATTTATTAAAATAAAATAAATACATGTTTATTAGATTTCGAGGTTAGTGAATGCCCAAGCTGCCACCAGTATCTCAGAGCCGCCATGTGAGTGAATACGGTAAACGGGCCGCCGGCCGGCTTTTAGATAATTAGAAATTACATATAAATTAGACAATTAAGGGATTTGGCCCGGTACATAGTACCAAATTCGGGTAAATACACGGGAACTTCCGCTGTCGCGCAATCCTAAAAACTTTTTTGCATGGCTAGCCAGGCTAGGTATGTACCTAATATTCATAACGGCTCTCATACTCATACTCATATTCCTACTTCTAATTCCGAATTCATACTCATAACGGCCCTTATAATCATAATCATACTCTGGTCCTACCGGTCATCATATTAATTTATTTATAATTATTGCTCATATCTTAACCATTACTCATGCTGGTGTGTCAAAAATGTTATATTCAATTACAACCATGTGTTCATGTAAGTCTACTCAACCGCCCGCTTTCGTACACTCGTAAAAATTATTTCATCTGAATTAGTAGCGAAAAAATATTTATTAGAAAATGGCTTCATTACAAAATGACTTCAGTAAACTTGAACTGAGTAACGAAAGCTAAGTAATTCAATCTGCATATAAAAACTGAGCAAGAAAATCTACCATTGTCCACTTTCGTCCATTTTAAACTAGTGCTAATGAAAAAAACCTGAAATGTTAATGGGCTTATTACTTATTACGTAGCTTCCATCAAACAAAAGTGAACGGGCCGCTAACTTTAATTTCCACAAAACTAAATTTCGACAAAAGCATCGCGTACACTGTACAGCAATGGAACACAGGAACAGTAACAACGCAAATTACTACCCAGAACAAAAGCAGATATCAAAAAACTTTTTTAAAATTCAACAATGGTGCACAATTTGCGCAACAGCTATTAAAACTTAGTGTCAATATTACGGTTTTACGATTAATAAATACTATAATGCTTTTACTAATAACACTGAGCGCAGTAGCGCACTGGTATGAGTAGCGGTAAAGGTCTGAGTTATGAATACGAACAAAAATATGATAACCGTTAGAATCAAAGTATGATTATGATTATGAAAGCCGTTTTGAGTAGGAATTCTGAATTAGAAATAGGGTTATGAGTGAGGACCGTTATGAGAATTAGGGTTTAGGAGCGTGCGACAGCGTATGGACATATACATACAAATTTGGTGCCATGTAGTATGTATCCCTTAAAACCGCGAGATATTGAGGTACTCAGACATTTCTAGACATTTTTAAAATTTCGAAACTTTGGAGGCTAAAAACGTTAAAAGTAACGGCCCCGCTGCGCGGGGCCGAGTCGAAATATTGAGAAATATTTAGAAATTCTGGAAATGTAAAAGCTTTGGAGCCGACTTTGGAAAAATTAATTATCATTAATTAACGTCGACAACTTTAGCGCAGTGTCTTGGTTGCGACCCCCGCTGCAGATAGGCGTCGCCTGTGCCTCCGCTTTCCGTTACGTGCTTATAAAATTTTCCCGTGTTTTTTAGTTTTGACCTTTGATGGGAGCTGATCTGACGGATTGCTTTGTAGCTGGCGGAAAGATAGATTAGAAAGCGGATAACTTCGATTTTGAATCTTCTGTTTGTTTTAAAGTTTTTAATGCTAAAAATGCGTTTTTTGTTTTAATAAAACCGTTTTTCTACGTTCCTTAGTCTTTCGGAAAATATTTTAACCTCCCTTCCCTCCCCCTGCAGACATTTAAAATACGCGCTCCTCACTTCAGTCGCCGGAAAAGACTTGGGCCGCCTTCCCTCCCTCCCCTCCCCGGCGGTGGCTAGACTCGAACCCTAGTCCGTACGCCCGGCGGGACTGGGACACGTTGTTTTGCTCAAGCAGTCCACATCATTTCCAGTCGAACACCAAAATTCCCGAAATCGACTTTCAGTCTCTCACAAAATAATATGTTTATTGGCGATTTCCAAAAGAATGTTTATTGGCACGCCAGCACGATATTACCAAAATCAACCGCCCTGTGGAAGCAGTTTCAATATTAAATCTAATCAACCCGTTGCGAAAGGCAACTACTTTATCTTTGGAATTTTAGTCGTTCCCACTTTCCTGTCTTTCCAGAAGATTTCGCATGTTCAGTTTTTAAGAAACATCACTTTCAAAGCCTACATTTTTTAAAAACTAACTCTTAATAAAAATTTTATGAACTAAAGGCAATCGGATAACTAATGGACACCAAAGTTCCATCAAGTGTAGTCTGTGTAGATGAATGCTTTTCCTATGCTGTTCATGACGGTGGTGGCGTGGGTGGGTTTGCAGTGGTGGGTTCTCCACTTTTCCCATGGACTTTGTATGTTAAGATCTTTTAAGATTTTCTCTGAAACTTCGCATACTTTCAAAAAACTGACTGGTTTCTGCAAATCTGCAAACTAACGGCTATTAAATGACATATAGACATCAAAGTTTGGTTTAGTGGCTCGCTCAAAAAAGGGAGACAGAAATGGAATTCGCTAAGGCTTATTTTATTTTTTATTAATATATCAATAGATTCATATATCCTTACGTCCTTATTTTTTGGAAATTATCTCCTAAATCAAGATTAATTTTTTCAGTAAGTTGATAATTTTATAAAATAAAGCATCGCACAAACGTTTCTACCTGTATCTTTAAAAAAATCTTATATTTTGGAGAAGGTCTAAAAAGATTTTTAAAAGTTGTAGTACTTAAGGGTTGTTAGTACTTAACGGTTGCTAGTTTTGGAAATTATCTCCTAATTCAACGTTGATTTTTCCACTAAGTTGTTAATTTTATAAAATAAAGCATCTTCCAAAGCTTCCTACCTGCAGCTTGGAAAAAAATTTCTGGTTTCCGGAAAGTTTTCAGAAACCCTTTCAAACTTTCTTTACTTAGCGTTTAAAGTTCATAGAAATTTCCAGTAAATTCTGGAAACGTCTCGAATGAGCAAATACAAATTTCGCAGCTTAGCAACCTGAACTGCAGATCTGTGTATGTTATTTAAATTGTCAATTCCATCAAAAATTCAAAATTATAGCTTTTTTTAAATTCTTGAAACCTTTAAGACGTTTTTAAAACATGTTCGAATACCTCAAAATAACTAAAAATTCACCGAAGAATACAACGAAATTTCGAACTTCATCAAGTTTGAATTGTTTTGGTGTTTAAGCACTAGGACTGGAGGAAACTGGACACCAGAAAGTATTTTTATTCTAAGTGGTCTAAAGGTTAACATCGGTGGTCGTACCGTCGTATCACTGGATTGTTTTGTCGGTCACAACGCACTGGCTAAAATTTAACAAAGCTCACAATGGTATCTGAACCAGTAGCAGTACTGTAATAAGGCTATAAAAATTCCAGTAAGGCGTAATTATGGAGTTTTTCTTATTTGTAGTTCTTGACAGCTGACCAGCATATGCTGCTGATTGATTTGGGAAAAGCTTAAAAACTTTGTTTTATAACTGCAAAATAGGCATATAACATGTATTCCTGGAAACTTCCAAATTTTTCGGGTCTAATTTAAGGTTAAATCTGAAGTCAGCGGAACGCGACAATGTTTTCTCAATGCGGCCTTAAACATTTAATTAGTAAACTGTGATACATTTTAACTCCTATTAATATGTCAGTGCACTATGGCCAAAATAAAGAATAATTTACGACATAAGTTATGATAAGTAGTCAACGAAATAGGTACGGTATCTGTATACGACAAATACTGTCTGTCTCTGCCAGTGAAACTATATTATTATTATTATACGCTCCGCTCAATAAAACTAATTTTGTATTCATGGGTTTGTCCTTTGTAGTTTTCGCAAATAACAATTTATCGCCAATTTATTCCGCGCAGTTTGCGCGGGGTCTACTAGTTACAATTAACTAAATTACTGCGCACAGGTCAGTTATTAAACTATTTTTATTACAGGTGCCGCCGAAAACTTTGCGGTTCTAAATTCTAACAACAAGTTTCCAACAACGCAAAGGCCACAAAATAACTGACGACTGAAAGCCCAACATTTTTGTGTGCTGGCAAGAATTTGGTTTTAAAAGTTACAATTATACATAGCAATTTCAGAACTGCACAGCAGTAATACTTTAAAACTAGCATTACCAAGAGAACATTGAAAATTATAATGCAGACACCAAACCACCACAAGGACAGATGTAATAACAGGAAAAGATTTAAAGAATCACTAAGGAATTCGCAGAAACAGCAACTTGTTCCAAGTAGCTCATGATCGATTCTTGGATTCCGGCTTCAATTGCCGCTGAGCATCGCATATTGGGGCTTCGCGTCCCATCGCCAACCAATACGTATTTCCGGGCCAAGAAGAAAAATCCCAAGAGAGATGGCTGAAGCATGAGCGAACACTCATTTATCACACAGATATCAAATTCCCGGTTAGTCAGAACGGGATGCCGGTGCGTCCCACTTGTTGTTCCCACAATATTGGCTGACTTAAAAGATGTGCACATGTCATCATATGATTTCGAGGAGGCAATGAATTCACTGGAAATATCTTTCACACCGTTATCCATTCGCAAAGCGGATCCCAGTCGCAAAACATTTAGAGAAGAATCCAGTTTAAGGCGAGACAACACGGCATCTAACGTGGGATTACTGGAGCAAACAAACAGGACCGAACAGCCACAGCGATTTAAGGAACGCAACAATACCGTAAGAAAATCGCAAGCATCTGGAAAACAATCACAATCTCCGATACACTGCCGACATGCCGTTTACCTATCATTACGATCATAGGGTCAGTCCATTTAATCGCTATATTTTATCTACCAAGTAAGTAACCAAACTTACCGGGGAGGTTTCTCGAATCCAGGATTGAATAATCCGATGTCATCATAGCTTTTACGACGCCGGCTTGCTGGGTTTTTGGAAGGGGTTTCAGGATATCTTTACAATCTATTAACTGGTTTTTGGTAATCCCTTGATCCTTTCTTGGCGCCGTTTTTTGCACAAACAGTTTTCGTATCCGACTGGCTTTTTCTCCCATTTCCATTGTTCTTGACAATCCGTCATAGGAAGCCGCCATTGAACTTACAGAAAACACGTATTTATCAATTCTGAATGCACGATTATTCAGCTTCGGAGTGTGATAAAAGCGATCGGCTTGTAAATCCACACTGAGCGCCGGCTCGTTTCCTAACGTTAGAATAGTACAGAGATCTATCACCATGCCGGCGGCATTACTGTCCTCCCGCAAAATCACTAAATCTCCAACATTTAAGTCAGTTTGCTGGGCTCTGGAAGAAGTCATGGTGTAAATTAATTGGTCGTTCCCCGTATTTTTCACGCATTTCAGTCGCAGCCCACTGGCAGAGAACTGTTTGGCGTCAGGTTTAAGTTCACCGACTTCCTTTCGAGACCATAAATCCAATACGGAAACGTTCTTCTGACTATTGTTCGCTTCCATGAATAATAGAATAATCCATTTCTCAAAGTATCGCGTGTCAGCTTCCGTTAAATCAGCCAGCATCATAGTAGTCATTTTATTCATGTAATGATCAATCGGTAAAGGTTTCCGAAGTTCTCTCAGTAATTCCACATTCTGATAGTACAAGGAGCAAGTTACTGCATAAGGACAATGCGAGCAGGCACGTTCGTCGTTAATCGGGGCCGGCAAATTCAGAAATTTCTCCTTATTCCGATTGTGATATTTTTTTATAAAACGCGCGATCTCATTCCGGGTTTGAATCAGCCCACCCAATTCCAAGTGACGGGCAGCAACAGTCTTTTTGTCCCCATTTTTGGCGTAAAACAGAATCCCTCGGTGATATCACTTCGATATTTTTCCGATAACAGTAACGTATAAAGCAGAACTTGGCCAGTGTGCGATATGGCAAACGATGGTTTTCCAGTCTTGATTTCGAGAGGTCGGATACCTTCGGCTGTGCGAAGCGTCATATCGACACGCCCTTTGACACCATAACGAGGAGACCAAATCCATTCCTCAATATCGGCTATCTCCACTGCAGGCGTGGAGAACTGTTCCATAGCCCACTTTTCGATGTTGGGAACGAAACCGTCTGCAATATCTGCGACTGTTTCCTGTGACATTTCCAGAGCATACATGTCTTGTCGGTATCTCGGGTCGTTCAGCAATTTTTGAAGAATTTCTTTGGATGTTTCCTTCCGCGCAACTGTAAAAACATTGTTTTTATAAATATTATTAGTACGAGGCTTGGATTTTGGTGCAACCACAAAATACGAAACAAAACCTGCAATATGCACTGCATTTTCTCAGTAGACGCAAAGGAACATAAAATTTCGTACTACAGCCGAACAGCGCAAGCAATAACAAAATTAAGTGCTGTAGACTTATTCGCAATTTTCCAACCTCGTTTTTTAACACAATCGGCAACAGCTACGGCAATCCGCTGCATCAAGTCATGTACTAAAGTTCCAATAAACATCTCCTTAGTCGTATCCGAACGCATCATATCCTGGAGCAAGGCTTTCCTCATACAATACTGCGCGCCCCCGATTAAAGTGGGCGAAACCAGGACATCCGGGTGGGATATGAGATAATTATTAGCATCATCAATCACACACATTCCACTTTCATCAAACTGCCCGATTACCATCACTTCATCACCCGGACCGAGGACGGACTGCACCCAAAATCCTTTTAACTGACAGGTTTTGGAAGTTTCGGAGGGCTTGTTGTACGGTACAACAGATACACTCGTGTATCCCATTCGTATTTCGACGGATACGACTGTATAAAGAGGAAAATGTCCGGGAAGTTGTCGCGCAGCTGCAAAATATGTAAAACAACATATCGGATCAAAGAGATTAAAATATATCGGATATCGGATCAAAGAGATTAAAATTCAAATCTCTCTGCATTTTCTTAGACGCGACTTACAGCGGCGTTCCGGCACACTAACGGCTGGATTTTCTGGTGTGGCATCCTGTTTCGCAGTATTATCGTCGTCAGTCTTGTCGGTCTGCAGTTTCTCGTTTCGATCAACATTCTCAGTCGACAGCGTCAATCCACACAATTTTGAAGGAGATTTCAAATTTCCCAGTTTCTGACAAAGTCGTTTTATAGCAACCGGTTGCGACTCCACAGATAGCGGTATGGAATCTAGCTCTCGAGTTTCTTCCTGCAGACTGCCAGGACTTCCCTAAAATGAAAGAACGTAATATCAGAAGCCGTGACTATCAGAAAAATTACCAACCATTAGGGAAACTTGTACAAACGTCAGAAAAATGCACATAAGACATAAGAAAGAAGCATCCAGGAAAAACGGACCTACATATACAATCACCGTGGCAAATATTAATAATTAAATTAAAAAATTGAAATCAGCCAGCAGCCAAGCTCATACCTTTTCAAAGGGGGATCGCAATCGTTTGTTTGACTGCTGCATGGCGCACAGAAATCAGGCTCTTTGGTCCCTCACGCCTTCGGAGATGAATTATCAACTGTCTAATATGTTCCAAATCCCGGAATTCCTATTCCGAAACCATCTTTGAAAACGGTAATCATAAACCAAAATCAGCAAATCCAAGCCATTCCACAAGTCCCGAATAGTCGCAGCGACTTTTACACTTCCGCAATGGAATCATACACGAAGAGAAGGGGATCAAGGCCAAAACTCTCCACCCTGACGGCTATCAAAATAAAAACACATCGAATTTCGGTCGAAGGAAGGCATAAGTCAAATGACTCAGATTCATAAGAATGATAAGATCATAAACGGTCGGTCTTCTGTTGGCTAGTTCAGAGATTCCACAATGGCTTAGGCAGGTTTTTTACGGTAAAAATAAGATAGCTGTCGTGCTACTTTACTTAAAAACCAAAAATTAAAAGCCTCAAACAAAAGCATTGCTTATTTATTTCTGCCTCTCTCGAAACCGAAAGGCATTTAAGTACTAGTAATGCCATTACTTACTAAAACAACATCAAAACATGAATTAAAATTTCTTTCTTTTCAACCGTAGAGCGCGTTTTCTGTAAATTTGTTGTGCCCGTTTGTGATTGGTTGTTTTGGGGGTGGGATTTCAGGGGCCGAGCGCTCCCCGTAGTCACCGGATTTTTCGAAACGCGTTTGTTTTCGTTTTCCAGAAAAATAACTGACAAAGTCACAAAAGTCACCACGTTTCTTCTGTCGACAGGCTGTTCTGTCAGAAGAATCGATACAAAATAATTGCATATTTGCATCTGTATCGAACTTTGCTGAGTATATGTGTTCCGTGAAGTGGTAGGCATTTTGACACTACGATGGCAGTCGTGCAGAATGGAATTCCTGATTACTACGATCTGGGTGTTGAACAGCCGGAGAACGGCGATGATGTTGAACCTTATTATGATGCCGAGCAGGAACCCAGCTCTTCCAACGATGTCGAAGTGCTTGAACTGCCCGAATTTGGTGGTGGAGATCATGACGAGCCATTATTTTCGCCGCCGCTCTATATTCAGCGTTACTGCTGCGTGGAAAAGTTGATCGATGATTATAACAAGCCAGGGACGGATGAGGAGTTCAAGTCCTTGGTAGACATTGGCTGTGCTGAACTGAAGTTCCTTTTGCGAGCAAAAAATGGTAGAATGTTTGAGCGAATTGTTGGGTTGGACGTGGATGAGTTTCTGGTAAATTGTGTGTTTCTTTGAAAATTGCGCAGAGCGGCAGTCTCCCTAAATGTCTTAACACTTTCCTTGGATCGTGCTGGTGGCAGCAGGTAGTACGTATGTACTGTTAAGCGGAACACTGCTGTTGCTAGTAAAAAAGGCGAACAGGATCACTGCAGATTGCAGACCGTGTTGTAGTTTCAGTTTCAGTTATTTTTTAACAATAGCGTTAACGAAGTGACTTGCGGAATACCGTATTAAATTTAATTAAAATAATTTAATGCTGCGATATCCTTATTTAGGTTGGCAGCAGCTGCCGACGACTGCAGCCTATGGTGTTCGATATGATGAACACACGGGATAGACCTCTTAAAGTGCACCTTTTTGTTGGCGATGCCACTGTTCCAGATCAACGCTTGGTGGCCGTCGATGTTGTCACAGCTATCGAACTAATTGAACATATGGAAACTGAAACGCATGAAGCTTTGGTACAAAATGTTTTCGGACTCATGCAGCCGAAACTGGCTATTTTCACGACTCCCAACGTCGAGTACAATCCGCTGTTTCCGGGTGGTAGTATCGAGCAGCGCCGGCACTGGGATCACCGTTTTGAGTGGACTCGAGCAGAGTTTCAGACATGGTAATTTAGGAGCAACGTCTACTAGTTAATCTGAATTACTGTGTGTTGGAATGTAAGTAATTAATGAAGTAAGCTGACTGCTGAATCAGCAACTACAGACACCTTCAGAACTTGGAACGAAAATTTCGGTTAAAATTTCTTAAAAGTTTTTTATTAAATTTGGTTTTGTTCATGTCCAAGTAAGCTCAATGTTTTAAAATTGTCTTAAGGTAAACACGCTAATCCGTTTGTGTGAACTGTGAAGGAACGCCGATAATGCTGACATAATTATAGGGCGAATTCGGTGGCGGATCGCTTTCCATATACGGTTCTTTTTTCCGGAGCTGGAGAGGGCCCGGATGGTACTTTGGAATCACACGGTTACTGCTCTCAGATTGCCACGTTTGTTCGTGATGCTGGCGCTCCGCGGAACTGTCCAGATGATGTCGGTGTTGTGCACAAATTAGTGCAAGACTATACATACCCATGGGCGCCACCGAAATCACTGCAAGAACAGTTGGTGGACATTGTGGATGCCGAATGCTACACTTTGGCCAAAGAACTACAGGATATTGCAGAATCGGAAAATCGCTTCAATGTGGAATGGTTTACTTTTCCCGTTTCGGAGTTGTATGCGACACGATGGCGCTTGCAGGATATGTTAAAACCACCGAATCATTTACAGCCGATTCGGGATGCCCTGATGCTAAAAAATACCGACTGGAGAATATATTCGCAAGAAAAGGATGAAGTGTCCTATAGGTTGATCGGGCCGGAAAGCGACGAGCCGGAAAATGACTTGGGCGCGCAAAATCTGGTGGATTTGCCAGTTGAGAATGTCGCAGCTTGGGACTAAGAAAGTGTATGTTTTGCGCGATATGATAAGCAGGTTGCACGAGCTTTCTTGAGATTTGTTTTTGTACAACATATTATTCTATTTTTCGGTGGCTTCATTGCATTTAACCTTATGTTATAAATAATTTGCTCAGTTAATAGATGCAGTCCATTTTTGTTGAGTCGGAATGGTTCCTCTATTGTTGATCTGGTAGATGCGGTTATTGTAGGTAGTATTTAGGTACTGCCATTATGATTATGCCATTATGATGTGAAATTGAGCTCTGTTGTTAAAATACAATATTGTTCTTTAGGAATTATGCAATAACAAGGATCTGTTCCGGTAATTTTTGTTTTGATGTTATTATGCGGCGTCGGCGCACTTTAGTGAATGAATTGCAGCCAGAAAGCTTGATAATTTGCGTTTGAATGCTGTAGCAACCACCTGTCAATCTTTAACAAATTGTTAGTCATATTTATCTCATATCGGTATTGGTTCGTTCATGTACGGTGATGTACCAGTAATCGAAACATGTAATGCCTCCCAAAAAGGCCGATCCTAAGAAAAAACCTGAAAATGAACCACCGAAAGAACTTCCCGATTTGGAATGGGACGAAATACCATACATCGCATCCAGTTACAACTATATCTACAACCAGAAAATCAGGTATCGAATTCGTTCCTTGTTCAATGTTCTGGATGCGGACAGGAAAGAGCGATTGGATTTTGAAAAAGCAGCTCTAATGATACGCGCTGCTGGTCTGTTTCCAACTGACTTGGAAATGGATGCCTGGCTGCATTCAGTAGGCAGGAAATCCAGTACGGACGTTTGGTATGTGGATAAAATGACCTTTTGTGACGGTATTTATGAGGTGTGTAAAACAGCGCATGTAGAGCTCTTCACATCTCTTTCGACTTATAAATATAACCGACAGTTTCTTTAACGCAGTTTTTTTGTGCAACGCTGTTTGTTACATGCTAGTGTTTTATATAAGTGGTGCATGAGTGTACATATTTTTCATATGTTGAAGAAAAATGACGCATTGCCTTTTTTCGTGTGACCTTTCGTTGTAGCTGTTGCGGGAAGGCCGATGGAAGCCTCCTTCCCCAAGAAAAGCTATCACTGCCTGGAAGCGACTGGATATGTCCCAGCGTGGAAGTTTGAATGTCGAAAATCTGACAAACATATTTGCGCAGGAAGAGAAAGAAGATGGGATGACACCCAGCGAACTGAAGACACTCTTCAAATACGTATCGCAACTTCCGCGCGGCGAATTGGATTACGTTAACTACGTGGATCAGTGGTACAAACTGGTGAGATATGCACTGAGAATATTATTTGCCTTTGTTCTGGGAACAGTCTATCAGCAAATGATAATAAGTACAGTAAAAAAGTTTTTAATATAGTGGCTAGCGAACCGTATTCCGCGTCCACGCGATAGGATTCCACGGCGAAAATTTGACGACACCGTGTAACGAAATTCATTATGGAACTTCGTGATGTAAGAATAAATACCGCTTTTCCTCTAGCGTTCCATAAACTCTTTTATGAGTTTTATCACATTTTCGCGTATAGAACTATTTAAAGTGTTATCTGGATTACTGTGAGTTAATCAAATGTCGGTAGATGCAAAATACAATGATGTAGGATAAGATATTGTTATTTCTTACTGGTGCGGCTAGTTTTGCACTTAAGCACCGTAGTGGCGTAATAATTCGGGCTGTTTTCTGTTACTGTATTTATTACCGGGAAAAAAATGTCTGCATCCTGATTGACTGCCGCCTGCCGGGTTCCATATTTCGATTGATTGCTTAGTGATTAAAGGCTTATTAAGCGTACAGGAGTAAGTTATACAGTACTTGCACCTGAACTAACATGGTAGTGTAAATTACGAGTATGTCGAACATTATAAAATATTTTGAATGCATCGCTTTGTGATTGAGCATCGAGCCATGTATGAGGTTCAGTACAACACTATGATAAAATTACTAATACAGTAGAATTATGAATACTTCTATCTATCAATGTTTTTTAAACCAGATAGTACTAGTGCAATTCGATTTACCGTAATTATCGAATTTGAAGCCCCCCCCCAAAATACAAGCCCCCCCCGTAATTAGAGCCCACCCCTAAGGTTGTTTGAAAGTTATAAGCCCCCCCCCGAAATAGAGGCCCATGGGCTTAATTAAATACCGTAAACCCCATATTAAAAAATGCCAAAAAGCTGGTTTAAAAAATTGAAGCCCCCCCCTAAATACAAGCCCATGCCCGTAATTGGAGCCCACCCCGTGGGTCATTTGTAATATTTGTAACCCTGGGCTTCTAATTCGATAAATACGGTAGGTACGATATTACAATTTCTAAGTACAATTGCAATAATATAGAGAATTTCCCCATCATGACAAAATTTTTGGTCGATGTAATCACTCTTTTAATCGGAAAAACACTCATTTGTCAAATGTTACGTATCAGCTGCAGTGCAGTGTGATGAAATTACACCATCTCAGTAAATAGAAGTAGTAATGAAGTATAGGCGCACCAATTATGTACAGCGGCTACCTGGAGCTATTTCTCGTTAATTACTTATAAAACTAACCTCCCTTTTGGAGAATCTTTGAAAACAAGAATAACACCGTTATGCTCCGAGAAACCGAGCTGACGATATCGGAAGACGACTCCTTTTTTCGCACACCGGAAGGCATCAAACTCGCGCAAGCGTTTAATTCGGACCATGGACAGGAATTTAGCGATTTGATAGGAAACGCTGTAGATGTCTTGGCGAGGAACCGTCCATCTGACCCTATGTTGTCATTTGTAAATATTTCAGTAAAGCTCTCACTTAAATTAAGCATATTATTTGTGTTGTGTGCAATGGGAGTAATGCTAATTCACACTGGCAAGGCATTTTTAATCAAGGTGCGAGCGTTTCGGCCAAAACTACCGGTGGGACCAATCGTGTCACCGGACGCTGATCCTCTCGAATTTCCTCCATTAGAACCAGTCTTATCGGATGTGCAGGTCATTCCCACCGTGGATTCCGTCGGAAACATCGGCATCCGAACTCAGATTATTCGTGACAATTCTCAGATAGCGGTACGAAATCCAGCACAAAAAATACAAATGCTTTCTGTATTGATTGATTACTGTTGTTACGACAAATTAAAGAAATGACTGGTGTTTTAATTTTGCACAGCATTGTACTTTCTCCGGTAGAGGAAGTACCAATTGATTGAACGGTCATTCCTGCGCATAACTATAGACAACTGCGCGTTTAATGCACATTTTTGGCAGTTCTGTTTCGACACAATTTTTGACGAAACAACAACGGACATTCAGAACAATCATCAAACAGCGTCCTCATTCAAACATAGAATTCGGGAAGCAGCTCAGAATTTTGCAAGAGAGTGGATGAGGGACTGGCGTTTTAAATATGGAAAGCCGATATTGAAAAATTACTTGAATATTGAGCAGTCACTGAGGTAAATAATATTTGTTTTTCGTCCGTTAGTATTTACGTACATTATCGTGATATTTATCAAGCGCATTAATGTACATGTACGGTCAGTGACAGAATGATTTTTTAGTACGTTTTTCGACGCAAAAACTGAAATTCCCGAGCCGACACCAACTGCACCTGACACTAGTGGAAAAAACACGAAAAAACAACACCTGGTTCAGTATGAAATCGTTACTTACTGTAATCTTTTGTCTCTGCCGTTCCCAATAAGCGTCTTAAATAGAGCGTTGCACTGGGATGTCGTTTTTTTAAGGATGACCTTACAAAAAAATGCATTGCATGCAGTAAAAAAAGAGCGTTTGTGATATGTCTTAACAATATGCAATTGCAGCCTGCAAAAGCGCCGCTCCCGACTCAGAAAAAGCCTGTCGAAAGGATTAAATACAACGCCCTGGAAGACGGTTTCGTTGGTGTCTACTTGGTGTCGTTCGCTTTGCTGGGTTTTCTCAGTCAGCAGTTACGTGTTCCCTTAAGAAGATTGATTCGGCTTGTAGCCAATTTAATTCTTCCGGAAGCCCAGTGGCCCATCACGATTCCACTGCCTTTCCTCCGATTGTTCGCTACACCCAGACAGCATACCGGCAAAGTAAAAATTTTGCAAGAAGTGCTGGTTGTTCCTCAGTGCAACTGGAATCCATCGGAAGTATATATATCACGTCTTTTATGTCATCATGACCCTAAATTACTGCGTATCGTGACCTCGCACTCTAGATCGTATATTTGCATTTCTGGTTTCAGTTTTTCGACAGAGTTTACGCTGTGCATACGAACTTTAAAAGGAAGATGGCTGAAAACCAACAAGTGGTCAGTATAATGATATAGTTTAGTGGCAAATTCCAAATTAGATTTCTGCACCGTGACCTATTGGAATTTACTTGCGCTAATAAACTGCGCAGGGGAAACGGAAAATGATCTTATCTGTGTTAATGCCTTTCCTTGATCTTTTGTTACAGAATTTGTACAAATGTGGCTCTTTCTATTGGAATTTGGAAAAGATTTCTGATGTTTTCGGCCCAATCAGAAGTTTAATGGAGGAAGTAAATCTGGAGGCAGCGTTGAGCGTAACATTAAAAACGACGGATTTGGAAGAAACTAAGGTAATAAATGTTATGAATAGATTGCATCTGATTTTGCCCGTCTATTTTGCAAACATTTGGCTGAACTTTGGCTGAACACGATATTATTAATGAAGGCGGTATAGCTTATTGTTAGTCTATTTTAGTAGAACATAAATGTTGAGAAGCTCTTCCTTCAACATTCCGTAGAAGCCTGTAATTTTTGCTAATCATTAACCAGTTTTGCATTGCAGTCACTTTACGATATTAAAGGGAAACCGAAAGGTGTCGAATCGGTAATAAAAATCCTTTCTGTTTTGATACGCCGGGATCGAACACTGATAGTCATATTCAATCCAGTGAATGTCGAGGTAAAGTAATCGACTCTAATAATCGTAAGATATTACATGTGATAACTTTATTCCTTTATTAAAAATATGAGGTGAAAAAATATAAATTTAAGTGCTTGCAGTACGTAAGCTTTTATTATGTAGTTTTAATAAATATACGAGCAGGCAATTACGAGTGCTACTCCTGACTTTCCATAAGAACTCCTTTTGCATTTAGTTTGCTCTGTTTCTCGCCTACTCTTATACGAGTACGTATAATGCATTAGAAATTATTTCAGCATCGTGAGAAGCTGAAACCACTTTGCGAGCGCTGGGCAGAAAGACAACGGAAGTTAATCTTCTTCCACGACAAATTCCAAGAATTTCATGAAACATTACAAAAATTTCCGCCGCAGTTCCGTGGCGCACTGATAAGCATTAGGCCTGAGGAAAATCTAAGGAATCTCATAAAGAGAGTAGCCGATGCACATGGTAAACTACAATGTACGACAAAGAAACCGATCAGTCGGTCCGCAAAATACCTAAACGGACGCTAAAACTTTCAGACTGCGCATCGAGTGCACTATATATTCATATCAAAGGTGTGAAAAAAATTCTTAACTTTTGATGCTAAACATGTTTATTTAACAACAAATTCTTTCCATTTTGCTTTCTCGTAGGCACAGCATAGGATCTGTGCGCAAAACCGTTTGGCTTGCAATCTATGCTTAAGTCTGTGGGAAAGCAAAATGGCTAGAATTTGTGCTGTTCATAAAGGTTTAGTATCAAAAGTTTAAAATTTTTTCTACACCTTTGATATGCAACTAGCATAGCTGCACTTTGATATTCACGGAGCGTCTGAAAGTAGTGAGTAAGCGTCCAAGTTTTAGTGGTGGCGTGAGTTATTTTGAAATGATCGGTTCAACCTCTTTTGTCGTACATTGTACTGTACAGATTAATATCGAATACAGGTTACTGAAATATCTATACGTATATAGATATGAAGTGATATTATGTCTGATATTCTTTAGCTGAACTGGCAACTTTGCATGAAAATCTGTACGTATACTGAAATTAAATTTATAATGGCAGTGCTTCTTCAACTTATTCAAGGTTATTCCTTAGTTGTTGTCGTGTCGTCACTTGCGAATTAATTCAAATTTCGTTTAATTCTTCAAATTTCTTTAATTTTGATTTTTCCGCATTTCGCTTCGTAGCTTTAGGAATACCAGTATGCCTCCAGAATATTTCCGGTTTACAATTTGCGGATCCAACAGTACTTGTGGAGGTTGCCGTTGGACTGGGAATTGAGTTCGTTAAGATTGATTCACCCGGCCGACCGGAACTTTTCCAAGTCGCCGACTTTTACCAGCAACTGTCCGACCATTACCGTGGGCGTACTTGTAAACCATTGCAGTCACCGGAAATGGTCGATGATAACCATGCTATGCCAAAACTGGAAAAATTATTTTCCGAAATATAGTTAACATAAAAAGGCTTGATCGAGAGAATATCTATATGTCAGCGTTCAACAAAAATGATCAGAACTTGAAGTATTACTTTTAAAACTTCAGGAGTTAACCATGTCAAAGCAGTTCAACGTCAGTGCTGCGTCACCAATCACCATAACCAAAATATTTCCGAGCAGTTCCAAAACTACAGTTTGGATTCATTGTTGTTGCTATTCTTTGTATAAGTATAAAAATGCAGTGTTGCATGAAGGCGTCTTTTTACTGCAGTCGAGAAGACAGACGATACAGAATAACAAGCCACCACCGTAGCGCTTACAATTGTTAAATGTAAGCATAGTGCCGTTAATTTTATAATAACTATATATATAACAACTAAAATTTCTAACACCACTAATTATTTAGTGGCGTTAGATACAACCATATTTCTGAAAGGGTAAGACATGAGAAATCAAAAAGAATACTGAAACCGTCCCACGAAAATATCCGCGTTATTCGGTCGGCGGGTCACTCGCAGTCTGCGGACAGAGGACTTTCTTCATCAGCTCCAGCAGAATCTTTCGTTCCTGTTGCTCCATGACTAACCGATCGTCCCGCTCCTTCCGGTCCGCCTCCCACTGTGCCCTTTCCAACTCCAGTTTCATCTTCTTCACCTCCAATTCTTCCCGGCGCAGTTCAATCTCCTCCCGTCGCCGCACATCCTCCGCACGCCGTGCTTCAATGAGCTCTTTAATCAGGGAGCGCTCGTGGGATTCCAGACCGGAAGAGTTCACGGTGTAGGGAATAGTGTAAGGGCCCTCTATCTGTAGATTCTGTACACCCGATGCCAGGGCGATGGGCCGGGATTTCGACATGACATAGGTTGTGCCGTCCTGACCGTTCAATAAGGCTTCTGAAATTTGAAGCAATCCACTAATTTTTGAATTAAATTATTCCTGTTACTGCGTGGGACAACTTCACCATGGCCGCATCGGTGTGTTACAATGAGTTTTTTATTTTCGCATATTGTATTTACATAAGTAACAAAGTGAAATACCACACATCTTTACTCTATTACTGTTTTCTAATCTACATCTTTATTGGATATAAGTTCGCGTGTGAATCTTGTTTCTGCATAATTTAAACTTAACTGTGAAAGGCAGCTGCTGAATTATCAACTACCAAGTACTGTACTGTATACAAATATTAATGCTGGTATAACAGATATCAAAACTACCTAACGAAAATTAATACTGAATTAATTTTCGTTAGGTAGTTTTGATATCTGTTATACCAGCATTAATATTTGTATATATCGGCAACACCAAAGAGCCGTGCAAAATTTGCGTCGCACAGTGCCAGTCTGCTCCGCAGGTACCGATTCCTACCAGCGGACTTCGGAAATTTGTTTTGATTACTTCAAGTTGTGTCGAATTTTCAGTTTTATACCTGCGTTAACTCCATTTAGGACAATATGTGCCGACTTTTCGGAACTTTCTTCGGACAGCGGTGTCCCCGCTAACTGGTACGCGGAAACCGTACCACCAAGTTCACTCGACGTGCTCGTACGTGGATTACGTGCGCTTCGGAGTTTCCGTGCAGGACTTGCGATGATTTTGTTTGCGCTGCCAGCGTTCCACAAACGTGCACCGGATTCTTTGCGTAACTTCGTCAAGCGGTCAAGCAGTCCGAGCCGTTCACGATTTTTACCCAGAGCATCTGTTGGTGTCTTTAAAAAGGGGTGATCTTTTTCATAATATGATATCAGGCGTTCACAGCGATCTTTGCAAGTTCTAGGTAGCAGTCCACTTGTTCCCAGTTGGTCATCCAAAGCTACGGATACGTTATTCCACGCCAGCGTCCTGTCCTTTCCAGCGTAATCGTAGGGATTCTCCTGGATGACTGTTTTCAGTAGTTCATTATCAAAATCAATACTAAAATGGATTTTTTTCCGCTTTTCTCCTGTTAAAGGCTCTTCAATATTAATGGCGTCTTCTTCGGAAATTTCTTGCTGGTCGATCGTTTCGTCTTTTAGTGTTCCTTCTTCGCTCATGATTGCAGCCGGACTTTCCCAAAATAATAAAAATTAGATTTTGGATATAGGCAAGGTTTTCTTCCTGGTCAACCAGAAACGAGGGACGCAAAAAATCTTAAAAATTTTTGTACTTAACTGTACAGGCAGTATAAAAGTCGACGCAAAGCGTACGAAGTTACGAACCAAACAACGACACATTTGATGCAGAACGCACGCTGTGATAACACGTAGCGAGCGTATCTTCTGAAAATCTGACGCCCTGGCGTGCACAGAGCACCTGCGGTTGGTTGCTACTGAGACAGAATTCATAGCCAGTAAGCTACGATATTCACTGCTAGTCTGCTACCATAATTATGGTTACTAATTACATACACATTGTCATTCTTACATGCATTCAAAATAAACAAAAATTACAGAATACTACTGATTATGGTCATTCGTTTAGGAGCTGTACAGTATACTATCTTAGGAAATTGCCGGCACGGTATGTCGGTACTGATGCTGGCTAGTGGCTACTGTTATGCTTATACGGTAACACTAACGGTTTGGGGTGCATGTTTGTCATCCTAATGCAATTACTTGACTGTAAGGTCATCGCAGGAGTTTGCGTATAAGCAAATGCGCAAACTAACCAGCAAGGATTTCTGCAGCCTTTCGGTAGAGTTAGCAGGCAAAACAAGACTTTAAATACTGTAAGATTAGATCTGAGTATCTGTACATGCTTATATAAAGATATAAAGATATTTTCTAAATAAGAAAAATCGTTACTGTGTAAAGATATTGTACGTTAATTCTTATCGTGAATTATTAATTTTTATGTCGATGCATTCAGCGAAATGTGTCAGAATCATGGTTGAGATGTTATATTACGACAAGTCGACAACAATCAACTCCTGGTGGCGGTTCTTTAAAAATTACACATTCAAAATTTGTCGTAGAAGTTGGTCTGTAATCTGCATGAACTGAAGATATTAGACAAGTAATAATGAAAACTATGATTTAGTATAAACTAGTATAAAGGGCGTAACCGCCCTTAGTGCAAGCGAGCGAGCGTGTAAATTTTTCTTGTTGTAAAAGACTCGGTTGGGTAAGACTGCGTCACTGGAACAGAAGTAGTTGAGTCTACTCGTATTTTGTAGCTGTTGCATATGCTGTGGAAGGCTTATCACCAGAGCTGCTCAGATATCAGTTTTTGCCACCGCTACGAGGCCGATATAATATCATTATTTTTATGCCGTTGGCAGCATTATGCCGATACAATATGTTCTTTTTGAATGTTTTTTTATTTTGATTCCGTTGAAAAAAATATATTCTTTGAGCTTCGTACTGGCACATCCGTTCCAAGAAACTAAATTCCGAATTTTCGTAAGATGAAATGGTTTCTGGTTATCTGAAAATTGCGTGTAAAAAGATAAAAGATGTATTTTTATAATGCGCAAATTTCTTCTAATTAACTTTTCACATTAAACTTAATTCCAAAAATTAAAAAGTTAAATTTTTTTGGCACTACGCAGGAGGGGGAGGCTGAGACGCCTGAGCTAACCAAGCCAAAGGCATGTCAGATTTGTGTGCTGGCCAAAAAATATTTTTGCGGTTACGCTCGCCATTGTAGAGCCGGTTGTGAGTCGACAGTCGGCGTGATTGACTGGCATGAGTTTACAGCTATCCACCAGTCTGTCTAGGTCTCTCCGTACTCCCGCACGCGATATCTCATTCTGTAATATAGATGACAATGCTGATCTAAATGATAATAACGACCCAGCGGGTCACACAGAAGGACTGCCACACGATCAGAAGTGCCCACGCAAGCCACTGCGACGCGGGCACTACTAATATAAATACCCTATCGCCCATAGCCGTCCATTTCGCACCAGATTTTTTATTTTAGGATACTGGTCGTTGCTCTAAATTTGTAAACACCTTTATGCAAATTGCCAACAGAGCCGATTTAATGGGTACGTTCAACTTTTACGCTTATATTGGATCAGAGGACTTAGAGCCTGTTCAAGAATCGCAACCCAGGCCATTACCCGTCAAGTACAATCGTTTGCACAGGTTGAATTTCCAAACCTACCGCTTGCAGAGAAAAAGACAAAACATAACATGCTAATTGAAGAGATTTCCCAACGCAACCGCAATTAAGAGCGAAATGTGCAAAATGGTTTGGCAGCTCAATTCACTAACCAGACGGCTGTACTAAAACATGGTCCACGTCACTACACTTCTGGCGACCTTGATTCGCCATTCACGCTGCACCGCAGTCGTTGACTAACCGTAAATCAGTGATTCTCTGCAAAATATTTTAACAGTTCGTAACGGTCTATCAAACCAATTTTTGGTGGCAAATTATAAGCTTAGCAATATTACTTTTCGCGCTGGTGGTCCATGGAAAAGCAGAAAATATGTTCCGCTTCAGATCTTTAAGTTTTCGCAAGATTGGCAGTTGGCCAGAACTCGATGGCAATGCTTACCTGAAAAGCTGCCGCATCGTATCATTTATTGGCAGAAAAGCCCGTTTTATCGCAAATATTTGACTATGCAGCCACTATTCCGCAACTTGTCGCCTTCTATTTCTGAACTGAATTAATGATTCTCCGCCGGTAGTTAACAACCCAAAAAACTCTTTGTTTTAACTTTTTCAGTTAGTTGTTAGACGCATAGAAGTTTTAGCCATTTAAATCCCAGTATTTTGAAATTTACGGAAAGATTGTCTTGCTGCAGATAAATTAACACACTGATTTATACAAATCGCGTATGCCGATTTAACCACACAGGATCCGAGAAGCGCCGGCACACATTTCTCTTTAGAGTTCAATGTTTTCGTAAAGCCTGATTAGGCTTAATTTATTGCGCAAACGATTTATCGGTTCAACACCTTATTTGATGTCTGTTGGCAGCGGCAACGTAGGTAACAATAACGCAGTAGCGGTTACTAAATGGATGACTTTCTTGGATAAAGGGTACCATGTTTTTCTATGGTTTTTAGTTTTATTCGGTTGATTTTATTCTGAAGCAAAACAACGGTCGAGTAACTCATACCTACCCTACCATGGTTTTGAACATCAAGTGCTGGTTTCCCGCATATGACTATGGCTGGTAATCCACGGTCGTTTTTGGTCTCAGCGTACTAACTCAACTTGACCTGGAGCGAAAAAGTTTTAGCGTTTGGGCATTGATTTGAGTAAGCTTACCAGAATCTTCGGTTTACAATAAAGTTCATGGATCGCGTGATTATCCTCAAAAAATGTCTACAACAATTTCCTCGAAAGTCTTTAAAAATTAAGAATTTTGTTAAAATTCGTTTCAAAATCAGAAAATTTCACCACTTTACTTGCTACGTTGAATCTTATCTAATATACGCAGTGCTCCTGAGTGAAAGCCACGTGATTAAATTTCTGTGAACAGTGGTATATGTAATTGTAAATACCTTTGAGGTTGATTTCCTTTAATTTTCCCCACAAAGAAACATGAACGTTAAACGCTGAGGTTTATTTTTTTGTTCTTTTGTTTTCAGATTTATATAAACTGTCAGAAAAGAGCCTGTTTTAAAGTCTGAAATAGGGAGTTGCAGCCCAAGGCGAGAAACTTTGATCCAGCAGTCAAATAATTCGTTTTTCTTTTGCAAAACTGATATCTAAAATTTCATGCAAAATTTATTGGATATTTGTTATATCTATTGAAAAAGGTTTGAAGTAAAAAAAGTAAATGTTTCGTTCTACTTGATGCTTCAATTGCGCACCCTCTTGGCTTTGCCTTTGGTTTTCCTCGAAACGATAGTTCGCTACCGAATATGATAACGTTAACGGAAAGTTCATCCGTGAAAATTATCTTTTAATAAAACGGACAAAGGAATGTTCTTGTTTTACTTGCTGGTCCGCTCGCTTCGAAGCGTTTGCTCTGTCGCAGATTTACGTCGCCTTCGACTTCGTATTCGGTTTTCGTAGAAATGATAACACGCTACCGTGTCATCACAATAACGAAAAGTTCAAGTTGAACTATAAGAAGAATCTTTTGAGAATAACAGGACAATAGAATCCTCTCGTTTTGCTTGCTGCTCCGCTCGCTGCGCTGCGTTTGCTCGCGCCGCTGCTCGGCGTCGCCTTTGGCTCCGTCTTCGGTTTCCGCTACCGTATCACCACGGTAACGAAAAGTTCAAACGGAACTGTAAGAATTGCTTCAGAATAAAAAGGCAATAGAATCCCCTCGTTTTACTTGCTGCTCCGCATGATGCGCTGCGCTTGCTTAATGCTGACGTTATTAAAGAATGTTTCGCTATGGCAACGTTCTAAAACATATTTCCAACAACTGCTCAAAAGCCTCAGAATCCTTTGGATTTTGCTTAAAAATTTACAAATTCTCGAATGTGCGCTTTTTAAGCGTACGTCTTCAAATAAACTTATAACTCACAACCTTCGTGAGCGCGAATTTCCGTAGTTAATCTTTGATGAATACCGGTGTTAGTAATTCTAAATCCAATTCAGGTAAGTTTTTTTTAGGATTTTTACATCCCCCTTTTGAAGCAATAATCAAACGGTTGTTCACGGTGCAGCCTGGCGGCGCCTTCAGCTTTGTTATTGAAACGGTCAATTATTAAAGTACCAGCAACTCATTGGGACAACTGACGATGCTAAAAGTAAGCAGTAACGGTTACGGTGACCCGAAACGGTGACAAAAATGTGCACGGTAATCTATTACGGTAACGGTAGCAGTAACAGTATCCCTCCATAGTAATCCGTTAAAGAACGGTTTGCGGTGACGGTAACCCGTTACGCTAAGGATTAATTATTATAGAAATTAAGTAATTCAGTAATCCACCCGTTGCTTAAAAAGTAATCCGTTATGGTAACAGTACTCCCCTGCTATTGAAAGGTAACAGTAATCCCCCGCATCAGTAACGAACTGCGGGTACGGTAATTTTAGTGATAGCATTTAGAAATGGTTCCAAAAACTTGCACGACAAAAGTGACCTGTTACGGGAGTTGCAAACATAAAAACTCCACCACCAACACCGGGCCAAATGATCGGACAGGGTTCATAAATCGGGCTACCAATACAATTGTACGGCGGAACTCTGAAAAATGAATAAGTATTTCCCAAAACGTCGGTTACCAAAACGCCAACCACCCGGGGCCACAAAAAAATCATTCCCGGGTATAAATTTCACGACCACCCGTATATTACTGGGTTCGTCAATACTGACCTAGTTACATTTAACGTTGCGGTTCCCCAAAACTGTTCCTAACCTAAACAAATTCGGACCAAGTCCAAATTTCCGATCCTCCCGTATATTACTACGGCAACTTCGTCAATAATGACCCGGTTATGATTTACGTCACGGTTCCTCAAAACTGCTCCACCCGGGTGCGCTAAAAAAATTCGGACCGGGTCCAAATTTCCGGACCTCCCGTGTATTAGTACGGCGGGTTCGTCAATAATGACCGGGTTATAATTTACGTTACGGTTCCCCAAAACTGCTCCACCCGGGGGCGCTAAAAAAATCCGGACCGGGTCGAAATTTCCGGACCACCCGTATATTACTACGGCGGGTTCGTCAATAATGACCGGGTTATTATTTACGTTACGGTTCCCCAAAACTGCTCCACCCGGGGCCGCTAAAAAAATCGGACCGGGTCCAAATTTCCATACCCTCCGTATATTATTACGGCGGGTTCGTCAAGAATGACCGGGTTATAATTTACGTTACGGTTCCTCAAAACCGGCCCAACTGAGGCGCTAAAAAAATCCGGACCGGGTCCAAATTCCCGGACCCCACGTATATTATTACGGCGGGTTCGTTAAAAATGACCCGGTTATTATTTACGTTACGGTTCCCCAAAATGTCACCACCCGACCCGGTCTAAGCGTTTACACTGGGTCCAAATTTACGGTCGAACACACATTTCCCCATTGGGTTCGTCAATTATAACCCGGTTAGGCTTACGATTTTAAACTACCTTCTCAATTGCTTCAGCGGGGGGCTGCAACACTCCCTGCTTATTGGGGCTCCGCCCCAAACCCCGGGAACCCGGTTCTCCGGTTCGCCCCGTTACACACTTTAAATTAAAAACGCTTCGCTCGCTTCGCTCGCTCGCTTGATTATTTTGTCGGTTACATTTGCCTGTCAGGAAGAAATAAAAATGTTTTCAAATGTGTCTATTAGAGTACTGTACGCTAAGAGTATCCTCGACCTGAAGACGCTTAAATACAGCTCTACCTATATTTATATAAGTATGCCCTGACATTTTAAGATAAATAACTTGAAATGCAGAATACAGATTTTGAATTGAGTTCGTCATCAAGGGACGCAATCATGCGGTATAGAATTGAAAGTGACACTGATTTGTTTTAATTAAGCCATCAAATGAAATGGAAAACCGGATATCGAACCAATTACCGGTATTCGTTTATTAAATGTTACATGTACCTGTACTCATTTACTCATAAAAATATATGTAGGTACACATGCATGGAGCAGCATGCATGTTTTATGTCTTCTGAACACTGTACCTTAATATGCACGCTGCACTTAATTACTAATAAACGATTTGGTGATTTCGGCACGCCGTGAAAGTGCGGCAATCTGTGTGAGACTTATTTAATTTATTGTAGTTGAAAAACAGCCTTCAACAATAATTGTTGTCTGTGCTCGTTGCAAATCAGAAAGTATCCGACGATGGATTTTGCATTTATCTGAGTTGCATTTTGTGTATGCGATCAATGTATGTGTGCGATTGCAAATGGGTTATAATTCGTGTGGAATACCGGGCCGCTGGAAATGAAGGTTTTTTGTGGTTAATTTATGGTGCCGCTAGATAACTTTGTGGACACACCGACCTTAAAGGGGAACAATTCCAAAGCCGGAAACAAACAGCGTTTATTTCGTCTTCGTGCGCGAAGAATTGAGCTTTATTATTTCTATTAGATAATATTCGATAATGCTGTAAACCAAAGAGTTAGTGACCTTGCTTTTTCTCAAGCACTTATCATTGCCAGGATGCCATTATCTTGCTTTTGGGAATATATATGAGTTTCGTATCATGTTTGTGTTTACTAAATCTGTGGATATGCATTTACGGTTAAGGTTAACCAACTCACGAATACGTCACAACCAAAACTCATTTGCGAAATTGTGATGGACCCAGTATTCCATTTGGCCAAACACAGTCGGCATCGCCTTGTGCTTTGTTTGGTGATTTTCAACTGCCTGGTTAGTTTGGAAAGGATTTTTTTATTTAAGTTTTAATTCACCTTAAAACTTTTAATTACTAGTACTTAAAACCTGTTACGTGGGGACGTTTTACGTGTGATGCCTGTAACCTACCATTGTAAAGTTTCGGTTGTGATTATCAGTATCCACGACTGGATTTTGTTGCAGGGCCACTCTTGGCACAATGTTGGAGCCGAAAAAACAGGAATACCCAAAAGCACACCTAAAGGTATAGACGTATAGTCCAAATGAAGCATTTTCGTAATGACGGCATTTGAGAAGGTGTGATTAGGTATCACGCTGTGCGCTCAAGAAAATTTACAGTATTAATATTGGTTAGAAGTTCTTTGGTTTATTCATTTCTGATATTTTTATGCAATCATATGTTTTAATATGTAAGCATTTAAAAAATATTTTGACTGTAATTTTATACGATTATGGGTCCGACTGTCCGTCCAAACACGGAAAAACATCTCGCGCACGCAAACAACAAGATCGGTGCTTAGTTTGGCAGACAACCGGCTTTCGCTTAGCATGTTTACCACGCAATATGCAGTCAACCGAAATGTCTACAGTAAATTAAGTATTATTTGCTGGTAAAATAAGTTTTATTTTTACACAGTTTGTAAGAATAAAAAAATTTATTATGACTGCAGCTGTTCAGCTTTGGATAGACGACATAAACAGCCCAACCACAACTACAAACCCAACCAGCAAAACTGCGGACAGTTTGCAGCTGATGCCGCAACCTGCAACAAAATCTCTGCGAACATCGGATAGTCGTGGTCAAGCAAATAAAAGTAAACGTACGACGAGTGGATTCATACGGACAATTCAGTTATTTTGCAATATCACAAAAAAGATAGTATTTAGATAACGTTTTCAAGTGTCCAGCGAATAATCTGTAAAGTATCGCGTCAATACTGATTTATGCTTCCGTTTACTTATCAGCTTCGAATTCCAAGTTTCGAGCTATTCCCGATCCTTCGCCAGAACTGGCCTCTGAACTATCCCAGCTGCAGCTACAAGACACCCTATCGGATGGCGAACAGGATACCGCGGCATCAACCGTACCAGAATTCGAATCAGCACCACTGGAAACCGTCGTCTGTCCCACTGTCACACAAACCGTGTATCTGCGCCCGAAAACGCGAACACGAACAGTCAATGTAATTCGGTCAAGAGCGCATCTGTCGACCGTGAACGCTGCAGTAGATGCGACTGGTCAAGCGTATGACTATGTCACTCGGCCTGATGCTGCTGATCAAGATCTGCAATCGAGAAAAAAGAGCCGAGATGCTCCGGAAGACACAGCTGATGCGGATGGTGATGTAAACTGTGCCCAGAAACTACGGAATGTGGCATGTGCCAAACCCAGCTTCGCAACTGTAACTACCACAGAATTTCGCAGTTTCGTGTATCTTTCGGTAAAAATTGCACCACGTACTACGTGTATCGTTACCGGTACATACAAGCCTTTATTGACCATCTTAGCGAATCGCCGATCTTTTTTAAAAAGAATATACCTAATTTTTCAACATTAATTTAATGATTTTTTAGATGACAGTAATATCGAAAAACCCCACGACAAAATTCGAATTACGATAAGGCATAACTTTAAGTAACTTTTGCATTTTTATAGACACAGTTTATTTACACGACGAGTCCAATCTATGGAGCGGCGGACAACACAGAAAGAGAAGTTATCCGTGAAACAATGACGGTACCGGTAACTGTTTATGCAGAACCGGTCACTCAGACTGTCACAGTGACCGAGGTGGTGCAGCCATCGATCCAATATCCAAAGCGAAAACCAAATCCCAAACTGATCGAAGAAGGCTCAGACAACACACCGGTTCTGACAGTCACATCCACGGTTACTGTTCGCGCTCCACAGTTTTGCCCGTACGAGACCTGATGTACTTAATTCATGTATACGTAGTTGAGAAAATCTGCTCGAAATTTGTTTACTTTGGTGACATTTTGTTTGTGGAACAGTATCGACAAGTGTGAATTACACAAGAGATGTCAAGCACCTAAAATAATTCGGATAATCCAGCAAGGGTATCACATTTATATTTCATGAATATCGGCACGTGTATTATTTGTAGGTTATCCTGCAGCAACGATCGCGACGCTAATACTGCACCTAGTTACATTAATGCTCCTTCCGTGCAGCGTGTAGTGCAAAAGCCTGCCATCAATCCAACACCACTTAGAAAACGCTGCCAGTTCCCAACGTCGAAAGGTCAACAGTTTCGCGTGATCAGTGCGGCATACCCGAATGATGACACCGTACAACCGGCAAAGACTGTTTCTCCCGGAGATCGATGGAAACGTCAGCTGGGGGATAACGACGGTAAAAACTTTTACAGTAATTACTGCGGAAAGAGTTTTTGCTGCAGTTGAACCGTATTTGTTCTGAAGCAGATAATTACGCAAGCAATAATTTGGCCAAGATCATGCATGAAAATCATCTGCAGTATCCTGTAGATCAGGATGCCACAACAAACAAAGAAGGTAATTCGGAACCTCCCGCTCATCCTTATCCGCATGAAATCATTCGGGTGAAGGATCCTCCGCATCCCGCCCATTTAATACGGCCACGCAAATACCGGGAACACAATCCCAACGCGCCGGCCCATGAACTGCTACGATCGAAGGCGGTAGACGCCCGTCCCGAGGTAGCCGTGGCCGACAGCGTCCCAGATGCGGATATGGTGCCGGACACCAACAGAAAATCCGCTTCATACGTTTCCGAACAACGCCAGGATAAAAACGCTTACAGAAGAATAATGACTAATTCCCAGGCAGACGCACAACCTGCCGCACGGCAACCGGTCCGACAGTTTCAAACAAGCCAAATGGAAAATTCGGATCTTCCGAGAGGTCTCAAGAAGCGGCCATTTCAGAGTCGACACACTGAAACGGACCAAACGGACTATTCCGGCTTCAACCAAAGCCCACCACTGCGGGATGTCGATGTCAAAAACCTCTTTAAAGCCGTCGGTCGCAGTGATGATGGAGTCAACAGCGGAGACGATGCTCAGCCACAGAATCGGCCACAGAATTCTGGCCATTTCATAGAAATTTATTGTTAACACCAATTTTACCTTCCAAGTTAAAATAAAAATTAATTATAACAAATACGATATCGAGCAAGCCAAAAATCACAAAAACGTGGCTATTTGGAACCAGCGACGTGCAGCTAACAAAACGAAGAATACTAACAAATAAGGAAATACTGTACATATCCCATAAGTATCACTGTCACCATAACTTTGGTCACGAAATTATTTGGTTATTAGAAAAAGTAGAAATGCCTTCAAAAGTTGTAAACAAAAATTAACCCACAGCTTAGAAATGCCTTAACTTTCCAGGTTGCGGTCAAATTGGTATTCGCCCAAACCAAAGCCGACACGTCTAAGATTAGCAAGGTGATCGGCAATCGTTTTCACCGATTCTTCCAATTCTTTCAGATAGACACTGGCAATTTCGTGACTGAACTGTAAAATAAAATATTAAAGAGTTTAGTAAAATCAACCAACAAATTAAAAAGTTACAAAAACTATGTAACTGTCCAAAATAAATAAAGGCAGTGGCAAGGCACCATATTTCGGGTGTAATTCACCATGCAGCACAACCTGCTGCTGCACACATTAATTTTCATGTTTTTCAACTTTTTTTAAATATTTACTAAGACGTTGGTAGCGTGTTGAATACACACTAACCTAACTGTCGAATGCAGTAGTAAGTAATCCGGCCACACTGCACCTTGCCACCAATGATTAAATTACAGTAAGCATATAAGCACACGCGAGTACTGCGGAAGTCGTACAATCCGTAACGGGAAATTCATCAAATAGCTAGACCTAAACAAGTACCTCGCTGTCACCATGGCGTTCAGCGATGCCGTGAGAATCCAAAAATAATGCCTGCAATTCTTTTTCCATCCGTAGAAGATGTTGCATTGCATTAACGGTGCTCGGCCAAGAATCCAACTCCGGGCCCTAGTGAAACGAATAACGGAATAAAGAATCGAAAATCAGAAAATGGAGCAAACATCCTCAGTCATAATACACAAGTAACCTACTCATAATATTTTATAATAAAAATTAATATTAACAAACCGTGATGACAAAATTAATTAATATCATTACGGTTTTTCTGCTATCCTGAAATTAGTTACTGTGCATACAACATAACAAGATACCTCAAAATTCCGTGTACCGTATTAAACTTGCAACCATTATTACCAACATGCAACCATTGACATATACCTTGATATCCTTTAAAACTAAACGTCCACCTCGAAGATTCTGAACGGCGATCAATCGTAATGCATACAACCGAGTTTTATCACTACAAGCTTTGAACCATTTGCTGCACTTCATCAGCGCCACATCGTCTTGAGAAAAGTAAGAAAACTGCAAAAAAACCAAACACTTTTACCGAGCGATAGCAATAAGTAATAACACGGCAAACCAATACAACCGATACGACTATAAAATTTTAAAATCAAATTTAACAGCACTAATTGACAATGCGCTCCTCTTACCATAGCCAAATATGTATTCGAGTTGTTCAAACAGTGGTTGATCAGGCGATTCAAAGACCCTTCCACTTCAGTATGAAAATTCTGTCTTGCTAACAAAGACATTTCAGAACTATGACTTGTAAAAAAACGAAACGTTAACTGTTACGCCAGTATATAACAGTTCAAAACAAAAAAAAAGTAATTATTAATTGCAGACCTTGCAAGCTGCAAAAGTTTTGAAAAACATGCTTTTGAAGTGACTAAGTATATCTACAATGCGACTAATAAAGGAAGCTACGGGTTTCGGGTATGCGTTGTAGCGAAGACAGCGAAAACCGGTTTGTACAGCTAGTACGCACAGACAGCCACACTCATACGTGTAAGTGAATGCGGATTTACCCTCACACACCGATCGATCGATACAGCGAGGCAGCATTCGCTTGCGCTTTCATGGCACGAAATCCTCTGTCTGGTCTATTTATAGTCACAACAGAAAGCTATGATCAACCAGCCTCAGCGTAAAAAGGCTGTTCGCTGGCTCTTTAACATAGACCGTAGCCTCCTCATTTAGTCAGATTGTATATAAAACCCAGACAGCAATAGACAATCGAAAGACTACGAGTACCGTAGTGCGGTATACCGTACAGGAAAATCAAGTAATCGCCAACTTACAGCGCATGAGCCAGGGCATCTACCGTCAGGAATAATGCATTTACCAGTGTCCACTGTCCACTGAGCACTTTTGGGTGTTTATCTTCGTAAACCTAAAAGTTAAATTTTAAAAGAGATCAAGTTATGGTAATATCCTTCCCAGTACAGTGTAAAAATTAATATTTTTATTTTGCATCTCATGAGTGGTTCAACTTAAAGTTTCTTGAAAACCGGTCACGAATTACGGAATTGAATGTATCTTCTGGAATATCTACCCGGTAAGCGCAAAGTTAGAATTGTTGTCAGTTAGTTTTTGCTGCCTTGATAGTAAGTACGAGTACGAAGTGTGACATTGTATCGGTTAACTTTAGTTTCAAAGTACAAAACTATCCTGCCGCTTGCGCCATCAGTAAGTAATAAATCACTATTATAAGTACTATTAAATTACTATTATCTTTCGTCTCCCATAGTGTGCGCAGTCATAACTCTTCATACTTCCGTACCTAAGCTTAAGTGCCGCGCATAACAACGCCGGGACACCATCAGGAATTCTCGGATTGCTAAAATATATGCAGCTGCCTCCAGTGTCCACTATTAACTCTAAGAGTATGAACTGACGGTTTAGAACGAAAATAAATGTAATACGATCTGTACATGAATAATCATACACCGTAAGCACCAAATTTTAGTCGGTTTGGACAAATGCGATCAAGTAACGAATATAGATAGCTATTCAAAAACCCTCATGCATAAAGCACTTAATGCAAGTTCTCGAAGTAAAACATGATTTAAATATCCACCAAAATACAATGCAAAACAAGTGTCTTCGCTTTGTAGAGAGGAAACGAATTACTAGAGAGCATTGTTATACTTGTCTACTTATAAGATTCAAACTTGTCAAGCAAATCGCCAGTTATTGATTATGAGTACGTCATTTAACATCAGTACCTGTACGATCAAGTACTAAGTGCTTGTCGTCTGGACCGTCTGGTTGTCATCGACAATACCATAATTACCGGGCACATTTTAGCTCGCAAAACCTTTTATTTAACTCGCAGGTAAGGCAGACTGAAGCGATCGAGCTTCATCTTCAACAATGATGCACTTTATTAATCTTAATTCCTTTATCTAAAATAAAATGTACGTTTTGGGAAGAAGCATTAAGGCTCCGGTTTTCGGCTTCTGTGTGTATATTTATGTAGTTATCGGCATCACTCTTTTGGCCGTTCAGTCGTCTGCCGATCGTGCAGCGACGGGAAGACCGCCAATAACCAATCGACCTTTTACTTTTCGGCCACTAACGACACGGAAACTAACTACATTATTTTTCACGCGATACACACAACCTCCAACCACAACGCGATCCATCCGCCAGTGCTGCTGCAACAACGGCGATGCAATACGGTGCGGCATTTCCAGTCCGGGAATTCAGACCTGCACACAGATTTCATTTTCCCTGATGCAGGATTTCTGCCGCATATGTCGGCAACACTGTCCTTATGTGCCACTGACGACGACGACGACACGGCGACCAACTCGTCGACCCACGAGAACAGAGGGACGAGGTTCCCTGTTTTCCTCTATAAGCGATTACGTTAATTCGATTTATGAAATGTTTTTTGGTTAGTATTTTGTAGCAAGCGCATACTTAACACTCGTACAGTGCTTTATGTTCTCGTAATAATTTATCCGCTCGCACGGTAAATACTGTAAATTGACTAGGTAAAAGTGATATTATTATTGTTTAGCGTGCGGACGGTTATAGAGCAGCACTGTTATGTTATATATAACGTTAAATACCAGTTATGTTTGTCTTTTTACCAGAGGAAAGACGGGATTTGGGTTGTTGAATGTTTAAATTTTTAGAGTGATGTCGTGGCGTTAGTGCGCATGCACCTTTGGTTATATCTATATTTTTGGCATAGAAGTACAGTACATATACGTATTCTTTTTACTCGGATTTAGGCTTACCGATTTGAACCATACTAGCGCGCTTACCAGTTACCTTGGCCATTAATGATGTCCTTTTCGTTTACGCGTCGTCTTTATAACGTTTTACGTTACAACTGCGAGCGCACTAAGTGACATTTTTTTAAAAATTCCGTATACCACGGCACACTGGATTCGGTAGACCGGCGTGTAAAGCTACGAAAATTCAACACCAAACTTTTCAAACCCCCGCATTAAGACACCTATTTGCAAGTAAACCTTTCCCATGGATTTCGTGTACAGCCTGTGTCGCTGCAAGCCATTATGTACCACATTAAGGTCGCGCAGCTGCGGTCCACCACCAAGAAAAAAAGTAATTATACGATCCCGCAGACCGCCAACCGGTCTCCACGTTTCGCATTCCACTTTATGTTCGCCAGGCGTCGAAGGAATATTGCAGAATCCGTACGCACACATTTCGGAACGGTTGTAATTGTCCACCGACCATACTTGAAAGCTTATTTTTGGCCAACCTGAAACATCAGAACCAATGCCACTGCCCGTTTAGCATGATCCTGCTAAAATATTGTGAGTTCAGCATGATCCTGCTAAAATATTGTGCAACCTTGAATTCCTTTCGTAGCAAAATGAACATCTAGCGGATGCGACCATAAAGCAAAATCATCTATTTCGGGCCTGTCCACTTGCGTTTGTCCATCTTTGTCGCCGGATATTGCTGTCCAAGCGCCACCTGTTTTTTTAATATCGTTGAGATAAATCGGCAGCACAGAAATTGATTAGGACCCGATATACATAAATTAAAAAATTTATGTTATCATGATTACTAATACGCGCTTCAAACTGATAAATTGGCACAACCATAAGATCATAAATAGGTTATAAAGCTATGTAGCACCAATTTATTATGCTGGCAAGTATCTATGCATGACGTAACATACGCTTACCGGAAGATATTTCCCAAACACAAAATAATTTTTTGGCAGCAAAACCGCTGGCTCCCACAATCTGACCGATAACGTGGAGTTCCGCCATATATAAGCTGCGTTGTGGTTACTGGATCACATGCGATCCTCAGCAGTCAGAAAACAGAACGTAGTACATCTTTCAGTCCCAATTAAAGATATTATGATAGACATTCCAGAGCTGCGGAGACGACCATTTGGTATTTACAGTTTCCCAACTTCCCGCAGTATTAAACGATCCGTTGCATCAACTAAATGTTCGCAGTAATACTTTCCATGGGTAGGCTTATCTCGACTTCCCGTTAAAAATCAAATATGGTACATATACTGATATACACAAATATCCATATACACAAATTTTAATGTTGTTGACGGATTAAAGATAATTTGCTGAGTTCTTTCAAGTGCCTGTCATACATAAACTATGCGAATAGTAAGGTACAACTCTCTTTTAGGTAGATTTCGCAGCGCTGATACATCTGCAGAGTACGAACTCAGGTCACGCACCTACAGCAGCACATGCACAGGTATAATCATGGAAGAGGCGCCGATCAATAATCAAAGCAATCATCATCCACAATCCTGTTAGTATCCACAGCCGGCCCATACCTCACTCAGGAAAATACTAAGAAGTCTGTTGTGGGGTGACCAATCCATAAGCAGTGGTACAGCTAATGGTTAGGTACGTTATCGTTATTGTAAGCACTTGTAGTTAGCAGGTAATACGAGCAAAGTATTATGGAACATAAAAATATGGCAAATACGGACAAAACAGCGCCATAGATTACTGTACTGCTTTATATGCAAAATTAGTTACTGAATTCACAGCAGATAATTTTCAAATACCACACCGTTTATAAAAAAATAATAAAATACACTTTTAGAATGTCACAGAAATTTCAGAATGGTTTTCCCGATACAAATGCGAACAGCATCAGATTCAACAAAGATAGCCTAGAAATAAAAAAAACTAAAAGCCGAGATTAACAACTAAGCGCATCACCCGAAAATGACCAGGCTGAAGTTGCTGGACTACACAGACCGCATTATCCCGAAAGTGCGGCTTGTTCTTTTGAACACATGGAGACCGACGCCAAGGCGAATTTGGCTTGCATTTCCGTACAGTACTTCACAGCGATATCACCAAAAAGGCACACATAACCTCTTCATAACGAAACTTTTGCATCTACAACACAAAGACAAACATTAGAAAAACCTATCCGTGAAATGATAAGAATTGTTCGAAGATGTGAGCTTCAACCTGCGATACAGAGGCAATATAACAAGCTGCGTATCAAATCCAAACACAACGAACGCGAGACATCCTTGTCCGAACATAAGTAACCCATCCAAAAATTCCAAACCAATGAATATTCCCGAGCCCGAAATAGTCTTGATCGAAATCCTCCAAAAGCAAAGAAATACTCCCTGTAGAACCAAGTTAACATATACAGCAATGTTTTTAGTGAAGCAAGAACTTACCATAATTTAACTGCTAAATTCAACGCGGATTTGACCTTTTCACCAAAAAGACGTAAGGTGTTCAAAAGTTAAAAAATCTGCATATTAAAAAATGTGTATACCAACTTACAATTAACATGGAGGTGCTCAGCATTATCAAAAAGATAATATGACGCTGCTGCTGGTATGGATCCAGTTGATCATCAACAATGCTTTTCTCGTCCGCTAGTTCCTGGAGTCCCGGTCGGTTTATTTGCGCGAAATAGTGCCTGGTCCGTAAGCGACAGCTTCGACGCATTGTCGGATTGCAGCTGTATCTCTCGGTACAATGAGGATCAACTACATTACAGATTTTAACCTGCCGGGAATTACTGCCAGTGGCATCGTATCGCTCGCTGTTGAAATCCACCATCGGCGTCAAATCTTCTATATCCACGATTTCGGTTCTGCGACTGAAAACTAAAAATAGCAGTGGTTAAATTATAAGCACAGTACCCGTTTTTGCATTATCGTGATGGACAAAGCGATGAAGGGATTTATGCATGAGGCGCCAATAATGCAACGATGATATTATGATATGTATTTCTGGCTACTGCTTACCGGTATCGTTTTCCAGATCTTCCTCTATCTCATTAGCAAAAGGTGTAGCTACATCTTCATCAACGTACGGTTCAGCAGACCGCGTGCTCAATTCCGAGATGTCAATTTTCGTAACTTTGCGCCGCATAGTTCCCAGCACCAGGAAGACAACAGTCACAAAGAAACAGAGGGATAAAATTATCGCGCTCAGTATAATCTGTAATTTAAGCCAGGACATAAAAAATCCAATCAGTCCATACTGCTTAACCAGGAGGTTCATATTTCCGCGTTTGCAAGTAAAGCACCTGTGCATCTCCGTAATGAAAAGCCGGGTTTTCACCGTGTCGCGTGTGCTCGCCCGCGGCCATAAGAATCACCGTAAGCAAAGGCGGTATTCTACAAAATAATTAATTATACGATCCAGACATTTACATCCATAAAAATTCCCCATTCGTACCCAAAACATAATCCAAAAACCAACCAGCGAATTCTCAACACGACGCACAGACTGCGAACGTTCAGCAGCCACAAACATACGGCGATAGCTGCTGTCCACATCCGACTGGCTATCACACCGGTGAAAAACATGAAAAATTGTGCATGGTGCTGCCAACTGGAGTAGGGATCACCCAACTTCCAGAGCATCATACCAAAGCTGGACATCATCTAAATCGAAACATAAAGGTAAGGCACACAATACATTAAGAAGTCTGATTATTGTATTCAGCTCGAATTATTGTATCAGCTCGAATTATTGTATTCACATTGTACTCAGCTCGAATTCGATGAGTACTTGAAGTATTATAAATCGCTCTGAACCAGTTCACGATAGGCTAGTACTTACGTGGCTTACTAGGAAACCGATCGTCATACTATGGAGAACACGTCGCCATCTTTTGGATAAGATGAGCACCAAAACAACCCACAGCTGTAAAAAAAAGCGCAGGGATAATAAAGTTTTCAAGTTTAAGTTTTCAAGTTTCAGATTTCGGACAAGTAAAATTTTACTGTATCTGTACACTAAAATTAATTAGAAAGGATTTCGACTTACAGAACCAGCCATGCTGATAATACCGACTTGAAATTCTGTTGACAAAAGCAAATCTGCATAGTTGTCGCGCTCGATGGACCGAAGCGATATTATTTCGGCTGAGATGAACATCCACGGACCGGATACAAATGTGCACAATACCAACGATGTACCAATCTGTAAGGTGAGCATATGATCATTAAATCATGAAATTTCGCGCAATATTCATGGCAAGTTAACTAACAGTTTCGATTTCTTTGCTGTACTGGGTGGCAAAAACAAAAACCGTCGGAGTAGTCGGAAACGTTCCGTACAAAAATCCCACATTCAGATATTCGCTGTCGCTTATGTTCGGCTGTAACTGCCCAACGACAGCCCGTGTCACTAGTGGCGTCAGCAATCTGCAACCGATACTAGAATTACACGAAGCCTTTCAATAAAAACGAGAAGGAATAGTACAATTTAGCGAGAATCAGCAAAGCAGGAACTACCAGCGAGAATCCACGAAAATTCTGGGTTTTTCCCACCATGCGTAAGCCCAGGAAAAATAATGCGACGGATGAGAAGGCATTGGCGAATGTGGAAAGTAATCCATCCAATATCAGTGGAATTTTGTGGTCAAAAATATAATTGGCCAAAAAACCCAAGAATGTCATGGAGTTGATCGGGTTGGTAAATAAACCTCGAACAATATTCCAGGAAGTTCGAAGCCACGGAAACGATGTCACGGCATGCGAGCCAAATTCTTTCGCATTGCGCTCGCTCTGAATTTCCATTAGACAGAATCCGATAGGATTCAAAATCACCAACGAAACCGGTGCCAATAGGTATATATACTGCAGAAATTCTGGATATGTTTTGCTGTAGAGCGCTTCAACTGTGCAAAAACAAGGAGAAAAGTATTTTCAGGATTTAACGTTATTCCTAATCAAAACTGTCGGAGTAGCTTTAGTTTCTAAATAAAAAAACTAAGAAAACAGACAACTTCGTACGCACCTATCGGATATCCGAGCGCGAAATCATTACTCTGCGTTGCAAATATTGCAAAAATTCCAGCTCGTCCATATCTCACAGATTTGGCACTAAGTAGTAATACGACGACAGCCACAGCGGCAAAAACGACAGCTTTGGATATCAGCACAGCTGAGAAGAACCTCCAGTTTACTCGGCTGAAGTCCAACAAAGCCATTGCACGAAAAAGCATAGCCGGAAGAGCGAATTTTGACAGGAATACATCGAGGCCATGGCTCTGCATTTCGGAGATCACACCAAGGCGACCACAAACATAACCACAAAGTATCACCACAAATATGTCTGCAACAGCTGGATACAGGTGTTCGAAGACATCCAGTTCCTGGGCTACCAAAAGCGATGTGCTGTTCATTGTTGTCGAAAGAACGGGCACATCACCATCTGGATGGAAGTCCTTAATCTTATGATCCATCTCCATACTGCTGTTAACGGGTCCGCTGCAGTTTCCTCATAACTAGCTAATTAAACATGACAAAGAAATCAGCAACGCTAAAGAGCGAATGTTTACCTTTCAAATTTGTAAAATCCACCATGAACGGCGTAATCCGTAAAATTAAGTACTTCAATAACTTCAAAGTTGCGAGTGAAGATTTGCTTCCGAATGTTTTCGTTTGACTGGTGTGACACCCAACGCCAACCACTGCTGGCACTGGCACTCGTTTACCATAGCGTTGGCATTGGTAACGGAGAAGTTTATCGGCCGTTGGGGTTCAAATGGAATTAAACGGTTACCAAAATGGAATTTGAAAAGTGTCATGGAAAAGTGGAAATCTGGCTTATAAATTTGGAAAACTTGAAATCTTTTTGGCCTGGCGTTTTTGATTCCTCATGTCGTACATATATTGGTTTATTTTTCGAAGCCTGTTGATTGTTGCAGTGGTTTGATATATTTCGCTCAGTGATTGTTTTGTTATTGCGGAATCATCACCTCTGAATAACTTGGAGAATGCTAATCGCAGTGGAAGGATGCTGCCATGGCGAGTTGGACAGGATTTACGATACCCTCGACCTGATTGCCAGAGAACATGGAAAGAAAGTTGATTTGTTAATATGTTGCGGAGATTTCCAGGCCGTTCGAAACGTCTATGATCTTTCATGCATGGCCGTGCCCCCAAAATATCTGGCCATCAACACGTTCTACAAGTATTACAGCGGCGAAAAGGTGGCACCCATCCCCACGGTGTTTATTGGTGGCAATCACGAAGCCTCGAACCATCTGCAGGAGTTGGCGTACGGTGGCTGGGTCGCCCCCAATATTTACTATCTGGGCAATGCAGGCGTTGTTAATTTCGGGGGCCTGCGTATTGCGGGAGTATCGGGAATTTATAAAGGCTGCGATTATTTGCGGGGACACTGTGAGGTGCCGCCGTTTGATGAAAACACCAAGCGCAGCATCTATCATGTACGACAACTGGAAATCTTCCGCTTGAAACAGATCTCCCGGCCAGTAGATGTTTTTATCTCGCATGACTGGCCGCTGGGTGTTACGGAACATGGCGATATCGAAACGCTGCTCTATTATAAACCCTACTTTAAAGATGATCTCGATCGAGGTCAGTTGGGCAATCCCGCCACATGGGAAGTTCTGCAGAAAGTCAAACCGCGATACTGGTTTTCTGCGCACCTCCATGCCAAGTTTTCCGCTTTGGTCAAGCATGATGGGGAAAATGGCGGGGAGACTAGGTTTCTGGCGTTGGACAAGTGTTTGCCTCATAAGCGCTTCTTGCAAATATTGGATGTGGCTCCTGCATCAGAAAATATCGGCGATCTATCGTTTTCTTTTGATCCCGAATGGTTGGGTATCCTGAAAGATACAGATCACTTATGGCATTTTGAACCGACCATCTACTATCTGCCTGGGCCGGGCAGTAGTGAACGGCACGATTTCACACAGTCCGACGAGGACTGCGCCAAGATGATCGCGGCATTGGGGAATCTGCAGATTGATCCCGCCAATTTTCAACGCGTGGCACCCTCTCATGAGGCCGCATGGGGCGAAGGAACGCTAGACCAGATTGTACGGTACATGGAACAAATCGGGATACCCACGCCGCCTGTCAAAAGTTATCCCAATCCGCAAACGACGCTACTGTGCGAGAAGGTAGGCATAAGAGATCCGCTGGCAGAGTTGACCAAGATAGCCGAAACCAATGCGGATAAGCTGAAGTTGACATCGGATCTGTCCGGACCTGGCAGCCAAGTTGGTAGCGATGAAGTGCGCGATGATACTGCCTCGGCGCAGAATGGTGAAGGGGCCGAAACCGAAGGGGAGCAACCGCTAGAGGGGGCTGAAGTTCAAGCGGAAGCTGCTGACACTGCGGAATCCTTCGAAAATGGGAACCACGAAGACGAGCCTTTGGCGAAGAAGATGAAAGTTGGCAATGAAGAAGAAGTTGTTGAATGAAAACGGAATTGTTACTTTTATCTTGTTTAGTTTTTACGGGCAAGGATTACGGATTCTGTTCACTTTTTTACTCGCAGTGGTCAGTACCTGTTGCAAAACTGTATTTGTACTAGTTCTTGTTTTGTCATGGTTTATTCAACTTTGAGGTATGACTTACATTCCGCGCTCGTTATGACAATATATAATTAATGAATATCTAACAACATAGAACTCGCTATTCACGAATAAGGAATAGAACTCATCGAAATACGCTACATTTTTCATGTCGGTCGTTTTGTAATATGCACTATCATTTATCCCTTTTTTACGGAAGTGACCGCTTTTGTCACTCCGGTGCGCTGGCCTCACGAGTGCACTCACCACACCGGTGAGCTTGTTTCTTCTAATGCATTCTATTACGCACCAAGGGAAAAACTAAAACGTAGAAAGCAAAAAATATTGCTAAATAAAAAACGAAACCGAAAAATAAAAAATGTGCACAGAGTGGGATTTGAACCCACGCACTCATACGAGTACATACCAGAATTATCATAGAAGATCAATGCAATCTTGAGTCTAGCGCCTTGGAAGGGCACATTTTCCGGGTCCAAATTTAGACAATTCCCATCTTTTGCAGGAAAGTAGTTTATACCCATAGTGTATTTAAAAAAATAATTTCATGTGCTGACTCACGGGCGTGGCCAGAAAAAATGAATGAATATCAAAATACTACAATGACATACTATTACAATGCGCTCCTGCAGTACTGGTACAGGCTGTTTTCGTGCTGCAATAATAATTCAACTGCGAAATGCTTAAAAAATAATTTCATGTTCAAATGTTAATGAGACGCCGCCCACAGAACTGTTCTCATGTACACAGTACCCAAAAGGTTAATGTGAATGTTTTAAATACGGAACCTGTTTGACTAGTTAAGTCATATATACATATCTATAAATTATGTACTAATATAATAAGTACGAGTCCGTTACGTTCATATTTTGCGAATTTTTAACAACATAATTTTAACAACAAAAATAAATTAACACTATACCGCGACATACAATTATTACAATGCACTGAACAGGCTGTTTATGTGGTCTTCTGCCGAACGGTAGTGTACAAATTCGAAATGCTTAAAAAATTTACTGCATGTGCAGAGGGCGTCGCCCGGAATAACAGTTTTAAAAATAGATTAAACAAGAACGGGACTACGAGTACACTAAATATTGCAGCTGAATGGGACGGCAAACATATGGACAACATTGTGTTTCTGGAATTTTATTAATTAGCAACAAATTTTTTGTCTCTTATTCTCTCAAAGCACGGGTACGCGGCATAGTGAACCTAAAAGTTTAAAACAATATAGTTATCAGAAGATAGTCAGCTAATATGCCTAATAAAAATGGAATAGCATAAAATGTGCTCGAATACCTGCAGAACTGTTGTATCTGTATTCTATTTTGTAAATTTGTAATGTTCATTCTCACGGCAAACATGGACTCACCGATCTTTTTGGCCTTTGTTTCAGCTCGTGTAGCGGTCCGTTTCGCGGCAAATAGACAAAAATACAGAACTTCACTGGGCAAAAGCCGCCACTATAACAAATGGTGTATTCACGTCATACTACTAACAAGTAAAATAATTTAAATTTGAAAACGATCAAACTGAGTAAGAAAAAACCAAAAAGTGTGCACAGAGTGGGATTTGAACCCACGCACCCATACGAGTACCAGAAGTCCCCATGAAGACAATCAAGTCTTGAGTCTGGCGCCTTAGACCGCTCGGCCATCTGTGCTTTCTAGTTGTGGCAATGAAATTTTCGAAAAGGTCGATATCTGGAATTTGCTATGGTGATCACGTTGCGGCTCACAGGCGGTAACACGATCGACAGAATTCTGTCTGACAATGTTTTTGTTCCGCACTCGGTGAAAGTGCAAAAGCGGTAAAGTAAATAAGTCACAGACTCCAAGCTCATTCAAGCTAAAAAGTACTGTCTTTAAGACTTTTAGTTTTTACCATTTTTCGGTTTTAAATTAGCAACCTGACAGTTTCTTACCATAATAAATAATCATCACCGAATTCACCATTATATTCATTGTTTCACCGGAAGTATTGTCTGTTACTGATGTCAGTGTGTGCCATAGTACACTTTTTGTTATTTTGTGATGGGAACTGCGGCGAAGGCATCCCGTCGCATGCTGATGAAGCGAGGACCTCAGTGGACATGTCGAATTTGTGAGGGCAGGGCTCCTTTCACCGGAACGGACGCCGCGAAGTTGGCGCATCGACATATCGAACTGCATCATCCCAAGGAGTTTGCCAAAGCAGTAGCGGCAAGAGCGGAGAAAAAATCCCGAAGTACGTCCGAAATCCCTGCCGTTTGGGCAGCGTAAGAATTAGCAAGTCACTGTAAGAGTTCATTTATGGGGACGTATCGAACGTTAGCGTACGATACTGCAACAAACCCACGAGTAATAACGAATGATGCATAGAAAATGCTTGAATTTGTTATCGCAATGATCGCATGTTGTTTAATCGTTGACTGCTTATTGGTTCCAGAACGTCTTCGAAGTACTGGTCAGACTGTTTCCTGTGGCGCTTCTGGGAAGAAAACAGCCGTCGCTTGTGAAAAGAAAAAAGTAATCGGTCCTGAGAAGAAAAAAGTCACTTCTGAGAAGAACAAAGCAATCGCAAAAAACTCTCCGCTCCCAAAGAAACTCACAAGAAGCGCAGCGACTGCAACATCAGGAAAGCCTGAATTGTTGAAAGTTCTCAGAGTACTGAGGAGAAGAACCGCAACTGTAATGAAGCCCGCGCAGAACCGAGTTGTTCTGAAAGCGGCAGTTGGAAAAAAGCGCAAGCCAACAGCGACAACGAAATCTTCAGATTCAAAGACAAATAGTTCCGAAAAACCGCCATCGGATCCTAAAGCGTTGAACAGTATTCCAACCGGAAATGTCAGGTGAGGCAACAGCGCGTCGAGTAGCGAAAATCTGTCATGTGTGATGTACAGATTGCCTCATTTCTTTTTACGATTAATTCAGTTTACATAAAAATAGGCGAAATCAGCAAATGACTAAGTACTTGAGTGTTTTTGTTGTCTTATGATTTTAAGAAATAGAGTTTTTATGCGCTAGACAGTGACGTTTTATACATTTCCTTTTTGCAAGATATACCAGAAAACGTTTTTGAAATTTTGTCGCTAGAGTGGGTGGAGTCTCATTCATGCCATAAAAATCAATTATTTTATGGCTAGCGTAGCATTTCATGGTATGCAGATATCATTCAGCAGAAATGAATATAACTTGTCATTAGGAAATAATTTCGCCGCATTTAGGTATGTGTTTTTCAGAAATCTTCGGAAGCGTAGCTGTCAGTCAGCGCAGCTGAATTCCAGTCCGCCCCCTTCTCCCGTTCCCGTGCGTCGAGAAAGTGCATCACCGGAACTGGAGCTGCTCCACTCTGCGGCTAAACAGCCAGCCGCCACACCCAAGATCCAGCGTCTGAGTGCACGCCGCGGCCCGGAGAAAACCAAAACTGATGACTTTGAAGAGTACATTGTGGAGGATCCGATACTACTTAATCAGCCTTCCGGTTTCGAATCGGGAAAGTCGGTGGAGAAAATCCTGGGCGTAGTGGATCTGGAGGACAAGCCCATTCGCTACATTGTGAAGTGGGAAGGCAGTAACGTTGTGGAACCGGTAGCGAGCGATGTTCTCTGGCAGCAGAATTCGGAAATGCTGCTGGATTTCCTGGAGTCGTGCTTGATGATCAGGGTTGGTTGACCGTTTATGAATAGCAAGCAACAGTCACAAATTATTTTTTACGCGGGTTCCGTACTCTTTTATTGTACTGGATCTTTTACGGTTGCTGGCTACTATGCCAAAGGTTGATGTAGGGACTGTATGATCTTCTAATTTCAGAATTCTCTTTCTTTTTAATTGCACATGACTTCTCAAAAGGTCTAACGCAAGACTCGCATATTTTTTTTACTGATGTCGTCTTTGCGCAGCGTCAACTGATATTGCGTACTAGTACAAGTACTTGTATTTTATAAGAAAAGTGTACAAAATTCTGGATAAAAAATCAAATTTTCTGCGTGTGTGACTATTTCTTTTATTTCCACACTCATGTGTTTTTCTGCCACACGTGCTTGTCACAATTAATGCAGATGGCACAAAACTGTCAATTAGTGTTGTTCCTACAGGAGTTTAAGTTCACTGGAACATCGTAAAAAATAAATTAAAAGCGATTGTTAAGTTTTGAAACAAATCCGTTTTGCTTGATTGTCGGCGTTGAGACATCTTGAACTGTTTCGTTCTCTTGAATATCGGGATTTTGTGGCATTATCACAATGGTTCGAAGGAAGTAGAGCTAACCAGGTAAAGCAAAAGACACACTTAAAACGAGCAGTTTTCAGAAGTGGGTTGCCCCGTTAAGTTTTACGTAGCTATAGTGCTATAGTGTTTCACGTAGCTATAGTCAGCTAGAGCAAATTTACGAGCGATGTGTCGGAAAATGTTAAAGTTCGGGAATGGATTGGATATTCCTGTGTCGTACTGACTCGTGAGTGAAATATACAGCATTATGAACGCATTAAGAAATGTGAAGCGTCCAGTAACAATTTGGTAATCAAAAGTTCATAGTCGTACCTAACTGTTTCGAAAGTACAGTGAGTATATTATAAAGGTCAACCGCATTAACTTACTTTAGGCCCGTAAATGATTGCAAATGTGCAGGTCACCGGAATTTGTAGTTCTATTATGTACATCAGGTATAGGATATCTGGGCCAACCATTCCAATCATGAAAGTCCTATCCAAAAAATTAAGCACTGCAGAACTATTAGCACGTGACAAGTTAAGAACAACAGGAGCAGAGTCAACCGCGTTTCCCGTAATTGACAATAGGAAGTAGAAATTCCCCATCATCTCGTACCGGATTATGATGAGAAAATTCTTCATAAAAATGGTGTTATATATCGTCCACGCAATCAGTTTGGATTCGTTAAAACTGGAAGCGACATTGCGGATTTGGTAGCACAAGTAGACTCCCCACAAAAGAAAAATGCACTGAGCTAAAAAGGATTCAGGGTAAATAATGGACAGATTTATCACGCAAAAACATTAATTCTACTGTCGAGCAGTACCATATTAAATGAGTAATTACTAAAGGCATGAACGACTAAGACAACACCGCATGAAATAAGTAATTGTTAGCGGTAAAACAGTGAAACAATACAATCAAATATTTGAAATTTAAACAATATTTTTCCATACGATACTTGACTTGTTACTATTGGCGCACCAATAATAATGGCATAATTCATCCATCCTTCCCGGCACATATAAAATTTCAGACCATTCAGATCTTCGAACATGTCGACATTGGGTGGCCTCACAACTGTCCATACAGTGAGATACAGTGTAGTTGGAATTACGATGAAGAAAAGTAGGCGAGCCATAACTCTGTTGTCTGTCAGGTTGACCTTTTTTGCTCCTTGGATCGAAGTAAATATTGTAGCAATCCTGTGCGTAAACCGTAAATGCAGAGTAGCAGCACCAGGCGTACCGAAATTAGCAAATACTGCACACGTTTTTCGGAATCAGGATGTAATCAGAATTTGCTTAATGTATTTGCATGTATACTTCGGCGGAAAGATATTTCTAGCCTCACCTCCAGTTTTTCAGCAGTAGTGGGCCGTATATTAAGGCGAATCCTATATGCTGAAACCATTCGCGGCTCATGCAGGAAGCTCGGGATGGTTTTCCAAAAACAATCATTCCCTGTAGCCGAGGGTCAGTCAGCAAACATAGTAACTAACCAGCACTTGCATTTACGAAACTTAATGGCTTGCAAAACTAATGATTACGACAACTGAAAGACGTATCCAGCAAAACTTAAGCAAAAGGTCATATTAGCCTTATTTATCGTTAAACCATGGCTCCATTTAGTTGGTCCAGGATTACACAAATTTGTTGACACATCATGAAGAGGCATTCTACTAATAAATACTTCAAAAAACAAGAGTTTTGCTGTTGTTGTTAGAACTTCAATGCGTTGCAGACATGTCCGTACGTTTACCTGTGTGTTGGTAGCACAGACTTGACCTGGTTTTTACAATATACGTGTATTTACTGCGACACTGCTATGCCAGCTGAACTTTTTGGATCGGCACTAATTGGAACCATTAAGCTATACCTTATGTGTTATCAAACTCTAAAATTAACGCTGTAAACGTAGGCTTGTCAATGCATATCAGTGCGCCTGTTAATTACCGTTACAACGGAAACGAAGCCTCCCAGACAGGTCACCAAGAGGAAGAGGGCGCTGGCTGATCTAATGACCGGATGCGAAATGTATCGGATAACGGCGGCCGTAACGATACCCACACCGATCGTCATACCAAAGACCAGAGCGAGGAGTATGCCGCGAAAAAACCAGTTCCACGCCGCCATACACGGTGTGGCATCATGACACGCTGCGCATCCTTCCGGACACGGGATACAATCAAAGTCACTAAAGTAATCCATGGATCCGTTGTTGATCCACCTGGCAAAGGCGCTCTCCACATCAAAACCGACGAATGCTTGAAGTTCATCGGTCTTGTTCGGAAAATAATAACCGGGCCGGCATGAGCACAGGTACGTTCCTCGACGGAAACCAAAACCAGTGCGAGGAATACACTGTAGTACACAACAATAATACGATAAATTAGTAGAAGTAGTGATAATACGCGTTTTGTCAACATTAATTTTGGCACAAATACACCGGATCTGACAAGCAGATCCAGCAATAAGTTGCAAAGAAAAAATATTTTAAAATTCAGAAATTCGTTGGTCGTACAAAGTACGAATAACAAAGTTAATTTAAGTTAAAAGTTTGTTGTATAAGCGCTTGGATAAGGGAGATTTGTGACCTTTAATTACAACAACTGCGTAATTTTAGTTTGCAATTACAGACCTGCTCGTACAGTACTTACATTGATTTCATAGGTTTATCTTAAGAGTTTGCTTTTGATGTTTTGATTATACCTACACTCAGCATAGTTACATATTTCCTCTATACATACCGAATGACATGCGAGTGATTTTATACGAGTTTTGCTTGTATCTTTTATTTATAATATATTTATTTACGGTTGCAAATAAAATTATCCATTCCATGCCTGTTGTGTACAAGTATTCACCTTTGTAGTTGTTTTGCAGTGATGAGTTCCTTGGAAAACATTTAAAGCCACTTTTGTGGCATTTCCTTCCGGATCGCATTGATCAATGTCAAGGATGTTGAGAGCAATATCACAAGTGGCGACACCCCTAAAGGTCAGTGTGGCTATAACTCAATCGCACTGCGCAATCAGCCGTCGTTAATGCCAGACGAAATACTGATAAATGACGTGATTCTTACGCAAAAGCAAGCGATCCGTTAATATGAGCGAAAATAGGACTATTAAAGGTTGTCATCCAGATATCCCCTCCACCGCAATCAAAGTAAGGTCGAGTCCAGAATCCGTCATCCAAAGTAGCGATCGGCTCAATAAAAGCTGTTGTATTCTTATGGAATTTGACACCGGTTTCGTTATAATCGCTAAAGCACGAGAATGTTTACTTAAGCAATCGAGCTTTGACAAAAAATTGGGGAATTATGGGCAAAAAGGGGAATTAGGGGCAAACTGGGGAATTTGGTCATTAGGGATTCACAGGGTACACATTCAACGAGAAAAGTACCTAGCTGCTTTGTGCAACATTAGCGGTCTCATTAGCTGCCTTGGGTGGAAAACAGGATTTAAAGAAAATGTGAGTTGCAACATGCAAATATGGAGAACAGTTAAGGTTGACGGGTTGTATCGTATATGTGCAAGCTTTTCTTCTACTCACCTTAATCTTAACGATACATCTCTTTCCAGAATTTTAGTAAGATTTAGCGCTTTGTTCTTTGTACCTGTAATGGTAAAGTTTTACAAATAGTAAAAGTTTCAATGAGGAAAAAATTAAAAACTTACCTAAATACCATTCGGATGGAAAATAATCATACTCGACACTGATATCGTGTGACTTAATGGATCCATTTCCGGTGTGAAAGCTGTATGCGCAAAATTTAGACATGTTCCGGTAAAAATACGGTTCAAAGGCAATTGCACAACCGAATGCCAATTCTTCAATTTCGATTGTCGTTCTGGTCATGGCAAACAGGAGTTCATCATTCATAGTTCCGCCACTTCCGTTGGTAATCAGCCAGTTTTTTGTTAAGAGATTCGACAACCGTACCGCAGCATTAGCCTGCGCTTTCCATTGCAGGTTATCAAACAGAACCTGGAAAATGCGCACTCAAAAACTTGAAATTTATTTAACATATTTTAGAATGCAAGTATTCACAATCAATACATTCGTATTCAGAACTATAAATACAGTAAAATTTATCTGCGAAAACAGTCTCAAAAATCGTGGTTAAATATTCGAATTTAATTAAGCGTTTCGCTGACCCGGCAAAACTTGCAAATTGTATGTACGTTACTAGAGCACTGGAAGTAGAAAACTTTCACTTTGCAGAATTTTAGTGACGCTGTCAACAGTACGCAGGCTGAATAAGGCTAATCACTATGCAGAAGACAAAGTCAACGAGGTACTTCATATATCGTTTACATCAAATTTATAGATTTGAAGACAAACTCTGGTTGTTCCAGCCTACGTTCAGTGTATTGGAGGTACCGCTATCACAAGCTCCTGGTTTGACGTTCTCCACATACTGCAACGCTTCTTGTACTGTATCACGAAAGGTTTCTGTAAAAAAAGCAAGCTGTTAAAATCAGCTTTCTAAATACTTCAGCTGTTGAACAGTAGCTAAGTTTCACTTTATGGAAGGTGAAACGCAGTTGTGAAGGTCACTAGTAGAGACAACTGACCGCTAACTTTCACGATTTCATTTGAGCGAATGCGATAATTTCTTACCTCGTTTCGCAAAATTGAAACTAGCACTCGGCTGACCGTAGCAGTTGTATATGGTTAGAAATATTTGCATTGCCGTAAAAGTGACCTTTGTCCACATCCTGAGAGCAGGTTCATCCAGATAGTAACGAGGCCACTGCATGAATTTATCTGAGTATATCAGTAAAAATCCATAATTTTCCAAAGATCTGCGATGTCTCAGCGCCTAGCGGGCACCAGCTAGTACTAGTCCCTAAACGTGACGATGACATAATGTCCAAATAAAAACGTCTGATGATTGATAAGTAAATCAAACAGCAAAATAACCTTGCCAAAGCGAAACTTTATCGCGTGAAATCGTATTATAAGTTTAAACATTAAGATTGTAACGCAGCAGCCCAAAGATGAAAATTTGCGGCTGAGTTTATGACATAAATAGTGTTTATTTAGGTGGCAATACCGCGTACAGTATATTGTATGTACCGGTTAAGTGACAGACATCGCAGGTTGCGCCAAAAAGACGTGTATCCCGTGAATTTACGCAATTCGAAAAGAAAAAGAGCAAATTTTATTAGCTCACCTAACAATAAAGCATCTCACCATCAGTATGTCAGTACGCAATATGCCCAGTTGTCCACTAACCAGCACGTTCCCGGAAAGCAACACCGGAAACGCGGAAATCTGTAGGTACGTATGAAAGAGGTACGCCTTGCACGTACGCCATCGATTTCACAAACTGTACACCAGTAAAATCGCACAATATTTCACAACTTTTATCACTAAATCGACGCTATTTATTGTATTCCAAACCGCAGTTAGTACCGCATGGATATTTTTGCAATTTGCATGTAATTTTTATTGCACATCAGTTAAATAGCGCAAAAACAGCAAAACAAAGTATTGCTGTGATTGCAAAAATAGCCAACATTGCAAAATCCGCGATTACAAAAATAGGAACAAGCAACAATATTCATAAATTTCTTAATACAAAGTATGGCACTCGCAACTAGCGAACTCGACAATGGGCCTCCATCCGGAACAAAAGTAGGAAGTAAACTTGCATTTAAGTGTTACAAATCCACTGATCACGATCGTATTTGAAATCTTGCTACGTACTGGTCTTTTTATAGTGCACGTGTACATACTTTTTACAGTGCACGTGTACTGCAGAGTGGGAAGCTGCAAGCAAATGCTCTTATCGCACTCCCCAACAAAACTGTAAAATGGAAAAAGGCGATGATAACTCCTTGCATTAACCGGATTTTAAAAGCGTTGAGAAATAAACGTCATATAAATCACATTAAAAACGCAGCAAAGCCCACAGCCAAAAAAGTAGCCATACAGTACATTCACCACAACTGCTTTAAACCATAATATTGTACATATACCATTTATTTAATATTCAAATCCACTTCACTTCCGCGGTTTTCCAAATCTATCCAGTAATCCAGTTTGCGGTGCATCCCACGTCCATGGCCGATCTCTATCGGAATACTTCACCAGAGGTAAGTCATACGGGAGAAATACCGCCAATCCATTATCACAGTGGGAAGTGAAGTCGGCGACAATCTTGAACCTGCTGCTCGCCGGATCAGAAGCGTGCGGAATAAACACAACACCCAGCTCATAGGAGCGGATCATCAGCTGACTGCCTTCCTTTTCCAAGGCCCCCCATGCGGCTTTAGAAAGATTGGCACTGCAAAAAGAATAATCCAACACAGCAACGGAGGAAAATACCGTGATTCGTACCTGGTAATACACAACCAAGCAGCTTCTTTGAGCTCCGGACTAGTACGGGTATATGTCTTGATGTGCGGCATGGAATGAGACCGGCCTTTCGCGTCCGATTTCCAAACGCTAAAAAAACAGCGATGGCAACGGGTTAGTCAAATCAAGCTGTAAACTCCCTAAAAAAGTCACAAAACGCCATAAAAAGAAGCCGAAAAACACAGCAAAAAAATCCTTAAAAGTTACGAAAAGTTAATTCTGTCGAAGTCCGTGAAAACTGGAAAGGCATTGCGAAGGCCAAAACAAAATAACTTTGAAGATACCACATTTTCCAAATCTATGTTCCTTTACCAATTCGAACCAAATCAGAGATGCATCCACTACGGGTAAAGCGAGTAGGCAAATGATAAAATAAAAGCGCAAAGAAAAAAGTAACTAACTAACCAGCATAACTAAGTAATATTGATAAACTTTTGGTGACCACTCCGTACACAACCTTTTGCACTCCCTTTCATTCCGTGCACATCCTTTTTGCGCACAACCATTCACTCGGTGCACTACCAAACTTTTATATATATTTATACATATTATACTTAAATACTTGTAATCTATATTACTACAGAAAAGCAAAACTACAAAAAAATATTATTAGTTTTTTGCAACATCATGGGACCGTTCCGACGAAGACGTCTTGGTGTATGACAGCGTCGGCAAATAACTCACGTAGCAAGCGAAGATTGAATAAATAATTGTTACGGAGCAGGTCTTGCGGAAATTAGGGTGAAAAACGTTGCTGTTCAAAATAAAAAAAACGGTCGAGATTGCGCGTTTTTTTATTCCAGAAATACAGTAACTTTGCTGTGAAAAAATTAAAAGGTTGTGTACGGAATGAAAGGTAGCGCAAAAACGTTGTGCACGGAATGAAAGGGAGTGCAAAAGGTTGTGTACGGAGTGAAAGGGTGTGAAAGGGTGTGTGCGGAGTGGTCACCTAAACTTTTTATCGATCAAACCAAGCAGAAACTTTCGCAGCTGGTAAACATTATCGATCACGCGATGCTACATAAATTTTATCAAACTGTCACAGCTGCTACTGTCACCGTCACAATAATCACTTCCAGCTTATAATGCCGGAAATTAACGTGACAACCTTAGCCGTTAAACACAGAAATTTCTTCAGTTCCGATTCGTGACAGTAAAGCAATGGATAACCTAGGGGACTAGAAATAGCTGCACTGATTTTCTAAATGCCACTGAACACACCTGTATGCAATTCATGACGCCTATCGAAGCTTTCACTGCTGCCATTTATATATTTCAGGATAATGTGATTCCTAGATTGCAGCAAATTCAGGCGAACGAAAATATAATGGAGAGTTCAAGGTAGTACGAAATTCTTTCAGCAGTGAACATCCCATTTACTGTGAGACTAGCAATGAACAATTGATCCAAATAAAACAATATAACGGGTACTAACAACAAAGGTACAAGCACACAAGCCATAGCCTAACAAACTGAAAAGTGATATAATGCAAAACTGGCGAGCGCTGAGATTCCCGAATGTGAAATCGCAGCCCCAAAATGTTTAGTATTTTCGTTCATCCACACAAAAAGTACCGTTCGATCAGTGACTTGTAAGCAAGCACCGGACATGCACAGAATACAGCACTTACTGGAGAAATTTGTCCAGATAACGCTGTTTATCCGCTGTCACTTGAGAATACGGTAGCGAACCGCCTCCTTTCCATCCTTCGGAACTGAGTCGCACGTTATCCACACTGGGAAAAACCTGGTCATCAGTGATTTTGGTAAAAATATGTTCTTTGTATTATCAGTAGTAAGTCAATACTGCTCCTACCAATTTCAATGGAGCTTTTCCTGAGAGCGCTACGGAACTTCCCAGAGAATCCAAAAACTCTCCTGTTAACCACTTGTCAGCCGCCGGTCCAAGAGATCCGATGCTGGAAAACTGACCAATAACCGGCCAAGAACTTGGTATCGAAAAACAGTGCTTTTTCAGTAACGACCGCAACTTGAGATGGCCAAATGAAGACTAAAACAGCAAAAAAAAATTGTATTAGAAAATTAAACAACGTGGCTTTCATTTCCTGAAGGCCTCTCCGACTTCTGAGATCCAGAAGTTAAAAAAATGTTTGTTTACCTTCTTCTCTCCTTCGTGCCGCCCTGGCACTGAAGACACAATAAATACACTATAAAGATACGAGAAAGTTCCCTTCAGTGGTGCAGCAATATTTTGAAATAATCTAGCATACTTCGCAGACGACATGTCGTGATGCATTAGTCTGTCCGCAACCTCGTTTAACTTAGGTATTCCGTAACTGCGAAGGTATTCGAGGAGGTCTCTACGGAAATTGGTAGAAGAATCCTTTGCATCGGAAGATTTGGGAAATACGGGGCTTATCCACATCCTAAAAGCTTTGTTTTCATTTAATAAGCTCATAATATGATTATTTATTACAGACTACCAAGAAATAAAAAGGTTCAGAAAATATTCACCATCATTCGGTAATATCGCCTAAATTATTCGGTATAAACACACCTGCATACGAATCGATACGATTGCTTATTATTATTACCATACTACAACTTGCCCTTACTATTATTACACCAAGAGAGGACAACATATTAACGGGAGTTCGACGTATGACCGTATTATTAAATATTTCGAAAGAGAGATTTATACCCCTGCGTTTTGTTATTCCAGTCACCAGAGATCAGATTGGAAGTATGCACTACTACACGAACTCCCTCAACATAGAACAGGATCATCATTTTTGTATGATGAGTGCCATAAGCCATAGGAAGACGTGCCTATAAATTATGAAATAGGGCTCATTAATTTTTGTCAACACAGGTATGTGACGTACAGCAACATACTAACATAAAACATCATGTACTGTACATAAAAATTAATGTACATTCGGCTACCTCCTGAAGATTTGCAAGACATAATTTTTATTAATTAGCGATGTTTTCAAACAGTCGCAAAAATGATCCCAGCCGCCACGGGCGCAAATAAACGCTGACTTTGTCTAGTCCAGCGACGGTAAACTTACCATAGCAAGCGTAATGTGGGGAAACTGCGATGCGTCCTGGCGCAATAACTGACCACTGGAGGAGGTTGTACTATCACCATGCACGATCATCATAGGCCGATCGCGAAACTCCGGCGGATACTGATCCACAATCCAGGGAATATCGAACATATAATTGAACTACGATATCAATAAATTTTTTTTTATCACGGAATAAGTAGTGAGCTGTTAAAATTATAAATAACAATAGGAAAACATTTGTTACTGCCATTTATGAATCAGCCTTTCCAGAGTGAAAAGCGAAACAAATCTAATCTCTATATGCCAGCATTATTAACCTGTATAGAAGCCTGCAGATCTCCCATATCCGGAGCCAAAATATCTACAAGAAAATCAATTTTAATTTGATTAATTCATACAGAAAAGTGAGCAAAAGTTTTATGTGTGGTCGCTCACGTTTCATACTACGACACCACGATAAATCGTTGAACTCATTTTCCAGTCCGCGTGTGGTCGTTAGAAAGATTCCAAGAGGACATCCAGTGGTCTGTGGCGAGCTTGCTGAAGGATTTTGAATCTGCGGTACAGGCGACGCGGGTCGCATACGTTTGCGAGCAGGCTCGGCAGTATCACCAGAAGATCCCGCAACACTTTCACTGGAATGATTCGGTGTATCCGCCTCCGATGTGTGTTTCTGGTGATCAGCTGCAAATTAAAGAAATCAAAATTTGTATCACTCCAAACAAAAATACTGGTACCGAGAATTTTCGTGCTAATGGTTGCGACATGGTAATTTTACTTTTCGATTTTTCGCATTCACGGTAAGTTTTTTCACATTTACGGTTTACAGGCTATCGAAAGTCATACCGTAGGCAACGAATTAACGATTAAAAAGATGTTCGAACTTCAAAGTACAAAAATATGTACAGCAGAGTAAACCAGATACGTTTCAAGGATCTTCCGTAATTCAATAACAACAAAATTTACAACGCCAATATAAATATTTCACCTGGATGAGAGAATTCCTTAAAATGTTGAGGGTTTTGACGGTAACAGCGAGAACCATAGGGACATGAAGGCAAACTGCCATTCACCGACGCCATAGCGTCCAGACTCACGAAGTGGCAAGCGCGCCGAGTCTGCGCCACAGAATATGGTACTTCACGTCGATCCAGGTACAAGAAAGGAAAAAAAATTATTTCAATGTCCGGAGCTGTTGAACGAATCAAATGTAAAACCAGATACCTATGCCTGCAGATTGTTGAATTTAGTACGATTTATCGTATTACGTCTGAAAATTATGGACAGCAGTGGTATGGAACTTGAAGTCGTACGAGTGCACAATAATATTGTGCAGAAGTGGCGTCTTACTTGATTTTATTCGTGAGTTTACAGCCATTGCACCATCTGTGGACCCTCCAGTTGTTAAGTGACAACGTAACAGAAACACGCGTGCGGTGGCCCATGCCACAGGCTGTTTTAACGTAAATCTTTGAAAATTCATAACTTTGTTCATTCCTGCATTAAATTTTTATGTATAGTCTTGAAAAATGCAGAATAATACACAGTATTAGGTAAAATAAATTCTTTTTTGTTTTTCTTTCAGGGTTATGCACTGTTAGCCTGTACGGCTAGCATAGCCGCCTATGGAGGATTTGTCATAGGCGGTTATGTTAACCGCAGGGGCTCCTAGTGCATTATCCTGAAGAAGAAACAGAGAAACATTTATTTTATCTAATGCTGTGTATTCTCTATTACGTTGTCACTCTGAGAATCCACTCAATAACTGTAAATCACGAATAAAATCAAGTAAGACGCCACTTCTGCACAATATTATTGTGCACTCGTCGTACTCGTATTTTTGCAAGAAGTTAACCGCATGCGTCTGACAGTTTCCATAACCGCACCGGAAAGCGCCCCTTTTTGTCGGAGTGAATTGTCGGCAACTACTTGCATATGTGGACTGTACAGACTACTACAGAGTACTAGACGCGGAGCAAAATTTAGCGATACTGCATTTACATTTAATCAAATAAACACATAATGCTATTGCTGATAACATAATGCTATTGCTAATAAATATAAAGCGAAGACATTGCCATTTTTTCATTCCTGTAATAACAGAATAGTCCATAGCAGTATGCATAATGCCATTTTGATATTTTTCGAACTGTGAGTACTTTACTCATTCTACTGATTCTAGCTCCATGTATTTATTTATTAATCTGTATGGAAAGAAATGTTCTATTTGTATTTAATACAAATAGAACATTTCTTTCCATATTATGTTCTATTTGTATTATATTATGTTCTATTTGGAAAGAAATGTTCTATTTGTATTATAGACTTAAGATCGTTTGCAATTGACGATTCTCGCCCGGATGGCGCCCTGTGGCGGTTGGGAGCAGTACGCCTAAGCTACGCCGGGAAGTCATCGTAGGCCCATAAGAACAAGTGCTAATCCCGCACTCCTTGAACAGGGCGCGTACGCAGACGGTGCTGTTTGTTAACTGCGCAGATGCATCAAAATTTACAGAAAACTATCCTCTGCAATGGAGGGGGCAAATGTGTTATAAAAATATTAACAGTTTTCTTAAATTAAGCGCCAGTGCTATGGCCACGGTATTGCACCACCTCCCATATAACAGCACACAAACAGAAACAGAACGAATGCGTAAACCCCCTGTTGCCGCACCGTGAAATCCCTGTTTGTTAGTGACGTCAAAATGACACACTGCCAGTCTGTAGTCCCAGCGAGAATCACGAATGGGACCGTGGGATCATTATTCTCTCTTCTTACGGTTAGCTGTGAAAGCAATCAAAGCATAGAGCTACAACAGTAAAGCATTCCTTGCGCTACACATTGTCATTTCATGGAATCGTGCAGGGTAGGTTTTTACTTTTTGGGTAAATCAGTGTGGTTGTTGTATTGTATTTGTATGACTGTACTTAAATTATGCATATTGGCATATGTACGTAATTACAATTACTGCATATTTTATATTGCTAAGACCCAGGTCTTAAAAAGAGAGAAATTTCATTGGTCAGTAAATAAATCTTAATTATCCCACTCACATGCGCAAGTCCAGGTGCTACATGTACAGTCACAAACGGTACGTACCTTTCATGGAACAGGTTCGAAATCTGAATGGATATGAAGGTGCAGAGCGTAGAGTACTCGTATCTCGAAATACGAATCTTTTTGAAACCTCCAAAGCGTGGGCCGGCGCACGTTTTGATTTTTGATTCGTCACTGCACACCGGACGGCGGACAGGCTTAAGCCACCGTTTTACTTCCGGCGTATTCGCGTACCCCGAAATCCGTGACAGTCGCACAGGAAACATGTACAATAGCCTTATATCGAACACGGTGGCATCATCCCCTGCAATCCATTTGACATCGTGCTGTTGTTGTTTCCGCCTTGAACGGAATAGTCGATCTGGTCCGCCTCCTGGTTCGGTCGGACTGTACAGATATGTGCGATTGTGCGCGTTAAAATCGACTTCTCAGAGAAGTAAATATTAATCCCGAAGCTTGACGTTGCAGCTGCTACGTACTAAGCACAGAAGTATTGTAGTTAAATTATCTCATTGTAAAGTTACTAGTACTAATCAAACAATGTTACTTATTACTGCTCAAAGCTGTTCAAAATTATATGCAATGCCGACTGCAGTGTAAGCGTTTCTACGTTTCGTTTGTACGTTTGCACGCTTATTATTTTACTCAATGGCAGCGTCCTTATATCATCACATACAGTATATATATTCTGTACATTGTGCATATTTTATACACTATTTAACCATCATATTATAGTTTTTGAAATAATTCATAGACATGAGCAATTATTTTCTGAAAACAGAAACGGAGTAAGTCGCTCTGATGTGCGTATCTCGTGAATAACCGTAGCCGCAGTACGATTTCTTTGTGACTTTGATTATTATATTTTTTTAATTTTGCGGGATCAACATGCATCTCCTCCTACTTCTTCTTGGGGTTTTGATAACCATTCTGTTTGATTTGCATCCAAAACACACAGTATTGGTTTCACTTGCGCCCCTGAATGTGCAGTTAGTTTCGTTTTTACCATATAATGTGCCCAGCACGATTTCTTTGCCATTTACCGGAAGCGCTTTAACCTTAGCCCTGCAAAAGGTCAATCATGAATACGCGGAGTTTCTAAATATATCTTTGGCGACACTATTTGAAAAATCGGATAAAACATGCGCTGACGCCTCGGCTACCATGCCTGCAATTGTGGCGGATTATTATTATGGGCATGCGAGAAATTACTGCATTGGTTTAATCGGAGCAAGTAAGGACTGTTTAATTTGCAAGCTAAACGCACTTTCACTTGCTAGATTCCTGTTGTTACACATATTTGATGCATCTCTTTAAAAAGTATTATGTGCACTAAATATGGCGAAAAAGAAGATCGGAGAAGGCACGCTGGCCATGCGACTAAAGAATATTTTTAAGCGCATACAAAAAGTTAACATGCAGATACTCAGTGTTGATGGTGGGGGATTTTTCAAATTTGTTGTCCGAACCGTTGATCTGTCTTAGCAATTGTTTTTTGTACCGACCAGACGTTGAAGTCCCGTTTAGAGAATTGTCTGCTCCTGATGTAATAATAATAATAAAGGTCATGTGTACTTTTAGGTTGTGGTGGTCTTGCTGAACTGACCTACTTGGCGTCGGGTAATTGATAACATACATACAATTGTATAACATGTTTGCTACGTTAGATTGTATTGCCTTTTGGAAAAATTACTTAAATGATTTCCAGTCGTGCACGTAGATGCCAATGTCCTTGTAAGAATCATGCCAAATTACAGTGAGCAACACTGATCAGTATGTACTGCATTATTCATACCTTTTTCAGGATGGGATACGCTGATTTTCACAAAGTGAGTTTAGTACTGTTTTTAAAAATGCAGCTGTTTAATTGTTACATGCTTTTAAATTTCAACAATTTTGTTATGTCAATCTGCATCCACGTCATATGCCGTCAGCTCCCTCGAAGCGCTGAATAAACAATTTGAGTTAGATTTTTAGAGCATCGTTGTAATATTACAAAATACCGGAAAATGCCCTTTAGCCATGTCTTTTCTAACACAGGTTATTTGTGAAGTATAAAGTATAGATTACTTTGATTAATTCCGGATTTCAACAAGGCTTTCGATTTATTTTGATGGGCAAGCTGAATTGCTCTTAAAATCATTGATTTTCATAATTAAAATGCAACTCCACACGAGTTCTGTGCAGTGCATGTGCAGTTGTTCTTCAGTGGCTGGGTGGATCGGAATTATCTTTCACCTGGAGCAAGTCCGACCGCTATTGCTCTCAGCGGAACCTATTACGGAGTTGTGTTGGTAATCATAAAACTTCTCCGTCGGCAAAACTGGCTTCATGTTTCGGCGCTGCTGGACACTACGGCTGCACCGAGCTACTACACCGATATGGCCAATGCTCTCAAAATGGAGTGTGCCCGCGCGTCGCCGGGGGAATCCCCCATCGCTGCGGATGTACTGAAATTTGACGGCCAAGGAAATTCAAGTCTTTGGGAAGTTGTGCTACGTACCGCCAAAAAACGGAGCCGAAGTAGGTTGGTCAGCCCAGAATACGTAATTACATTTGTTAAGTAACGTTGATTCCTGATTTCAGTTATAATATTTTTCACCGTAATCCCTGTGATGATCAAAATTCTGGTACGTGACTTTTGTAAGATTTTTATGAATACATATTGCTGTTGAGACCTATCCGCAACTGGAATTGTAGCTTTGTGTAGCTATTATTACGGTATACCTTGCTTTGATGCGTGTACTATTAATTTAATTATTACTGTTGGTTAGTGTAATTTATTGTGGAATTCATACTTTATATTTCATAGTACCAAGTATATTTCGCATTTAGAGAGTTTTCGTAAAGCCTTTAATAAGTATCCTCACGTAAGTGCAAACTGAGTACTAAAAAAACCAGATTTATAACAAAAACACTTCTTCAATCTTTAGAGAGTAGCATATCCAATGGGCATGGGATCAGGGGATTACGTAAGTACGCTGATAATAGTGCAATCCTCTAGAGCAGAAAGCTAGTTAAAGTGAAACAAAAATAAAAGATTTTAAATTTTGAATCGTTTACAATTCTGACTGGTTGTTTTTGAGTACGAAAATAAATTATATTGTATGCTTTCAACGATCTCATTTGTTTGTGGTACTACGAATGTAATTGTGTAGGTATTCATTGTGATAGAAGCCACACAACAAGCGATATACGGCGCTGCAAGCCTTTTCGACGATCCAACGTCCACTTCGGTATGCGTATGCCGGTAACTGTCACCAAAGTTTTTGACCTTATGGTTGTTGGATAACTTACATAATATGTAAGTAATCCAACCATCATAAGGTCAAAAACTTATATTGCGTATTGGAAATGTTGCGTTATTTCCATATATGCATACAAATATTATTTGTATGCATATATTATATAATTATGGAATAATGCAGTATTTTCAAGTTATCCCGATCGATTGAAACTTTTAAGACAATCCGGAGAGTAAACAGAGTGCGCTTTGCCACCTGCTCTTACGTAAGTGTAAATTCATTATACTCGTGACTATGTTTTGCAGGATATGCTGATTTTCCGATCCGTGATATATTTTACAAGCAGACCGGCACATGCAGTAGACAGTCTTGCTTTAAACGGTGACATTGCGCGGAAAACGCTTAAAGATTACGGTACACGCTACGAATTAGGAATTCAGGTTGGGAATTAAAAATTCACAATAATGTATATTGTAAAAATTTAATAAGTGTAAATGCCGATCAATTATAATTTCAGCCCTTTGACCTTTTTTCGGTGGCGGCTTCTTATGACAGCGTAGAAATGTTGGCATGGGCTGTAAATCAGACTCTGGCGGAGGTTGGTGCGGATACCTTTCACTGCAGCGGGAAAAAACTGGCCCGTCGTTTGATAAATCATGACCTAAACCTGACGACGGGAATATCTCGAGTAACAGCTGATGGATCACGGAATTTAGCGATGGACATTTACGGCTTTAACAACAATACTAAAAAAATGCAGGTAATGAAAACTTACGATTTGCGGAAAGCAAACTATTAAATGCACAAAATGTTCCCAATATCTTTGTTTTTATCATTTTAGTTATTCATGTGGTACGATCCTGCGCTGGATATTTTACGTCCAGTTGTGAATTATAGTCTATCGAATAACTGGCCCTTTCCAGTTGCATTCCCTCCACCGGATATACCGCTATGCGGCTTTTCTGGGGCAGAGGGCATTTGCTCGCATCAAAACGGTATGCAACTTATAAATTCCAACATTAAATAGGGTAGTACTGCAAAACATGATAACTCTTTATATACACTAACAAGTAAGTCGTAAAACATTTGATTTTAATTCCTAATATAATGTATACACAGCATTATGTTAGGAAGTAAAAGCTAATGTTTACCTTAATTTAGATTTTGCTTGATAGCATGTGGCTTTGTGAAAACCTCGTTCATCATTCTTGTGAATTAGTGCGAAAATATTCAAAATTCGGACCCAGGTGCAGATACCACTCAAAATTTCTAAAATTAATAAACTTCAACAAATCCTCCAGTGCGTGAGTGGTTTCCGGTACTTACAAGTTGCAACATCGGCTTTGCTAGCAAAAATTAGTTTTTCTTTCGCATTTCGCTTTAGAAGGACACGTCTAGCAAATGCTATTTAAGAAGAAGTGATACCATGTCGGGAAACAAAAACTTTAATTTTCCGAACTTTGTGGTTGCAATTAGTATGGAATTAGTATGGTAAACCACAAGCTTTTTATATTTAACGAAAACGTTGAATCCCCGTTGATACTGATAGTAAATGGTATAATTAAGTATGTGCCTGAAAAAATCGGTATATCGTAGCATCCTGCATTGAACAATGCCAACAACAATTAAGTTTTCTTTTTTATTCTCAACTAATCCCACTAATCCAAATTAACATATTCTTTTTCTATCATCAGATTACTGGACGCCAATCGGGTCCTCGATTGCCGCTGTTTTTGTCATCCTTGCTTTCGTTGGTGTGATGATTAGAAGGTAAGTAAAAATATAGGGTGTACACTCTACTATACAGTTCTATTGTAACGCAGAAAGTTGTGAAGGAGCGGAAAATTTTAAAAAACCGTATATGCATGGTAATCTCCAGTTTATGCTGAAAAAGGCTTGCTTCGGCTATCTCATTTTTTCTGTTCAGACACGCCAAAAGCAAGGTCATCCAACAATGGTTGCTTACGGACGAACAACTAGTTTTTGATTCAGCTCAACAAACAGTCCCTCCTCCGACACACAACGATGACAATTTTTCCAGTTCTGCCACATTTCGCGGAACAAGTGTGTGGGCAAAAAGGATGCAGTGGGACAATTTGGAAGCACCGGTAGCGGTCTTACACGATCAGTGGCTCTTTCCAGCGGTATATATGCACTCCTTACTACGACTTAGCCAACCTATAAAACTGAAACAGTTCAGTTGGTGCATTTTAGACTTCATCGTGATTAGGATTCAGGCACAAAAAAGCTATATAAAAAAGCAACAATTACCAAAAAGATGGGCAATTTGTAAAATTGTTGACATATAAAGCCACCTTTTTAAATATGCAGATATATATATATATATATAAGAGTATAGTGAGTCATCGATATAACGTGGTGGCCAGTCCAAAATAACAGTGTTGACAAGGTGTATTAACGGTTGCATTGTAGCTGGCTCGAATTGACCACAGGAATGTTTCCCGATTTATTGGGTTGTGCATTAGCGGCAAAGGTCATATGGCTTGGGCCATTTCTTCTTCGCATCAGAGAGGTTCTTTGGACCGTTTGCTAACAACAATGGATATGCATTTTGACTGGGAGTTTAAAACGTTCCTAATATCAGACATTATTGAGGTATAGTCCTATTCTTCTTATTTCGTTCTTGTTAATTTAAGCGTTTTTCCTACTGCTCCTACTATATATCTGTACACAAAGATCTAGAGCCCTAGAGCAAATTCACACATATACTCTGTATAATGTTATGGCGCCGGTACACGCTAATTAATGTTCTCTTGTTTGTAGGGTTTACTATACATTCACACCTCTCCTATCAAGTACCACGGTTTTTTAGCATTAAAGAAGTGTCTCGTGGATTCGCACTTTACTGTTGCCATCGGATCGTTAGGATTTCAACAAATGAAGACAACACTCAACCCGTCATTGACGCAACACACAGGGAATAAAACAAATGACCGCAGAAATAATAAGGCATTACCTTTACGGAATGCTTCGGCCATTTCAGCCACGCAGCTGCTGGACATAACAGTTCTGAAAAAAATCGTATCAACCATCTTCTTTCCAAGCCCACAAGAGAGACAATCTAACAACGACTTGCAGCGGCATACGGAGATTAATAACACAAACCCGGATATGTCGATTAAACGCTTTGTCGATTCGTTTGATACTACAAGGTACGAAAATATATCCCAGATTCGTATAGCCTTACACAGAATGGTCGGACGACAGAGCAAAAATGTCATCGAATCCATCCTCCTCAAAGTGACCGCATATGCGGCAACTTTGGAAGAATCGGTTAGCGCGAGGACAGCCGAGCTGAAAGCCGAACAAGCGAAAGCCGACCGTTTACTGGCGGAAATGCTACCCCGGTAAAATTCTAATTAAGTCTTAAGTTTAAAGATCGTTCTTTGTATAATTCGCTCCTCGTATCTGTATATTGTACATAGTGCATATGCACCGTTTGCAGATCCATTGTCGAAAGCTTGCGAAACAAAGTCGCGATAAATCCTGAATATTTCGACTGCGTTACAATATCCTTCTCAGATATGCCGGGCTTTGTTGGATGGGTGGCTACAGCAGACATCGGTTCGGTCATTGCCACTTTAAACACCATCTATGTTGCTTTTGATACGGAAATTCAAAGGTTTGATGTTTACAAAGTGGAAACCATTGGAGACACATATATGGTAAGAGTAAAATTATTTGCGAAGCATTGTGAATACGGGTCGACGATGAAATGCCCCTATAGCGGAATAATTTCACAGAAATACAGTGAAGTTTCAATTGCAATTGGCCTTTACTGAACCTGGACGACGCACCCTGTGTCGATTGTTTAGTACAAAACGATTCAAATGTTCATATGGATTTGTTTGATGTGGGTGCAAACCGCAGATCTTGTTGTCAATTTACCGCAGACAATAATTATATTTGTTGGAAAATGCTGATTTTGCAGTTAAACGATAGCCCCCATATATAAACTGTTCGCATTTACCCGTCATGCAACGAATATAGATTATATTTATACATACATTAAAAAGTACTTACTGATAATTTACATTGTGAAAAAAAATTATCACGTAATCCAGATTTCTGCATTGGCTTCCTGTTTAGGTTTAGTAGCGGCGTAAATACAGTACAAGTACTTTCGTACTCGTATACGACTATTAACGATAAAGATCGACATCAGAATGCCGATTGTGAACAAAATGGTCAAATAGGATCCGGACAAAGAGTTTTATGACTGTTGCTGTGAATTTTAATTGTGGCTGCTTAATATAGGTCGCCAGTGGACTTCCGGTCCGAAATGGCTCAACGCATGCCGTCGAAATCAGCTATATGGCGAAGTCTTTGTTAGCGAATTTCGAGACCCTGGGAATGCAGAAGAAAAACATACATCTGCGCTTCGGAGTTCATTCTGGTTGGTTAACTGATTTTCGCATGTGTTTAAAGTTTAAAGCTCTGTACTTGCTACAACCAGAAGAGTATAACATGTTACTGTGCATGACATAATTCTGTGCTATTGTATCAGGCAGCATATCACACGAAGATTCGATTTTCCCGTACGCCGTGAGTGATATTAATGAGCCCCAATTTTATGTTAACAGGTTCGTGTGCGGCTGGAGTAATTGGGAATCTCGTTCCCCGTTACTGTTTGTAAGTCCTCAATCGTTGTACGTTTAATAGCTGTTGACCTATATGTCAGAACGTTCATGTAAGACCCTGAGAAATGCGTTTTCTATTAAAGCAGGAGTACTTACTACTTAGGCATTGTCTGTAAAAAAACATTTCAAAATATCTCCTTAGCATACTGTAGTATAACAGGCAAGCGCAGGGAGCTCACAGTGATCTTTATTGACAAATAAAGGGGAGCAAAATACCGCGTGATTGCGGGAGAAAGAACAAAGACGCCAATGTCTGGCATGAAAATCAGCAAGTCATGTTGCTGCGAGCGAGTTCTAGCGCGTAATCAAATGTAGAGAGAGAAAGAGCGCTGGCGGCAACGTCGTGCGTCAAGACATGTGGAATGTGATGCGCAGACTGGGCTCGTATCCAACGCGAGCGTATAGGCGCTGAGTCATACTGCGAGTGAGAGGAACGAGAGCAAGTATGCTCAGTGAGTGCGCCCGCGGTAGATCCGCTAGGCGGAGAGTGCAGTGCAGCCACTCACGTACGTACGAGAGAGGGCGAATCAGCATGTGTGCGTTGGTACGCATACGCAAAGTGGCGTATCTACCACGCAGGCTGTCGTGCCTCTAACATGCCTCTGGGCGGGAATCCGAGCTCCTGCGAGGATGCTCCGACTCAGTACCGCGCCAGCATCGCACCTCTCCGGTCGACCCATGTGGGGTCGCCGGTACGCGTCCTCTTGCAGTGGGAGTCCGGTGTCCTGTTGACCGTCCCATCCTTAACTTCCAGATCCATGAGAGGCAAGCAACTCACGGCCGCAAATCTGGAAGCCGCTCGGGCGTTTCGTTGGACCGGTAATGCTTCTGTTGGCCGGCATCTTGCTTCTGTTGGCTTCGGAGAGCGTAAAAGAAAAATGTAATGACGGTTAAACAGCGCGAAACAGAAAAGTAATAAAGTTTAATCACAATTCCAGTGAGCAAAACGTAATGCAAAACAGATCTGGTTAGAGATTCTAAGTAAAATACAATTTCGTTTGTTAGAAAATGTATAAAAATACTAGAAAGAGATCTGTCCGGGGGCTTATTCCGACTAGGAAGACGTCCACGGGTCTTGAGTTTCCACGGGGTCTCCTATCTAAATGCGATCCGGTGTGTCAGGTCCGGGGCGTCGGTTCCCGGGTTACCCAACGTAACCGGTAAATTCGTCCGAGGTCGGGTAAGCAAGGCTTACATTTACGTCCGACTCGTATCCGTCCGTTCCGGAGAGAGAGGCACTGTCGCTGTTGCGAATGCCGAAGCATCCTCTCTATGTGGGGGAATTGGACCGAGGTCGGTTGACCAAGGTCGACCTACTGGTAAGTTAACCAGCGGTCAGAGAATCCGGCTAAGTTCCGAATTCCAAAGTTCAGGTCGGGCAAAACCGTACTTGTGTCATACGACTTCTGTGGTCGCCAAGTGGTAATGCCGATAGAATGTGGTCGGTTATAACCGTTAAATCTGCTACCACGAGCCTGGTTATGACTTCATCCGATGCGAACTGGCTCGAAGGTCCGGTCGGAATTTGTTGCTCCTTCCATCCAATAGTGATTTACTGTTGTCATCCGACCTGTTGTCGGTTAGGATGGATATCCGACCTGAGGTCGGTCACAATGTTATCCGACCTGAGGTCGGTGATAACGCGCCTCCATGGTCGACCTCGGTGACTTGTGTTATTTAGGCCCATGTGGGGCCAAACAAGTCCAGTTAAGTCGAATTCGTCCATTTCGAGGTCGTTTCTAATTCTAATCTTCAATTTTGTCATCTTCCACAGACTTGTTCTCGGTGATTCTGATGTCCGACCTGAGGTCGGATATAATGTTATCCAACCTGAGGTCGGTGGTAATGTTGTGCGACCTGAGGTCGGTTACCACGTGACGTCGGTGATGGTCCGCTCAAAGGTCGTAATTCGGGTAACCCGCTGGTGTTCCACGCGGTTCAATGATCCGGTGTTATTAGCCGACTTCTGTGGTCGGTTAAACCGGTTATCCAACCTGAGGTCGGTGATAATGTTATCCGACCTGAGGTCGGTTATTCCATATTCCAGGTCGACCAAGACGAGTTACAGTCTTGCAGGTCCAAGTGGGACCATGCGAGGTCGTTCTGGTCAAAATAATCCGTTCGGAAATCGTTTTCCGTGGAGTTCTTCTAAAGGGTATCCATCTACCGACCTGTTGTCGGTTCATCCACATTCATGCTGTTGTCGAACTGTTGTCGGTCCGTCTGACCCGAGGTCGGTTCCAATGTTATCCGACCTGAGGTCAGTTATCGTGCGTCTCAGGTCGATTTCATCCGTCCGAAAGTCGTTTTCCGTAGACATCTTCAATAGTCTCTCCATCTACCGACCTGTTGTCGGTAACTTCACATGTCCGACTCGAGGTCGGGTACGATCTGACTCCATCCACCGACCTGTTGTCGGTTGCTTCACGTGTCCGACCTGAGGTCGGTTACAATGTTATCCGACCTGAGGTCGGTAATTCCAAGATACCGTGTTCAACCGAGGTATTTAACGGTATGCAGGCTCAAAGTGGAGCCATACAAGTCCCGTTCGATTAAATCTTCGGCGTAACCGACCTGTTGTCAGTTACTTCGCTGTATCCGACCTGAGGTCGGGTATAATGTTATCCGACCCGAGGTCGGTTATCCTGTGTTCCTAGTCGACCAAGGCGAGTTACAGTTTTGTAGGTCCGAGTGGGACCATACAAGTTCGTTCTGGTCGAATTCATCCGTTTGGAAGTCGTTTTCCGTTAGAATCTTCCGTCCACCGACCTGTTGTCGGTTATCCGCACATGTCCGACCTGAGGTCGGTTACAATGTTATCCGACCTGAGGTCGATGATTCCATAATTGCAGGTCCAAGTGGAACCACACAAGGTCGTTTAGGTCGAATCTATCCGTCCGGAAATCGTTTTCCGTGAAAATCTTCCATGGTGTGTCCATCCACCGACCTGTTGTCGGTTATTCCCCATGGCCGACCTGAGGTCGGTGATTCCCAGATTCCATGTTCAACCGAGGTAAGTTGCGGTATGCGAGCTCAAAGTGGAGCCATACAAGTCCGCTTTTGTTGAATCCTCCTCATAACCGACCTGCTGTCGGTGACTTCACTTTATCCGACCTGGGGTCGGGTATAATGTTATCCAACCCGAGGTCGGTTAATCTTCATCGAGGTCGGTTCCGTCTGTCAGGAGGTCGGTTTAAGCCTCTGGGCGTCCATCCGGGCTCCGCAAAGTTGTAAGGAGCGATGGTCGAGTTCGTGCCTCTATCATGCCCTGGGTCGGGTCCGTGACTTTGCCTCTGGACGGATCCGAGTTCCTTCAAGTTTGCGGTTCCATGACGTCTTTTGGCCATTCAGCATGCACTGCTGGTTGATTACGGCGTCAAGGGGCTTATGTGGTCCCTTTTCACCAGGTAATCTCTTTGGTTCCATATGCTTCCATCAGGTCGACGTCGGTCGGTCGTGTGTCAACATTTCTTAGGTCGGCTACCGTTGGTAAAATTGACTTCTGTGGTCGACTTAGGTAGCAGGTGATGGTTGACACGATCCGCTCTGTTAGGATCCGAGTGATTCCGGGTAATATCCAGACTTGTTGTCTGGTTGGCTTCGCTTTATCCGACCTGAGGTCGGGTAAAATGTTGTCCAACCCGAGGTCGGTGATTCTTCATCATGGTTGACTCCATCCATTGAGAGGTCGTTTCAGGCCTCTTGGCATTCGTCCGAGCCCCGGAAAGTTCTCAAGAGTGGTGGTCTGGTTCGTACCTCTCGCATACTCTGGGTCGGATCCGAGTCGCTGTTGGTCGGTTATCCCGCTGAGCCATGTGACATTGGACTTTGCCTCTAGACGGGTCCAAGTTCCGTTGAGTTCGGTGGTTGCCATGGCGTCTGTTGCCCAGGTTTTCCATGGCAGGTCGAAGTTAATGATCTGCGAGCTTGCGGTCCGTTTCACTAATCGACTACCCTTATTCAGATCGACTTCCGTGGTCGATTAAGGTAGCGAGCTGTGTTTATTGCGGTCCGCTTGGTTGACCCTCCGGTTCCGGAGTCGACCATGGGTGCTTCAACAAACATTTACGACTTGTACTTCGGATGTTGAGTTGAAACTTTCTGCGACTTCTGTGGTCGGTTAAGTTATCCGAATCGCGATTAAGGCTTCTGAACAGCTACCTCGGAAATGGTCGACTCCCGTTGTCGACCGAGGTAGTAGATCATGGTTCCATGGCACGGCTCGCGCCATCCTGTTGCGTCCGTTTTGGTTGACTACCGTTATAACCGACTTCTGTGGTCGGTTAAGGTAGCTAGACGTGGTCGACGATGTGCCATGTTGGCAGGCCGGGCAGTTCTACCATGGGGCAAGTCGACTTCCGTGGTCGACTATGGTAACAAATGTGCTCACGATCTGATCCATAGGCCGGTCAGCTTCGGTTGGCTGGTCTGCTCGGTTGGCAGTGAAGTAGGAGACCGTGGTTGGATCCGCGGCCTGCGGTGGTCAAGTTTCCTGGGCAGCTACCTCGGAAATAGTCGACTTCCGTTGTCAACTGAGGTAGTGGATCGTGGTTATCCAACACGGTCTGTGTTGGGTATATCCTTTCGTACGACTTGTCGTTCGGATGTAAAGTTGAAACTTCACCGACTTCTGTGGCCGGCTAAGTTATCCGAGTCGTAATAAAGAGGTCCAAGGTTCTCTACCTCGGAAAATGGTTGACTTCCGTGGTCAACTGAGGTAGTTAATCGTGGTTTAATGGCACGGTCTGCGCCATTCTCCTTTTTAGGTGGCTACCTCGGGAGTAGTCGACTTCTGTGGTCGGCTGAGGTAGTTATTCGCGGTTAACGATGTGCGTCGATTGGGCTTCTGGGCGGAATCCGGTTCTTCGCTCCTGCCTTGGGTGTGTCACTTATGCCATGTCGTAGCAGGTCGGTTTTGACTTCTGTGGTCAATGCCGAACCATGTGACATTCCGAACCGAAGAAGATACCGCTGTCTGCGGTGACGAAAGTTACTGGTCGGTTACCCTGGTTCCGTCGGTGGGTGCCAGGCGAACATTGTAGGGAACGCTCGGAGTCCGGTTTTCCGTACAATTTTAGCGTCATCCTCTCGGTCTGCGCTCCGGAGTCGGTTGGCCGGAGTAATTTTCTTTGGTAGCAGAACGTGGTTCACGATATGCGTTGTTAGCTTGCCGGGCGTCTGTTGGCTCCGGTGAAGCAGATGTGGTTGTCGATCTGCTGATGCCATGCTGGGGAGCTGAGGTCGGTTGCCCAGTTCGTTCCAGGGGATTCCTTGGGGGACGTACCGGTACGGTGAAAGAACCGAAATACCCAGGTTTGACCACACGTTTCCGGGTCCGACCAAAGAATCCGGCCAACTTATGTGGTTGGCATTTCTGGCTTGTTCGTGGTTAACGTCTGCTGTCTGGAATCTGCAAAAGAATAAAGTATCCATTCCGAAAGTCCACGTCGTTTCTCGACGGTGCCGTTTCTCAGGCAGGCTGGTTCTCCGCCGGGTCGGTTCTCGACCTCGCAGTTTCTTTTTTTTCTGAGCGTAATGTCCGCTCCTAGGTGTCTCAAGTTGGGACTACTTCTGTCGTGACTGCTGCTTGAGGTTTCTTGGTGTTGCAGTTTTGACCGGTTTCTCCGAGTCTGCCAGTCCTTCCGAAATTCTTTCGAAAATTTCTTTATGGGCTTCGTCTTCTGCGACTTCAGTTTCTTCCAGCACTTGTTGTGCTGTCAGCTTCGGTTTCTTGACGTATTTCCGTTTAGGCTTGGGCGGTTCGACCTGCTGGTCGGCTACTTCGACTTCCGTGGTCGGTGCCGCTTGGTCGGTTAGTTTGACCGTCCTTTTCTTATAAGTCCGTTTTGGCTTCGTCGGTGAGACTGCCGGGTCGGCTACTTCGACTTCTGTGGTCGGTGCCACCTGATCGGTCGTCTTATCCGACTTCTTCTTCCTGGCCGGCTTAGTTACCGACTTCTTGGGTTCTTCCGCAGGTTGGTTGGATGGCTGAACCGGTTCTTCGGACTTGTTGTCCGACTCCTTAGGTTTCTCCAAGGTCGGTTCAGCGGGTTCGTCTGGTATCACATTTTGCTTCTGCAGTTCCTGCAAGGCTGGTGTCTCGAAGTCCATCGGCGGTTTCTTCCGAGGTCGACCTCGACCTCTTTTCTTAACCGTTACTTCAGGTTGGTCGGTCAAGTCCGATTTCTCCGATTGCTCGATGGTTACTTCAGGCTTTTTGGTCGACTTACTGGTTGCCTTCCCTTCTGTGGGGTCGGTTCCCAGGTCGTTATCCGGCTTTTGTCGAGATGACCGAGTTACTGGTCGACGTGCGTCGGCTGGAAAGTGTTTCACTCGGTCGACGGCTACGGTGTCTTCACGTCCGTCCTCACTTCGAGTAGTAGGTTGTTCGGGCCAACATAACTTATGACCGTCCACTCTCCATCGTATCGTTCCATCCTGGCGAAGTCCTTAGTTGGGAACTCCACCGTTACCTTATCCCGTGGTTTGAAGGTCGGTGACGACTTCTTCTTATTGTGTTCGGCGCTCCTGTCTGGAAGGCTTCATCAATGTTGATGCGCGATTTCATGGGCCATTTGAAGTCGTTCTTTATCCGCCTGATGTAATGTTCCTATCCGTATACTGTTCCGGTGCGTTCGTCCCGGCCACTAAGTCCTGTGGCATGGTCATTTCTCGACCATACAGCATATGGTAAGGTGAAAATTTGGTCAGTAATGGACTGCTCTGTTCATCCCGCAGACGACGTATGGTAAGGCTCTGTGCCAACGGTGTCCGTCCTTTATGTTGCAGAACTACGTATTCCGTCCCATATCGTCTGCATTTGCCGTTCGACTTGTCCTTGACCTTCCGGGTGATAGGCCGTTCCAAGTGGTGTTGGATGCCGAAGATCCTCACCTTGGCAAATGTTTTCGCCGAAGTGCGTCCCTCGGTCCGAGTGGATGAAGGTCGGCATTCCGTACTTCAGCAGGACATCTTCTACGAAAGAACTTTTCGAATTCTCGCGGTGTTTGTTTTGGTTGGGCAATGGTGAACTTTTGTCAGCTGGTCGGTTACAACTGCGATGTACTGGTATCCTTTCGTCTGCGTTCGAGGTAAAGGTCCCTTGAAGTCCGCGTAGATGCGATACCAAGCCACCAACTTCCATCTTCTGAGTTTACCCGGTGGGGGACGTCGGACCTTGTTGGCCAAAATGCACTGTCGGCATTTCCGAATGTATTCAAACACGTCGGTTGACATCCGTTCCCAATAGTAGCGCAACTTCAATGCTTCTACTGTCTTATCGCGTCCGAAGTGGTTTCCGGTTTTCCCATCGTGTAGCGAGCGTATAATGTTCGTTCGCATGAAGAGGGGTACGACAAAGCACCGTTCCAGCTTGTCGTTAATCGTCTTCAATCGATATAGGAGTCCCTGAGCCATTTGGTAATGCTCGATGTACTTCGACTTGTGGTCGAGTTTATCCAGGTTCTCCAGTTCATCGATGATTTTCCTCAGGTGCGGGTCTCGCAGCTGTGCTTTCGCAATTCCGCGTTAGTTGACACGGGCGGTACGAGTGTTCGCCGTGGGCTGACCTGTCCGACTCTTCCGCTGTATTTGCGGTCCGGATGGACGTCCGTTATGTTGAGGTTCCGGCGTCTTCGGGGCTGGTACGTTGACGACCCGTACTTCTGTGGTACTTAGGTCATCCCAGTCCGAAATAACGTTACACCCAGGAAGAGGTGATGGAAATGGGATTTCAGGTGGTTCTTCCTTATCCCTTTTCTTCTTCTTATATGCGTTATCCTTCAGACGTCGTAGGGTCCGTATGGTGCAGACTTTAATTTCGTCCTTAAAGTCTTCAAAGTTAGGCTCCTGATCCAACTCCTCGTGTGGATCTTTGTCGTCACTCCGTTCGAGTGGCCACCTCGACAAGGCGTCCGCATTGTCGCAGAATACTCCTGGCTTGTATTTGATGGTTATGTCCCGTCCTTGTAGAGCCAGTGCCCATCGTGTTAGTCGAGGGTTGATGCCAGGTCGGTTTGACTCGCATCTGAGCAGATTCTGCAATGTTCAGTGATCCGTTCGTACGGTGAAAGGTCCATGGTCAATGTAGTGCTTAAATTTTTGCACTGCCCATACCACGGCCAAACATTCCCATTCTGTGACTCCGTAGTTGAGTTCAGGTCCGTGTAAGACTCGGCTGGCATAGGCGATCGGATGTCCGTCCTGGGATAGCACCGCGCCAAGTCCGGCTCCGCTTGCGTCACATTCTATGACGGTCTCTTTCGTCGGGTCGAACTTCGCCAGTACAGGCGCTTCTGTTAACGCCTTCTTAATCTCGTTGAACTCAGCCGTGTGGGCGTCCGTCCAATCCTTTTTGATGTTTTGGTCCTTCCGTAGGAGCTCGTACATCTTTGATGTCTTCTGGGCGTATCCTCGGATGAACTTACGGTAGTAGTTAGCCAATCCCAGGAACGACCTCAGTTGGCGTTCCGTCCTCGGGTAATCATGTTGAGCTATGGCTGCTACTTTTTCATCGTCGGTTTGACTCCGTCTTGCTAAGGACGTGTCCGAGGAACAGCATTTTATCCGTTCCGACCTCACATTTGGAGGGTTTAATGGTGAATCCGGTATCTCTGAGGCATTCGAGGGTCGCTCGGAAAGCCTCGACGAAATCTTCGAAAGTTTTACCGAAGAAGATGATATCGTCAATGTATGCAAACACGCCTTTCTTGGCTGATGCCGTGATTATCCATATGCATCTGAAGGTCGCTGGTCCGTTGCAGACTCCAAATGGCATACGGTTGAATTCTCCACATTCCTCCGGTGTTACGAAGGTTGTGTAGTCCTTGAGTTTTCATCCATGGAATTTGCCAAAAGGACTGACAGTCTACTTTACCGTAGTACTCCATTCCGGCGCACTGGTCCAGTAGCTCGTCCGGGTTCGGTAACGGGTAATTATTTTTTTGTTACTGCATTCAACTTTATGTAGTTGATGCAGAAACGAGTTCCAACCGTACCGTCTCCGTTCCGTTTCGCGGCTAAGACGACGGGGAAACTCAAGCAGCCGATGAAGGTTCGATGACCCTGGTCGAGCATCTCCTGCACATGTTTCTGGATGAATTCCTCGTCCTTTCCAGCTTGTTCTGGTGGGGTTCATCTTGATCGGTTGTGCACCTTGGACGTCGATGGTGTGTTACACCTTGACATCTCCGTATGGTTTCTTCGAGGTCGGGAAGACGTCCGGTATTCCCAGGCAACAGCCTTAAGTTGGGCAAGTTGCTCGTCGGTCAAGTTCTTACCGAAGTTCATGGAGTCGATGATTCTTCGTCGCTCCTCCTGGGATTCCGCGTCTTCTTCCTCCACTTGAGCTGAGCGTATTCTCGCTTCTTCGATTCTCTGGTCGTCCGTCATTTGGAACGGTTCGACTCGACCCATGGGGCACCCTTTCGTAAGGTGACTCACGGTGAGTGGTTGGCTACCATGATGGTAAATCGTCTCCCATCATGTTTGTTACGCCATCCATCATTTCGACTCCGTCTCGTTGGGGTCGGATCCACCAAGGTACATGAGTTTCTGTCCGGTGGCTACTGCAACATCCATTACGACGTACTTGGGTTATCGCCCGTAGGAGTTTCACTTCCGTTGAGCTTCTAACTCCTGTCGCCTCGAAAATTTCGAATTTCGGCGATGGCTTTGGTTCCGGCTTGGGTGGCCAAGTCTTGGCAATCCCAAGTGGAAGTTCCCATTCGACGTGGTTGTCGATGTCCGGTTCGAACATGTCGCTGTATTGCATATGGCCAAGTTTTATGCCTTCTTCAGTATCCTTGGTTGAGGTCATGTTCTGGATGTTTATCCAGGCCGTGTCTATCTGAGGTCGGATCTCAATCTTAGCTTCTATTGGTCGGATAGGCGGTGCTTCCGCCGTAAAGTGTAGAAGTAGATGGGTCTCATCGGGTCCATTGGTTTGGCCGTCCGTACCTTGATAGAACACGTTGAGTATGGTGGAAGAGAGACCGCTCGCTGTTAAAGACGACTTGTCGGTCTAGCGGCTTAGAGTCAATAAACGGGTCCAATGCCAAATGGTAAACTTGTGGATGTTTGTTGACCAGGTTCAGCTCCGTAATCGAGTTAACTTTTGCAATCCGGACCTTCGTGGGCGCGGTTGCCCGACTTCTGCTGGTCAGCAAGTTAACCGAGGCGGTTGTCCGTTGACAACTGCTGGACTGCTATGGTTGGAGGTTGGAGGTCGTGTTCTCCGGTTGGCCTCCTCCAAATTCCCAAGATTTGAAGTTGTTCGAGTTCCGCTTGTTGTTCAGCACGACTGGCTTTTCCTGTCCGGTTTGTTCCGGGGGGAGGGTCGACCATGAATTCAGTATGGATGAGGGACCGCAATGCTTTTGTTAGCCGGACGTCATAGGTCGGTTCTTCATCCTCCTCGACGAGTCATTCGAGTCGTCATTCCGCGGTTTATCCGACCTGCAGTTTCGTACTGACAGGTCGAATTCTCATCATCCTCTCGGAATCTTCCGAAGGTTGGTTATCGGAGTTCGGTGAATCGCTCGAACTTTGTACGTCCGAGCCATCCGAGTTGTACCTCGGAGTTTTGCTCTTTTCAGGTTAGCGTCATGTTGCCATGTCCGACTTCTGTGGTCAGGCACGCTACCTTCTCCGACTGTGGTCGGTGCACCTGGTCGGCCGTCTGGTTGTTGGTCGGTCGACCTTTCCTTCCTGTTTCTCCAGGTCGGATGGCTGTGAGCTTATGTTGCTCAGCCATTGGTTGACTCCCGGCTTGGTCTTCCGGCTTGGTTTACCTTCCGTTCAGGTTGCGGAGGGCCGGTGACGACGGTCTGCCGTCTATCCAAGTCAGGTCATGATGAGTCTTATTGTCCGGATGACTCCATCAATGTTGTCTTGCAGATTATGCAACGGTCAGGTCGGTCAGCCTCGCCGATTTGTGGTTTCAGCCGGTTTAGGTGGGCTGCTAACGAACTCACTTCCTTCGGTGAAGTTCCATGGTTGGAGGTAGCGGTCGGGGATCTTCCTTGTTATTGAGGTGTCCTCGCCGTACCGTTTCCAAAACGCAGGGTTGTACGATTCTCCGTACAACTGTACTTGTCGCATGTAACTGAAGA